TTCCTCACACTCACTTTGGTCACATTAGCTAGGTCAGGAATCTCTCATAGATCAGAATGTCTCACAGTTTGAGTTTCTGATACCTTCTGTGTTGCTCTCCAAAAACCTTCCTTCTGAGGTTGATGTAATCTTGCTCATATGCGCGACNCATCTTGCTCCCGAGTACTTAACCTCTATAGGCAGTTTAATTGGAGTCGAGTATACAAAATGAGATTATTTGTTACACCAACTCTGAATCGAGTTCGAAATTTTAACATAATTCATACCTCACCTAAATCCCATTATCCTCTTAGTGCATCTTCCTCACACCGACTGGTCGGGTATGACTCACTTTGGTCACATTAGATCAGAATGTCTCACAGATTGAGTTTCTGATACCTTCTGTGTTGCTCTCCAAAAACCTTCCTTCTGAGGTTGATGTAATCTTGGTCATATGCGCGACAACGAAAACCTACAGCCTTCATTTTGATACGCTACAAACCTTACGAAGGACTTAGCTGTTATTGCTCTAGCATATTTTAACAATACCTTGCCTTATGGCTGTATTCCACCAGTTAAAGAACTTTTTGTGGGTGATCAAAATCAGGTAATTTTCGGTAGACACTTAGTTTGCATTATGCTCAAGTACTTAACCTCTGCAGGCAGTTTAATTGGAGTTGTGTCGAATATACAAAATGAGATTATTTGTTACACCAACTCTGAATCGAATCAAGTGATTGATGCATCCTGTCAAAAATCATTGGCATAGCCAATAACTCCTTGTAAACTCCTTATGGTATAGTACACTATCGACTAAGCTAATCGCAAAGTGAATTTGCATGAACTTGTAGTGATTGCAATCGGAACTTTAACGATTTTAATGAAAAGAATTGAGATTAATTGGTAATTTTGCTTACCCACTTTAGATATAAAGTTGACTGATTTTATGCCAACTTCCCAGTATGCAGTGAAACGGTATCTAGTCCTGGCAGATTTTCTCTGGTGCAGTATTTGGTTTTCCACCGTATTTTCCGCAGATATCTTTTTTCATGCAGATTTCTCCTTTTGAATAGTTTGTCAAACTTTTAGTTTTTAATAGTTTTTCTCTTTAATTATTTTGATTCATGTATAAAGCCTGTAGAACTAATAATAATTTAGAGAAGAATAATTTAAGTTGTTTTCTTTAACTTGTTTTTGAAAGAATTCCCAATCGGAAGAAAAGGGTAATGTCGAATGCTACTAAAAAGGTTGTTAACATATTTTGTAAACAAGTTTTTGACGTCAGACTTCCTCGGAAATTTACCTCTTACCGATGTACAATTTTTAATCACGCCTAAATGACTTAACGAAAATGTTTGTGCGTGGTATCCCAGTATTGTGGTTTTTTACGTAAATGTAAATCAATATGTATTTGGTGCGCTACATTAAAGTCAATCAAATTGTTAAATGACACCATTATACTTAACAATTTACTAACAAAAAGTACGTCACTTTGAACCATTAAGATCAATAATGTTAACGATATTTTTGAGTAAAATGTACTTGAACTCATTATAATTAATTACAAGGGAATTAAACGTTATCATATGTAATTTAAAATAATTAATTAACAATATAAAACAAAATTATTGTAGTATATACTTTTATTTTGAATAACAAATCTATTTTATTTATTTTTCATCTTAACCACGTGTAATATTAAGAAGACCTTAAACGTGAGTACGTGTTGAGACGCAAAATAGAATCTGTGTAATTTAATAATTCACTTTACGGCGATGTGTTTGTGCAGTTAAAGTTGCATTTAAATTAATGTATGCAAATAGATATTGAATACTGGTAGTGGTTAAATAAAACATTGTATACATTCTTTTGCGATTTATTTGTATATTTAGGTGGTGAATCTATAAAAGATTAAAAAAAATAATTTGTTTTATTCTCAATTTTGAATAGCAATTGTTTAGTCAAAAATTAACAACTTAGAATTTATACTTTAGACAACGGCTTAATCAAAAAGTTCGTGTTGTAACTTTTTACACAATCTGACTATTCTACTTTGAAAATTACCATTTGCAAATAGTAAAATTCCTTGAAAATTCACTTAATACCTACGCAATTTTTACTGTAAATATATTGTATAAACAAATTTTTAATAAAGGTAATTTTTGTTTACTGGTGGTGTAGGTTTTCCCTGGTAATAATTAACAGAGTCTAAATAGAAACTTGCTTCCTATTTAAACTTTCAATGTGCATCTTGATACTTTACATGAAAATAATATTTCTTTGAAAAAGTGTTTAGTATTTAGATAATAAAACTGTAAATACAAAATAATGAGCAAGTTTTCAACAAAACATAAACTATTTTTAAATTAAAGTTTCTTGTAAAAACTATTTTAATGAATAATTTTTTAAAGAAATAATTTCAATACGTTCCAACCAAGAATATTGTATCTCCATATATCCATAAATCCTCTTAGTATTGGAATATGCATACACTATCAACACAATAGATCTGTTTTGGTTCAAAAGTTCTGTAGTTCCGAACAGTTCTGAACCTTTCCACGCTTTCCCATTGCATTTTATAGGTATGCGCAGAAAGGTTCAGAATTGTCCGGAAGTATAAAAGTCTTGAACCAAAATAGGCCTAATAGGTTGGTGAGATAAATTCAGCTATTGTTAGAAACAAGTTATACATTTTCGCAGGTGTGATACAAGATTGGGACAAAATTGTACAGTTTTATGGTTTTTATGCTCTTACAACAACAGGTTTTAAAATCTATTTGTACAGTACTAGCACGTTTCTGTTAGGGCAAATATTACGAACAATTTTTTTATAGTTCTTATGCAGTTGTAATTGCTTAAAGCAAAATAAGGGATTGTAAACTGTGATGTTTGAAGAGTTATATATTCATGACGTTGATTTTGAGGTATGGCATAAATTACAAAACAATTGGGTTGGGTTGGGTTAGATTTAGTTGGGTTGGGTTGGATTAATATAGAGTTGGAAAGGTGGAACTTGGTGGTATTCCTGAAATGTTTTAAAAATCAGAACCAGTGTATGATGTTGAATATGCAAATTGTAAAAGCCAAAAAGAATCGCCAAAAAAAGACCACAAAAATTTTGTGTTAAAGCTGCTGAGGGAAATACCTAAATAATACTTTTGCATCAAATAAAATAAGTCCCCAATGCTTAAAACCGATTTCAGAGGTCCATCATCAGCCAAATTGACAAAGAAAAAAATTCTGAATATTAAGAACGTAGAAAAATATTCCATGCAAAGTAGATCTTATTATTCAAGTTATGCTGCATGACCTCTAAAACCATCACTTGAAAACCCTTTTTTACTATTTTTTCTTCTCAAAAAGGTCTGGTGTTGAAATGAATTAATTTGGCGAACACGTTAAACTCGGGAATTAAACGAACTAGTTAGCACGAATCTAAAGATCACGATTTGTGCATCGCATTATATCATAAAGTATTAACACTTTGTACAATAGGGAGTGTATAATGCTTATTTAAGTAGCGTATGTGAGAATCATAGATAAAATCAATTACAAACATCAACATTTTCACTGGATTCTTAGAATTACTAAATATATCTCAACGATTAGATAAATAAATATTATTAATAGTATCATATGCCGATTATAAGTTTAGGACTTATCACTTTAAGAAATATTGTATTGATGTAATTTATAGATAATTTTGTTATAGTTTGAATAAGATTGTGAAACCCTTAATAAGTCTTGTTTTAGACCCTTTGTATTTGTAGTCGAAATGTGTTTGTGGACTTCGAGCTGTCCTTCCATCTTTTCATTGAAATTCCTGGCGTTCGAGTATCTGCTGGTTTTCCCTTTAATATTATTTGTGGTATTCTGCCTTCATTCATCCTTTTCACTCTTCTTCCCCATCTTATCACATCTAGTATACGATATCGTTTCCTGATCCAGGACAGTTCGCAACGTTTTTATTTTGACAACTCTTACCATACTCTTTATTTTGCTCGTATACGCGAAGATTGTTAGAAACCACTGAATCAAATCCGAAGAGGCCGTCAATTTTAACCTGCTTAAATTGAAGTAAATAGATGATTGAATATATTCAAACGATGTACAAAAGTCATTAAATTTGATGAATGTGTCTACTCGAGTTCTAACCAATCTATATGTTGTGACCGAGATTGTTTTGCGTTTTAAATACCAATTAATTGATTATTTTCGTTAATTAAAAAAATATAAAATATAATGATGCTTTTTGAACTTGAATTACTACAATTGTTTACAATTATTATAACTTGCCTTTGAAACTAAATTATAATTTATTACTTTTAAGAAAAACTCCTTGATATTTTTCACTTATATTTTTATTAAATGAAGATTCATGACGTGCATCATAAAAACTCACATAAATCAATCTTGTTTTTATTTTATTCATATTTTCAAACTTATATGATAAATACAACTAAAAATACAAACTAACAATAAGTCACACACTTATTTGTTAATATCTTGTGTAATTACGATTTGAGTCAGATATTTACCGTGGGCTAAAATAAGGTATACACAAAGAATTTGAATTCAATTTTCTACTATTTATTTATATGTTTAGTATTCAATACGAATCATCGATTTAATCATGGTTGTTCGTTGAAAACAGCCAGAATCTGTTAATCCCCAGTTTACCAATGGACGACAATTTTTTTTTGTAGCTGTTGGATAAAATATTAAGTGCAAAAAAATGTAATTGCAGTAAGAACATTAAATGTTTACTTTTTAATTATCTATTTCCTGGAAATTCCTGTCTACACGTGCACTTTGTTTTTGATGTTTATAGGCGTTAATAAGATCTTAAATCAAAATTTATCACCTCACCAGCGCACTTTTCCTAATTATGCCACGGAAAAATTAAATTTGGATGCGTCAGAGCTGGTGCGACGATTGTCGTACAAGGTTGCAGGCCGAAACCTGTTTCATTCATCAAACTCTATATAAATATTGTTTGACCGGCCGCTGGTCGGCATTATCAGTTTGGAAGTAGTGGCGATAAGTTTGGTGATACACACAACAGTTCCTAAACACACGATTTTTTTGGATTAGATTTCTTTTTCATTTTTTTTATATACGTTCTTAGAACATAGTTGATATTTTGTAAGGATTTAAAACTTTTTTGTTGCATGTTTTATTAATCGGTTATTTTCTCTTTTTATTTCAGATTTATTAAAATGGCATTAGTAGTAAGGTATATAGAAGATGTTAACAGATTTTTAAATAAATACCAAGGTAAGTTATTTTTCTTTTTTAATTATTTTAATCTTATTAAACATTTTGCCTGCTGCAATACATTTATTGCTTGATTATTTTTTTTTAATATTCAATTTTCAACACTTTTAATCAACAATTTTATAAAGGTAGGGTAAAACTCAACTCACCTTAAAATACATTTTTAAAATTTTTTATTTCATTCTTTAATTTTTATCTATTTTATTTCATCGGTATCATTTTTTTATTTGTTACAGATACTAGAACAGCAGATTGGTTTTTAATGTCTAGCCCATTTTATACATTAGCAATTTGTTTATCATACGTGGTAGTGGTAAAGGTATGTTATTTTTTTCTTTTCTCAACTCGGAGTTCTAAAATCGGCGTGGATTTTTTTAGTATGTGGGGCCAAGGCTTATGGAAAATAGGAAACCCTTCCAATTAAAATATACCTTAATAGTGTACAATCTATTGCAAGTTCTATTTAGTACCTGGCTTTTTGTAAAGGTATGTATGTAACGGAAAAATTAATTAATAAGCATTGCAGACCAATAAAGAATTTAATTTCTTTTTATTGATTGCATGTGCAAGAATTTAAGATTTTTAATTTAACACATCGTTTGCTATCAATTTTTTCTTTGCATTTTTTTTTATTTTAAAACTTATTTGTGACCTGGACTACGGAAAGGGGGTTTATGTGCGAAAATTTACTTTTATTTCTACGAAAAAAAAATCTAAAATTAAATTTTACATTTTGCGTTTCTAATTTAAAGACATTAAACTTTCGATGCAAATAACTCACCCGCGAAGATAGTTGCGAAGCTGAGGTTAAGTTCATTGAAAAGACCGCACTATTTTAGAAAATTCAAAATCGACCTCTTGACACCTAAACTCCCTTTCCATAGTCCAGGTCACATTTATTCTTATATTAAGTTTTATCTGGCAACTTTGTACCACTTACGTCCCACATATTTATATCATTCGCTAAAAAATAACTGGATTTTCGCTTAAATAAATATTTATTTGAAGTATTTACAAAAATAACACATTAATAAGTCCACTTTAATGTTTAATCGCAAATATTTACATATCACAATAATTCTACTTTAAAACTTTTTATGTACTTATGCAAAGTACCGAAATAACGGTTTTTATAATTTTTGAATAAATTATGTTTTGGTAACAAACGATGTGTGTTGGTTTCGTTAAAATACATCAGTGCTAAAAGTGTGGTTATTTTTTATCAGATAGGGATGGGTGGATGGTTGACTGGAAAGTATAATTGGAGATGTCAACCTGTAAATTATTCAACCGATCCAGAAACGATGGAAGTAAGTTTTAAGGATTACCTCAATACAAATTATAACAGTTTAAAAATAAATTATTTATTTTTTAGATGGTGTCCGCGTCTTGGTGGTATTTCATATCTAAGTTTACTGAATTTCTCGATACCGTAAGCTTCTAATTTTTAAAATTTTTTTAATCTAACACATTTTTTTTTAGTTTTTCTTTGTGTTAAGAAAAAAGAATAATCACATCTCTACGCTTCACGTGATACATCACGGAGTCATGCCGATGTCCGTTTGGTTCGGAGTGAAATTTACCCCAGGTATTTTCCAACATTTTTTATTTCAAAATTTTCCTATCACAATGTCTTTTTTTGTAGGCGGTCACAGTACATTCTTCGGTTTCTTAAATACGTTTGTTCACATCGTTATGTACACCTACTACATGCTTAGTGCCTTTGGACCTAGTGTACAGAAATACTTATGGTGGAAAAAATACTTAACTACTTTACAAATGGTACAATTAAAAACAATAATAACACTAGAAAATCTAATTGTTTTAATTTTTTAGGTGCAATTTGTAGGAATAATGGTACATGCCTTCCAATTGTTGTTTACCAACTGCAACTACCCACGTGCCTTCGTCTGGTGGATCGGAATGCACGCAGTGATGTTCTTCTTCTTATTCAAAGAGTTCTACACACAATCATACATAGGAAAAGGTGGAAAACAAAAAGTCTCCGTCACTGCCACTAACGGATATGCCAACGGTTACATCTTACAAAATGGTGAGACGAAACAGAAGAGTAATGGCCACATAGGGAACGGCGGCTCATCATCGCAAACCAGTGCCTCCGATTACTACATGAATAGTAATATTTCCAATGACCTACAGCAACGGTTGAAGAGCCAGTGATGGTTAATAAGAGCAAATTATTTACTACCGCGAAATTTTTTTGTATAGTTATAACTTGTAAATGAACAAATATTTTTTACTTAATTATTTGTAGATTATTAATTGTTAATGAAAAAAAAAACGAACTAATAATAAATTTTACAAGATCATGTTGCTCAAAAACCGCATAATATAATAGCACACGCGCGACGCTGAGAGTATTTATGTACCATATAAATAATGTATTTAATTTTTTTTGTCAGGTGCAAATTTTGGAATTGATTTACTTCTTTGTAAACTTTTTGTATTTTGTATAATCATTTGAGTGTCTTTGTTGTGTGCTCGTAGGTGCTCATTCTTCCATCATCAGTCCACCATAAAATTAAAAAAAAAAGCCTTTTTGTTGTTATACCATATGCGGGAAGATGTATTATTATTATTCGATATGGTAATATATCACCTAGTACAATTTATTCCGTGGTTGAATATTGTAGGATTGTTATTAATCTTTTGTACATCATAGATTTTTAATGATACTGGTTATTGTTGTATTTTTTTTACATCCTGCGAAAATATTGATGAGAATAAATTATTTACGTTTTAATTGGATAATTCTTGTTTTTAAAATAATTAATATCCCAACATTCGATTTAATACAATATTTTATTGTATATGTAAGTCATATTTTCTAATCGGCTAAAAATAAACATTATTAATTGGCCTATATATTTCAATAAATCATATTTTATTAGTTAGAAACAGGTTTTCAAGAAAAATAGAGTTCACGTTTGTAACTGCTATGATCAGTAGATGGCAATACCTACAAGTATAAATCGGTGTTTCCCAAACTTTTTTCATTTAGAGATTTGACTTGATGAATTTATGTTGACATAACAATAAGCGATATCTGATAAAACGGATTTGTTATTTGAATACACGTGTCGTTTAGCCGTTAACAAAAAGGTGTGAAAAGCTTTCCTATTTATTTTCTGACGTTTCATAGAATATCAAAATATAATAAAAATAGATTCTTGCTTCTTGTCCTTAAATGGGATTAGCCGAAATATAAAAAAATTCAAAGGTGCCAAGTTCAAACAGAAAAATTTTTCTTGCACAAAGAAAAAAGGTGTATGAAGAAGATTTCGCTTTACCAGATAGATTTACATTTTGAAAAAGAACTGCTCCAAGTAACACTGACCAACGATCAGAGATAATCAATATTAAAAAATGTATGGTACACCGCAAAATTTAGGAATGTTCTAAACCACATTGATGAAGTGGCATGTTTTCAATTTATTTATTGGTGAAGTTATGATGAGTCTTAAATAAAAAGAAGTTATGATAAGTCTTAGACCAATAAAGAAAAAAAATCAGGAAAGAAAAACATTGGAATGAGTTGTTGAAAGTAAAACTAGAAGCATTTATGAGAATCATTACGAATTTACATTGCAGAAAAGAAAATACTGCAGAAATGTTGAGTACAGATGAATCGATCTTTATTGGATCTATGTCAAAACGTTGGATCAATCTTCATTCATAGGATCATGTCAAAATTACATGCCTGCTAAGATAGCAGCAGAATATAACACTAGTTAGCATCTATTTCTATAAAATCATCAACTTCATCGATTCGTTGAATTAATTCATCTTTATCATTATTTTTATTTATTACCAATAACACCCACGATTGCTTCTGTATGTCAAAACAAGCCCACATATCGACTTATAAACTTTTATTACTTTTATGTTTCTATTTTTTAAGGTTTTTGGGCGACTTGTGGTATGTAAAAACAAAATTTAAATTTTTGGATTGTATGAAGAGTTTTGTGAGTAACTGTATATCAACATCAGCGTTTGTGGGTCTGCAAAAAATTTGTTAGGTGGCACACGATTTTTTGTAAACGACTTTAGCAAGATGACATTTTTTTTATCTTTGGTGAAGTAAAGGTTATGGAAATAAAATTAGAGCAGTAACCGTTTTGAATCGTTTCAAGCTTATATCTATGTTCTCCATTGGGATTCGAACTAGATAGATCATATATTTCAAAATTTATCAGCTGACCTGTTTTTGAGTTCTGCATTCTAGCTTACATCGTTATATCGCATTTTTCAAACCACGAATACATTTCTGACCCCGTATATATTTTCATCGTATCTAATTGTTAGGATAGAACACAAAGTTGAAGAAATCAGTAATATATTTGAAACAACAACAACAGTTTTTTATAATTATTTTTATTAGAAATTATAAATATACGTAAATATAATATTATAGAAAAATATTGAGCAATATTAGTAGAAACAGTATACAATAATCAAATTTGTACAACTTAATATTTTCATAAATGCTAGGTATAAAAATGCTAAAGTAAACTTTGAAATTACGAATCAATTCTATGTCTTTTATACCACCAAATCCATTCATGTCATCCATTCACCTATGAAGGAAACTGGATTTTCCATAATGAATGAGCTTTTTTATTAAAATACATAAAAAAATATAACCTCAACATTTACACAAATCTATTGACTAGGTTATATACAATCTTGTAAACGCAGCGGGATGAATGCACACCCACTGAGGTAAAACTTATCCAAATATTTAAAAAGAGAGATTATATTTTACGTTATGTACATATTTGGATAATGATACGGACGTTTTTGGAATACAGTGATAAATAAATAAATAGTGGTTATTGTCATATTAAACCTGCTTCTTGCGGTCTTTAGAGTAAGTTTGATAATAGAAGTGGCTGAATAATCCAAAGAATATCGTGGAATGAAGTAAAAGTATGGCGCCCATAAATCTTGGATATCCACAATCAACGAAAAGTAGTTGCGCAGAATGGATAAATACCAAGAAGAATTGAGCCTAAAAAAATATAATAAAAATTTAGTACGTTTAATTTATTTGCATTAATAAAATCTTACCAACTGCATCGTTGTTAAATGTTTCTTCCACCAAATATATTTTTGATATTTCGGCCCCATTGCAGCAACCATGTAGTAAAAGTACATAATGACGTGAATGAGGTTGTTGATCAAGTTTGAAAATGTGCCATGACCACCTAAAAAATGCATTCTCTTATTTTCAAGGATTCTAAAATTGGATTACCTTTAATTTACGTGTAAAACATCTGCGCTAATTTGCTTAAAAATGTAACCATTTATGTCAACAATGCCAACAATAAGTGAAAGCGCATGTTTTCGACTTGCAAATCTTTTTTTTCTAATGCTTTTTTTTTTGTAAATAACTCGCCGAGAATTTGTAATTTGATTTCGAAATAAACGATTTTATATGGAAGTTTATGAGAAATGTTCTAAGAACCTGGTCCCACTGAAATACAGATCGTATCTCTTTGCTTTATAAAACTAAGTTTCACAATGGAAACGAATGTCAAACATTTGCGTGCGACGAATACGAAATGTCGGTTAAAAAATCTCCAGTTCACAACTGCAGCAGGTGTCATTAAAGATATCACACTGTTGTAAGAAACGTAAGAGGTCGTTAACGCGCTGTTTTTTCAAGGATACAAAATCTGGCGAAGCAAGTATTTCGTAAGGAACGGAGAGTAAACAAAAAGTTGAGCCGATTTTTATGTTAAAGAGTAAGCCAAGGTTGGCAGATGAGAATATATCGTGACTATGCTGAAATAACTATCCGAACTATCGTTATTATTATAAATTTGTTAATAGGTTCGGAATCCGTATAATACGAATTTATGTAGTATTTGTGAACTAGAAAAGGTCAATGTCAGAGATATTTATGCTAATTTGATGCTAATTTTCTTGATTTCAACAATAACCTTTTTTTTAAGGTTAAAAAATCATGGTTAAAACATGAATATTTATTTATTTCAACCTGAAAAGATTTACTATTGGGAATTTTTGTTTTTTTTGAAACAGCCTGTATTTTTAGTAAATTGAGGCAATCGTAACCTTTATTATTACATAACCAACCCCAATGAAATCGAGTGTTGATTAAAAGTGAACGGATTCGCATCTTACCCGCAAGGAATTTGACCAGAAACCAAGTTTCAATCGGTGTCAAGCTGTGATGGTAAAGGTGCAAAAGAGTCACCTGACTGTTCTTCTTCCGCAGGATGAAGAAAATGGTGTCGGCGAATTCAGTAAGCTTGGAAATGTAGTACCACCAGCACAAGTTGGCCATCTGAAAAATCGGATATCGCAATAACCAGTCTAGGAAAGTGAAAGCTGAAGCGCTGTAGCGGCTAACTGGGTTTGCCAGAAATACATACAACACACACTCTTTGTCTAATCGAAGAGGTGGTATTTGCAAGGATCGTTTCGCAAACCACCTCACGACGAGCGAAAAGTTTATCTCCGTCGTGAGAAGTTGCGCCACCGACTATTGCAATTCACGCAAAAAGGCAGCATTAAGTGCGAACAATATAAAAAAGTCGCTGGTACACAAATGTTTATTGCCTATACACACAAAGATCCAACCAACTTGTAATATTGCTTAATAAAAATCATTTAATAAGTTAATATAAAATGTGATGTAAAAATTATTCACATACCCTCATAGCTTTTTGATTATTGGAATAGTCAACAGGTTGACATTTGTAGCTATAATCAAGAAACCATCCACTCATAAGATGCTATAAAAATAAAAAAAAATAAACATAAATCTAATTTCTATTATTAATCTTTATAAATTCATTGATGAATTAATGATATAACGATACGATCAAGTTCAAGAGATAGGAAGGAAAGCTTGCAAACGACTACGGTTATACAACAAATTGACCTTGTGAAAATGGAACTAAGCGCACGGCATCGAGATCGCGTTATGTAAAATCCCACTGTTTATAGAAGCAGCTTTCTCCAACTGACACGAAGTCCTTGAACCTTACATCGACCCTGACAAGAAATTCTCCGAGTCCTTGACTTGAAAGTAGTCAATGTTAAAGAGACGTAACACTGCAGGTACACCATTATTGTAACCTGCTATACGAGAAGCGGTGAGAGTATTACGATATTTACGTAACATCCATTTCGCCTTATAGCAGGTTACATTGCCAACGAGACTTAATTGGCGTTCTGCACGTTGTTTATAACTTCCTATATTCATTCATGGTGTTTCACCATTCATGACGAATCGTAAGTAATGTGATTGTTAACGCTGTTTTACATACCTCATATAACATATACAAACTAAATAATACTTGGCCGCCATTATACAAAATTAGCACTTCTTTCAGCTTGAATGGTTTTTGGTTCATCATTAGGCGTGGACCAAGAAATAGGACAATGTAGAGATAAATTAGTACCATAATTATTGTTGGAATCGGAGTGTCAATTAATGGCCAATCGGTTGTTCGAGGATCTAAAAAAAAATAAATTATAATTTTTGTTATATTTTAGTTTTCAGGATAAAATCCATATTTATTTAAAAGAGTAACATAATGGGCTTATAACGATTAATAAGGATACATACCGCTAACTTTATCGACAATTGTTACATATTGATCCAAAGCTAATCGTACAAGTCCAGCCATTTCCTGAAACAGAAGAATTAAGTTTGCGTTACTTTTATGTATTACAGCTGTTACGGACACTAATATACTAGATTCAGTTTTTTCAATGCCATACAGACACTTCAATACTAAATTAATGCTTCCAATATCGATCGACTTATTCAGTGATTCGTGAGTCGTGATGCATTGAATAAAGTCTTCCTATGACACCAGCAATGCATGATAGAAATCATGAAGATAAATGGTGGCAACAATTAAAAATTGCCCCGTTTACGCAATTTGGTTCAGACTCACTCAAAATTAACCGGTTCTTCTTACCACTTTGTAAGAACAATATTAGTAGAAAATTTGAACATTTGCCAAAATTTACGAAATAATAATCATAAGATAAAAACTAATTACGTCATCATTTTTTTAGTGCCTACTCGGAGTAATGGTTTTCAAATTGACCTTTTGTGTTGTCCTTAATTTCAGGAGAAATCTTACCTGTCAGCTTATATAAAATAAGTGCGTTAAAATAAATAATAATAATCTAATTTCTTTCTTAATTTTTTTTTGTGGTGCTACACTAAGTTTAGTGTATTGATGTTATGTTATACTTTTTGGTTATTACACAATTCGTTGTTCATAATTTTTTTACTGTTCCTTTCATTTGTTGATTGAGGACAACCTTAACTTGTTGGACAATTAGATTAAATAACATAGAGGAAAGTTTTCCTGCGCAAATCGGCAATAAGACAAAATCGAGAGACTGGAACTAACGAAAAGAAAAAAAAATAATGAAGATATTATTTGAATCTTGGCCGTTTCAAAAATTCTTTTCTTAAAACGGGGTAGAAACTTAAACGTTGGGTCAAAAAAGAAACTCAACGAATTTGTCGATGCTTTTGTAAATTCTGTTTCTCGAGTGTTGCCAAAGAGATAGATAGACTCAGACCTACTCTGACCTGGTGTTTTGGTTCCAATCTCTTGTTATATAACCAATTTGACCTACTTCTTATGCTGTTTGCGTTGAGCGAGATGCCGAACAGTTTTTAATGCGCTGCAATTCAATGCATATTAGGTAATTTATTGAATAACTTGCATCTTCTATTTGAAAATTTAATTTACGTGTTAATTTTCAATTGATTCTTAAATTTAATAATTCTTTATGTTAATCATCATTAAATATTAAATAAAAATATTTAACTAATGACTATAACTTTTTCATTTATATTTTTGTATTGCTTAAATTTATAAAATTTTAAATTAAAATGAGATTAATCTCAAATTCTTTGTTATGTGTGAAGTTTTGTAATTATTATAAAATAAATTATTATTTTTATTAAAAGAATGTGTTCCAGATAATTTTTATTTAAAAGTCGAAGTTTGTCATAACGTTAACTTTTGCTACTAATTTCACTTTCTCTTCCTTATTACAAAATTCAGCTAGGCAAACCTTTATAATGCCTTTAATAATCACATGCTATTTAAAGTAGTTCATCCAAGCAACTAAACGTTTTGTGTATTGACTATCATTAGATAACATGAATAGATAGTTTTACAATAAAAGCTTTTGTTATTTAAGATACTTTTTTTAACTTACGGTATTATTTTGAAGTATAAACGAAATGTTTTGTTGTGCACTTGGTGGCAAATACGGTGCCAAAGACCCCAACCACATTAACATCGACATAATGAAATCAAAATCTAAACTAAAACTAAATGATCTTCAACGATGTTCACTTCTCTGCACAAATTAACAAACTCGTCCTCTCAAACCAACTACAACTAAACCACTTTTACTATCTTGTCCAACCGTCCAGCAAAGGTATGCTTCGCTCAACTGCGTGATGATTTTTGCGTTGTTTATTTTTCGATTGAAATGAACCCCACTCGAGTCACACTCAAAAATGAAAATAACATTTACGGATTTATGGTGGCTACAAGTCTTTCGTGGCGAAGTGGGCTTTGATTTCTGCGATGGTGTCTTTCGCCTGCGGTAGATCAAGATTAGAACAAAAATTCAAATTCTTTAGCAACGATGGTGGGGAATTCTAAGTGGCCGTGTGTAAGTTGCCGTTTCACTTTTGACCAAACGAGGATTTTTTCAGCAATTTTTTTTTTCGACAAATTATCTCCTCTCTATTATTTCAACGGTGTTACTCAACTGCCAGTAAACAGTGCGTAAAGAAAATTTAGAGATTTGCTTTACTGTTTCTTTCGTTCTGCGTAAATGTTCATAGTTTTCTTGTTAATGTTTTTAGATAATTAGTTAAATTGCGAGTTAAAAAAATTGAAAAAATGGTGAAATAATATAAGTTGTTAAACTAGATGTGAGAAAGTGCAGGTGTTAAATTGACGTTTGTATGGGTAAATTCCCTGGAATAATTATCAGTTAATTGATATCTCATTAAAAACTTGTATGTAATAAATTAGAAATTTTGAAAAACTGGAATGTGACTTTAGTGCGTAAAGTGTTAATATTTTAAATGACTATTATTATAGTAAAACATCGATTAACGGACCTCGTTAGACAAAATATTTCGGCTAAACCCGAATTATTCTAGTTCTAAGTCTAGTGTTAGTTCCAATCCAGTGTTAGTTCTAGTTTTAGTTGCATATTTTTCATTGTACTAAAACTAGAACTAACACTAGACCTAGAACTAGATACATTCGGGTTTAGCTGTGCGTCTTTAGACAGAAACTTTCTAGTTCTAGGTCTAGTGTTAGTTCTAGTTTTAATTGTTATTCAGCGCTAAATTGTTGTATATCTTTATTAAACTAAAACTGGAACTAACACTAGATCTACAACTAGAAACGTTCGGGTTTAGCCACACATCTTTTAAGACGGCTAAACCCTAACGTTTCTAGTTCTAGATCTTCTGTTAGTTCTAATACGTTAATTTGATGCATATTTTTCATTGAACTAAAACTAAAACAAACCCAATTTTTTATACAACGGACTTTTGGCTATAACAGACACTGTCTCCTCCGTATTAATCGAGGTTTTAGTGTATTTAGTTTCGATTTTTTTTAAATTTAATCTATGTTTTGTATCAATTTGTTTTATGACTTATTTTATACGTAATGTATTTATAATTAAAAGAAATCCATTTTATATTCCCATTGTGTGTAAACGAAATAAGTAATTAAATTGGAATAATACAACTTTACAATATAAATTTCTCGCTCTTTCAATACCACCTACTTTTACCGATTGCGTATGAAATTGTATCTTGCTATAAGATGCTTGGGCAATCTTGATAATTAACGTTTAGATCTTTCACATCTGCTACGATTTGTAGTACAAGAAGTAGTTGATGTATTTGGAAATCTGCTAAAATTATTGCACAATCAAAAAGTAGTTTTTTGTTAATATTTACTTGGCATAATTGCCACATAATTTTTTATTCGAACTTTGATTTTTAAAGTTTCTACACATTTCCTGACTTTCTTGTTTGTTATTTATATTGTGGATGGTTTCGTTGGAATGGTGACGATGTGTACTCGACTATTAATGATACACCTGAAATTGCAACACTAACCGCTTCGTTCGTCGATAACGCAATTGCAAAAATGGTAAAAGTTGCCCACCTTTGGCGGATAATTTTCAAAATGAATTCGGCTCTCCTCGATTTAAACACCAGCAGATAACCTACTTTTAATCGTTGCAAAATCGTCTTGTCTTTATGACCTTCATCGAATTAGAGACCATCTTTATTTTCTTTTTTAATCTTTATTTGCGAAAAATTTATTTCCCCCGGCTTATTATTATACAAACACCGGCAGATAACTATTAAGTTGCGCCATCAAAATCTTCTTCAGAACGAATGAGGTCACTGAATAACAATGATTTGCTCGAGCTGGTTTATTCTAACAATCGTGACGAGAAGAATTGTGTGATGAAATATATACCTACGATTCACTATGATTAAGTTAACTTAAATTAATTATTTGTATATGTTAAAATTAAAATTTTGTGTAATTCGACCTTTATATTTGAACTATAGTAAAAAGTTTAAATGATATGATTATTGTAAGTGACATTTCGTGACAAAATCAACCTTAATTTGAATCATAATAATAGCTTTCGATGCATAATCTAACACTGGAGTTTACGAGAGAAACAATTTTTAAATAATCAAAAAATTACCAAACCTTTCGAATTTCACTTCGGGAAAATTGACAATAACGGTTAGAACCAGCAGTATTAACAGCTTTTGCGGTAAAGCCAAGACGCAAAATGGGGGTAATTAAGTGTTATAAAATCGCATTGCAAAATTTAGATAGTTCGTTCCGAACTGAATCATTATTTTCTCCTCAGACTCTACCAACGTAGATCTAGTAAATCGGCGTGACTGACCGATTATGTAATTGTAAGTAATAGTAACACTGTTCGATATTAAGAAAAGAAGGAATAGTAACGGCGCGGCCCAGATTCAAGTCAAGGTTGTACGAAAGCATGCAGACCTTATTTTCACTTTTCTACATGTACTTGTATTTTCACTTCTTGAGAATTTTTTCAAGTGTTTATAAACGATTAAAATATTTGTATTGGGCAACGTGCAAGGTTATTAGCAAGGTTGGATGTTTGTTAAAGGGCGTCGCCCACCAGAAGAACTAGTTGGGTGATTCATGAAATTATAATCTTTTTATAGGAAGGTTAAAATTTTTTTTCATTATTTAATTCTTACAATACAAAATTTAACCTCATGGTAAGGTTAAAAATTATTATTTTTGTATTTTTCACATAATGTGAATTAATAAAAGATATATTAAAAAAAATTGTGCGTCTAAGTTTAGCACTATCTAAAAAAAGTTGTTAAATTAATAAACAATTAGATGTTGATTCGATTATCGTGGTGCTCAACATCGTGGAAATTCCATGTTAATTAACATCAGTGTATAACACCAACTAATTCTAACCAAGACATAATATCGGCTCATTCACAATCTTAATTAAGATCGTAATGTTTTTCTTTCTCAAACTTGGATGTGACTTTTTGTCCAGAAAACTTTAATATGGAGATATTTTTGTGAGTCGGGATTCTCAACATCAGTTGCAAAAAAACTAGACATGAAACATGATATGCATTTTGCGTTGTCTCATTAATTTTATCTTTTTATTAAATGTGGTATAAAGGCTTCTAAAAACGTCGTTAAATTCTGGAACAATGCTCATAAAGTTATTTGATCATCAATGTGTCTCACATCAGCACTAAAACAATTTTTGCTAGACTTGATGTATCACAATACAGAGTATGTAGAACTGTCACTAAATGCTTTATCCATACTCATCCTTTGCAACGTTTGAAACCAGCTCAGTATACGAAGCATGAAACTTTGTGAATGAATTTTAGATAAAGTGAAGAGAGATTTTGTATTTCTCCGTAAGCTAATTTGGAGCGATGGAAGAAATTTGATAAAATGAAAGGCTTTTATCTCAGTTTGTGGATCAATTTGTAAAGTGAGTTCATAAAACAAGATCTTTATTGGACAAACCAGTTAGCCCAGAGTGTGCGTGAAAATCTATCAACATCAACTCATCATCGCTCTCAGGAACTGAAAATTTATTCAATTCTCTGAGAAAGCTTTTGCATAACAACCTCGGTATGAAGACTTACTGGGCTGGAGATCGCTTTGTCGAAAATAAACATTTTTACCGAAAAATTATCTTTTCAGATGAAGCCCATTTACACATCGATGGCTATGTCAATAAGCAAAATTGTTGGATTTGGGGCTCAAAATCATTTAAAATAGTACTTGGGTACTTGGGGCCAACTATAGCAATTATTTGAATAACGTTGTATTTCATTCTTAAATGATAAGTTACCGCCTATCTAATAAAATCATACTTTTGAAAAAATATTCGTTACACTTTCTTTTATACCTGCTTCAAAATAGTTAAACCCCTTAGCTTTATTTCCAAGATAACCAAACATTACAATACTTTACATTCGTTTTTAATAAAATTACTTTATTAAGTTTTAATTATAAAATCTAATTTAAGTTAAAGAGTAAACTATATGATTTTCCATTATAAACTAGCCAATAAAAAAATCGTAAGCAGTCTATTGGAAATTTATAATTAACAATACAGAAAATGCACAAGTTGCTGCAACGGACACGTAACACTATGTCGAAATATTTTTACACCAAACCAGTGTCAATTAAGAAGAATTGTTTGAAGTTATAACATCATCAGTTAAGAACAACGTATAATTGCACCATATAAACAGAAAAATCTAATAAAAATGAATATTTTCTCTTTATGTAATAATTAAGATTTATTTGATTTTATAATTCAATGTATAGAATAAATAATATTTAATTTTTTAATGATATAGAATAACCGTTACTAAAATAATTAGGCATTTTCATCATACAAGAAGTAGTGAATAAGTCTTAAACTATTTTAGTGATTGGAAATATTTTTAATTTCCTATGTATATAAAATCTTTTAATTAATCGTTCAAAAACACATTCAACGTGTTTTTCCTCCTCATTTATGGAAACATTTACGATTTTTCTAACTTTCAATTGAAAATGTTAAGTTGATTATTAACACTTTTATAGTTATTTAACTAAACATTCCACGAATAATGTAATAATCATTAAAATGTAGTTTAATACATTAATCGCATTGAGGTGTAATGAAAACCGGTATTTATTCCTCACTCATTTCCAGAATACATGGTTATTAGAGAAATTACCAAAATTCCCCATTATGAACATCTCTTAATTAGCTCGTAACTTTCTTTCCATTGTTATAAAGTGTTAATGCAACACGCATTTTTATTATATCAGTCGAATTGATATGTTCAGTTAGTTAAGTTGCGACATTTAACACCAAATAAATTTAAGTGAAAATATATAAAGCAGTACTTTTTTGGATAATTGAATTAATGTAAGTTTTAAATATTTTTTTGTTTTTATTATCATTCTTTCCATTTTAAAAGATTGAAGTAATTAATGCTGATACCAAAGTTTTTGAGATGAAATGGTTACCATTAGTTATAAACCTATTGGTACTTAGAAATGTTATGGTTGTAATAGGCAATAAAACGGTTTATGCTTTTATTTATTACCTATAAATGTTGTATTATGTCTTTTTTGAAGAAACTGCATTAAAGTTAACAACTAATTCTATAAGAATATATTATTATAGTAAATTAACTAAAATTGTCTTAAAAATCAAAAATTAAAATAAATTTGATAAAGCTAATAGTAATAAAAAAATGTACTTACTGTAGTACTAGTAAAGTTGTCTTGAATTTCAGTAACATTAACGAATTCATCTAAACCGGTAAATTTGTAAATTTTTTCTAAAGACATCTTGGAAACTATTATTTAAAAAATTTACACGCAACTTGGGCTGTACTTCACGGTTGACACACGTATCGTCTTTTGACGGACCACGAGTAGCCACAGATGACTTTAAAGCATTCGCTGTGACGCAAAAATAATTTCAGAGAGATACCATGTGAGAGATAATCACTTTACTTCTAAACTGTTTGTTTGTTTCTCGCCGATCAAATTACACCTACCGATTGATCTGTGATCCTTTCGATCATTTTGGTTTGGAACCCCACTCTTCACAGATTTTCAACAAACACGAGTAATGCGTATGGTGAAAGGAACTTTTTAAAAATTTTAATTTGTTAAAAATATCAAATTTTTTTATTAAAGGATGTAAATAATTTTTACTTTGCGTGTTTTCGTTAATTATCGGATATATGTATTTAATTCGTAGGGACAAAAATTAATCTTTATTATTATCGAAATTCTTCTACTTCATTTCATTCGTTTCGAAATTGTCTTCCTGACAACGATAATTGCATAAATCAATAAATTCATTCTGATTTATTATCAATAATATTACCTCCTATCATCATTTCACTCAAAATAATTCACTGGTGAGTAAAAGTTATTAAATCTCCTGAATAATTTACTTTTCAATGTGTCCTTTAATTGCCGTCCAAATTGATCCTACGTAAATTACATTAAAAACAACTCGTTATTACTTCCTAGTATTTTTTTTCGTAAAAACTTTTAAATTACTTTGACTATTGATGAAAAACACTAATTAATTCTAATTTCTCCGACAATGTTTGTTAGAAAGAATAGTTTTTTTGCAACACTTTTTATTATCAATTAAAATATTCTTATAAATAAAGTGAGTAAAGGTCTCAATATTTATTCAAGGCTTTTTATCTTTTTTTGTTAATTACACAGGATGTAAACTCTAGCCAAGAATTCCTGGAGATTAAATTCACTATAAGTCCTTTAAACAATATTTTTTATGGCATATCAGATCATCTTACCAATTCTATGTCTTCATTATATCAAACGAGCTAAAGAAATAGCTTCTCAACTACTTGACATATTAACTCCATTTGCAGCACCTAGTATTCTACATTCTATTATAGCAGAACTTTGTTTTTTGTGGTATCAAAATTGTGAATAGCAAATCTCGGTATAGTCACTTATATGGGTTAGTGATACGTGGTAACTGATATATCCACAACGTAGTTACAACCTTGATGGAACCAGTAAGAGCAGTCTCTGCTCAGAGTCTTGAGATTTATGCAAGCAATGAAAAACAGAGCTTACCATGAAGGTAACAATCGTTGCATGAAAATGAGTCTAGCTACTTTAAAACTATCATCAACTATACTCAAGAGTTGAGAGCACGTAACACCAAACAATAATAAGCCAATAAATGATATCGCCAGTTCACAGAGCTAACAGCCGTTACAACCGATAACGTTGGGTCTTCTGTACATTCTCATAGCTTTATCCAGAACCGTAAACTCTTACATTAACATCCGTCATCGAAGAAAACAGCTCTACAGATTTATAGCATCCTCCATTTTGCCATATGCCATTAATAACTACTCTACGTTTCTTGAAGACGAAGTTAACAACAGTTCAAGTATAAATGACAGCCTTGTAAATAATGGAAAATAGTGAGAATGGTAATAGCTTATCAACCAGTACACAAATTAAGTATCGTAAACAAGAACCTCGTCGAGGTTAAAAACAACAGGCAAAATAAATGAATAATAATTATATGAATTATTTATCTTAATAAATGACTAGATAATGTTTACAGAATATAAATATACATATTGCTCAAGCCTCCAAGGGAGAATGCACAAGGGGCCCACTGGGGCCTAAGTGCGAGCGTAAAAATTACGCACTCCACGCTTACATACATACATACATACATACATATTGCTAATAGACGGCTACATACTTGCAGAAGATCATCTACTGCTTGAAGAAAACTAGATAATGCTGACAAAAGACAAAATAATGCCTGCAAGAGATTACCTACTGCTGGCAGAAGACTAGATAATGTTGACAGAAGGCTAAATAATGCTTGCAGAAGATTAGATACTTCAAATGACAAAATGCATGACTAAGAATTTCATTATCTTAGTATAACAGGATAGCTTGCGAAGCTGGTTTCCTATAAATTAGTTTGCTACATATTATTATGTAATGAAAAATTATTGATATCTTATTAGCAGATGTACCAACCAAGGAATTACTTTTCAAGCTATGTTTACCTCTTCCTTAAAGACATGGTTATCAAAAATGTAATTGTATGAAAAAATACACAACCAAGAGGTGTTTGTATCGGGATGAATCGTAAGAGAAATAAGCAGCTATGAAGGAGTGGCTTTGATTTTGTTCTGAATTTTGTAATTAGATTTTATATATCAGACTGTTTATCCAAACTGCGATGGATAATGTCAAAGAACAAGTTTCATTACGAAACCATTCTCTATCATGTATGACAGCCGATCAAGTTTATAGCTATAATAATAAGAATCATATTTAGTTCTTCTCGAGTTTCGTTAGGTAGTTCATTTATTATTTCGAATAGATTAGATATTTTAGATAAAATATTTATTGGTTTTTAATTATTCATTGAATTTCTTTGGTTTTAACTTCTTTCAAGTATATTTTTATCACAAGATGATGATCTTCATAGAACGATATGCTGCTATAAAATGCTATAAAATCTTTTGAAACATCATATTCTAGATGATTTCCTTACTGTTCTTTTCGTTGTTTTTCATATTTTTTAACTATTGGCTCCATTTGAAGATGGTATTATTAACGAAAGCTTGCGGAGTGTTGAATCACCATTTGACATGATTTAAGAGATAGGCAACCAAACATACACACAGCATATTCTTTAGCTTATTACCTAGATTAATTTTAATTAAAATAAATAATATAAATAAATATTTTTGTTTTTATTAAAGATTGTTAAAAAATGACAACAGAAAGATATCGTGTTATTCGAAGATTAAATGTCAGATTATGATGTTAACGGCAGACTCAGCCACTTCTTCATCCTATCTTAATTCGATATCTTTTTCTGCCTGACTTAAAATATTCCGATCCATTCATTTGTGATCACCACAATGTCGATACCTTGTCATCGCCATATCCATCTTATCCAATATATTAGTTGTACTGAAGTTTAGAATTAACCCACAATAACTCCTTATGGTGCAATCTATTTCTGAACTCATCGATTTTCAATGAACGTACATTTTTCTAGCCAAAGGGTCTAGTTTAATTTTGTCATAAGGCATTATATGCAATTTTGTTTTCATTCAATACATCTGTAACATGTGGCATTCAATGGCCTTCAATGGTTTATTGAATCTTGATTTTAACCTTTGCCAAATACTTTTTTTGGCAGCAATCATTATATTTTTTTTAGTAAAAAGTAGTCATTCTGCAGTGTTTCTTTTTAATTCATATTTTGGTTCAACAGCTGACGATTTTCTATCATTATATATAGTACCTATATAATTAGTAACTATTTTGAACAAAATATTCGTACATCTTAAAAATGTACTGATAAAATCAATAAAAGTATCTTAATTTTAATAAATAAATATTTTTTTTTATTTTTAGGCTATTCTATTCTTGGCTGATTTCAAACTCCAAATTATTATAACACCAAACAATGGATATTGTTTTTGATTATTTAACACACACGATGGAAGCAACGGCAAATATTTCCACCTATTGTCATGAACTTTATAATTATTTGATATATGATTTAGCAGGTAAATGTTTTTAATTCGATTTTTTTCTGTATTAATTAATTCTGTAACATTTATTTTAGATCCAAGAACAAATGATTGGTATTTAGTTAAACACCCCGTCGTTTTTCCAATTGTCATGATCTATTTATTTGTAATTTTAAGAGTAATACCGAGATTTATGAAACATCGAAAACCGTTTGAATTGAAATCAGTGCTAATCGTTCATAATTTTCTTCAAGTTTTAATTAGCATAATTATAGTAGCTATAGTAAGTTATTTTGTAACATATTTTTATGATAAATAAATATGTTTAATATAAATTTTAGGGTGTAACAGGAGGATATTTCACCCAAACCAACTTTAGATGCCAACCAGTTGATAATTCTTATAGCAAACATGCTGTTTTTGTACGTATTAATAATCATTAATTCTTAAAAACATTTTTAGTAATTTCTTTTACTTCAAATTTTTTTGCAGATGATGATAGGATGTTACGCATATTATCTAGCGAAATATACTGAATTATTAGATACAGTTTTCTTCGCACTCAGGAAAAAGAACAATCAAATCACGTTTTTGCATCTTTATCATCATTCTGTGATGCCAATGATTAGCTGGGGTGCCACTAAATATTATCCTGGCGGTCATGGAACTTTTATTGGTATGGTTAATTCTATGGTACACATCGTTATGTACACGTATTATTTAATATCCGCAATGGGACCAAAATATCAGAAGTTTTTATGGTGGAAAAAATATATTACAACAATACAATTGGTATGTATTGAAATTTATTCAAAATGATTAAGGATTTATTTTTATGTGTGTTTCTAGCTTCAATTTGGTTTAATTTTCGTTCATCACATGCAACTTCTCTTCTATGATTGTGGTTATCCTAGATGGGTAACAATTCTGATCATGCCAAACGCATTCTTCTTTTATTACTTATTCTCTGACTTCTACAACAAAGCTTACTCGGCTAAGAAGAAGCTTACAGCAGTTAATGGTGTAGCCAAAATAGAACACGCTAAAGGTTACAAAGAAACTAACAAAGCAAACGACGTACTCAACGGAGACATTGCTAAGAAATCTTTGTAGTGGATAGAAAATGTTCCTATTATTTTATAACAAAAATATGATTTAATTAATGATAATTTAAGTATTAGTATATGCGAAAGTGTGATGAGAAATAAATATGTTAATATTATATAATATTAACATTAAAGTTCCGTTGTTATATACCTTTTAGAACGCATAGTTTTTAAATGGCTGTGTGTATTAAATAAAAAGTAATAGAATTTGAATAAAAACATGGTCAATTTGAAATTTTGATACAGTTTACTGTGTTAGAATTAAGCCGTAACAAACACGCAATTTAGAGCTCAATTGTTAAGGTAGAATATTTGTTAGTAGGATCGTATTATGTAAAATTAAAGTCAATTATCTCAATAATAAAAATTGTAGTATATGCAACAGATTGTAATTATTTTTAATCACTTAAATTGTGTACTTTCAGGTGTGAACCAACTAAAGTTTTAAAAATTACCGTAATAAAATTATATAAACTTTTCTAACGACTACATTTAATTTTATAACTTTTTGTGTAATTTTGCTTTATTAAGCAAGTGTAAAAGAAGTTGCCTAAAATTCATTAATCATATAGTAATTGTATACTAATTGTAATTTTAATACCTAGACAACTATTCACGAATGTATTAATGAATGTATTAACAAACCATTAAATAACTATTTCTTCATAAACTCCTAAAGCTATAATTCAATGATGAATTACAAGCCATTTGTTTACCTGAGCACAATTAACTAACAATATGAGTTAATTTTAATGTTGATGGGAGGCACGAGCATTAATATGTTGACTTGTCAACATCGATACCTTGAACCCAACCAAAATGATTGCAAACGTGTGTAACAATAATAAATTAATTAAAATGAAGCGATACATAACTGCATTTACATAGAAATAAGCTTTTTGCTCTATAATCCAACTAAATAATATATTGCTCCAAAACTGCTCAAGTTAGATCTCGAGACTTTTATGTCAAGAACTGTAATCGGAAGAGGAGTGTACTGCGAACAACGTATATTGAGAGGCTAACAGCGTCCATAAATTGACGTTGTTCATAAAAGAACATTCTCCAAAAACCACATTTATATGGAGAAGTTGGAGATAACTCTTTCATAAATCTCTATAAAAGACAAAAATTCCAACCCCACAGACAATTAAACACTGGGCAATGGACAACAAATGAGGCAAAAAGATCTTAGCAACTAAGTTTATAGGTAGGAAAGAGGGAAGAGAGGAGTTAGTTTTGAAGCATATAATCTCTTTGTATAAAACAGCGATAATAATCTAATGGACACTTAATCTAGAGTAGCCCACCGTACACCTGAAAAGCTACATGGTCAAACTTTTAGACCACGTTCAATTGAAAAATGAGGCAGTGATTTCTTCCAAATTGGAGAACATACTCTTGATTATAATTTTATGTACTTCACAAACTGAGAAGGAGTAGGAGAATGAATTATTGATGAACAATTAAGTTAAATCAACCACAGAGTGAGATGTTAAAGACTTTTAAGTTCTAGTTGCTCTAGATAGATATTAGAAATGATCTCTGTACAGATTCCCAAGCATTTCTATGGAGCTACAAATCGCTAAAAACCTAGGAATGTTTTAATATTAGAACTACTTAATAGTATTTATAATTTCTTGATTCTTCTTCTTTATAATTTTCTAATTACACCATGTACCTATCTTTAACATTCGCGATGAAAATAACGATTTGTGCCATTTTTTGTAAAATTTTGATAAATCTTGTTATATCTCGAAAACTCCAACAAATCTGATAGGTTAATCAAATAGATGGTGTTCAATTTAAATTTCTCCAGTTGGCCATAATCAATTGCATGACGGGATGCAACTAAAGCCGTTCCATTTGGGTTCCATCTTATTTCCTTGATTGTTGGTTGAGAGCGGAAGTGTTGACCATCATGTACACATATTTTAAATCAAACGATCATTATGTACTATTCCCATATTTTAATTTCAATGGCGTAGGAATAATATAATCCATAAATCTAATGAACTCCTTTCGTGGAATAAGTTTGAGTGTGTTCTTTTGGTTCTTATTATCTTATACATTTTATTATGCAGATGAGTTCAAATCTGAATCGATTTTAATATTACCGTTAACAGAATTAAAATCAGAATTTATTTTTTTCAAATTATGACTTCAATTATAGAAAATTGGAATTCTTACACCTTAAATTATTATAATAGCTATTATATACTATTATATCATTATCAGTTATTAGGTTTACCTTTAATTTCACTTTTTTGGTTTATTAAACGCGCATAATTAAACCTTTAATTTCATTCAATTTTTTGAAACTACTTTTTTTTTTATTAAACCTTTAAAATAATTAAACTGCGAATACGTCATGTTAGGAGAAACAAGGCCACTCAAGATATATTACACCAAACAAATAATACAAAATTTCTTAGAAGTTTGCAGAAAAATGGAAATACCAAAATAACACTTCTATGTAGGTGTTAATTTAATAGTTAAAGACGCATTCAAACTTAAACCAATGTCTATAATGTTTGGGGAATGTGAGTCAACAAGAAAAAGACGTGAATTGCCGACAAGAGGAAGAAACATTTAGACACATATCAAAATTAACTTAATGTAAACACCATCAAAAGATATCAAATTCACGAAATACTGTGCTTTATAAATAATAGCGCTACACAATTTAAGATGCAAATCTTTAATTACAACATGATGTCACCTAATGCTAATGTCGTGTGGAAAATTTTTTAAACATTTTATTTTCAAATAATACATTTATTGAGTACAGTTCTACATTCTTGTGTACAATTGACAGACACCTTTTTTTTGTGTTTCTATAAAAACGGCCTAACGGCAATGTTAATTTAATACCCACTTAATTACAAAATCGACCATAAGTAAACTACAAGAACAATTAAACCTACGAAAATTGTGTCACCAATTTTTTAACCCTTCTTAACTATGTCAAAATGTTTGGAAAAACATTTAGTTTTTTTCGCATTTCTAAATGTATTTTTACATGTTGCTCATATGACACTGTTATATGTAAATACTTATTTATATTTCGTAATCTAAATGAAGAGAAACATGTAGTATCAAAGCACATCGTCTTATAATTGTTTTAGATTTTCTAACTGTTCTATGTAGACATATCTATTAAAGCCACCAACAAAGTCAGTTACTAACGATTTCCGTCCAAATGTTTACTAAATCGCCAACGATTTTAACGATGCAAATTGATGGTTCTCGCAACTTTGAGCGCGTCATCGTTCCTACAAATCCTCTCGTTACTGCGTAAGTTAAATACACGTATGTGTACATGATATTGTTGTATCAAATCTTTGAACGTTGGACGGTCTCTCGATCTGTAATTATATAGTCGATGTTAACAATCTTTTTTGTCATTGTGTGCTAGTGGTATATAATTTTAATAATATGGTACCTGGATTTAATTGGAGTGATTGGGCATGTTAATTATGGCTATTTACACAATTAAAAAAGGGTACGTAACAATGGTGAAAATATAAAATCAGGAAAGTTAACCTGTAAGGTAGCTCTTCTTTCTTACAATACACTATGATTAACATCGGTAAGATTTGTTAAAAAAAAAGCCTCGATAATCTAGATCTTCGCAATTTCTGAAAACGATATTTCTGATGACAAATTCCACATGGTTTAAAAAAACTCAAAGTTTAAACGCAAAGTCCCAACGGAGTTTCTGTTAAGTTTAAGTAAATTTCAAAATTAAAATCTAAAAAATAAAGATAAAGCACTAAATTGTAATAATTTATTATTTTTAACAACACCCTACTAGATATAGTGTAACATATCTATATTTCACAAAGTATTTTTTAAATAATAATATCTAACTTTTAAATTATAAATATGTATGACTACTTTTATTTTATTTTAAAGAAATATTTACAACACAATAGACCACTTAAAACTAGCAAATATTTAAAAAAATTGTCTTTGCTCTCTAAACATACTGGGATAATTCAAAATTTGATAACTAACTTGAAATTACATCAAGCAAAACGCCAACAAGAGTCATTCAAATCATACCATATCATTTTGAATCACCTATCTACTCGTTCTTTAAAAGTAACCGAAAGACTCCCTTAAATTCTATATAATATTAATTAAATTAATTAGTTTTTAATCCATCCTTTTCTTTTAACGTTGTCGTTATATTTTTGGGATCGCTATGGGTGCCGTTTTCAATCAATTTTGGTTTCTTTTTATAAGCCTTTCTGTAGAAATCACTAAATAAATATAAAAATATGGCAACGTTTCCAACAAAGAAAAAGGTTAAGGCTTTAGGTAACTTGCAATCCATAATAACAAGTGCAGATAGGTATGCTAACATAATGCAGAATTGACCCTAAAATTAAAACGAGAATAAACGTGGAAAATGTAATTATTATTTTTATACTCACCAACTGAATCCATGTCATATACTTCTTCCACCATAAGTATTTTTGATATTGCGGTCCTAAAGCAGCGATTAAATAATAAGAATACATAACAATATGTACGGAAGTGTTTAAAAATCCAATAAATATCATTTGTTCAGCTATAACACAAATGCAATTAGTTAAGATTATAAAGTAATTGTGTTAATATTACCTGGTAATAATTTTAGATAACACCACGAAAAGAACGTCATAATCGAATGATGATAAACGTGCAAAAACGTAACTTGAGATTGTTTCTTTCTTAAAACGAAAAAGACAGTATCCAAAAGTTCGACTATTTTTGAGAAAAAGTACCACCAAGCTGCTGTTGAAACCTATTTAAAACATAATTTACAATTTAATAAAATACCTATAACAAAATTATTAAACATTACCTGTAATTTATAAGGAAATGATTCCGAAGTTGAGCAACTAGATACAATATTATACATAATTCCTTCTTTAAAAATCATTACGTTACTACACAACCAAAGGCTAAATACTACTTGATAAGCATTATATGCTATAAGAGAATTTTTTAAATCAAAAGGTTTTCTATTTTTCATTAATTTTGGTCCAAGATATAATACGAAATAAAGATAAAGAATTAATATGGAAACTACAGGAAGCGGCGATTTCATAAAGAGCCAACTGTCTACTAAAGGATCTGAAAGATAAAAAATAAAAAATAAAAAAATTAAATTTATCGAATATTAAAACAGTTCCGCATTCAGGTCGTAAAAGTTAACCAAGATATAAGCATTGAATGGCTGTCATTAAAACACTTATGGCAAAATCTAATTAACAAAACAGTTCAAATCGTATGGGTAATTACCTTTCTTCGCATCCAAGACCTCATTGTAATTGTCGACCATCATATGCATAAAGGACGACATACTGACCTGCAAAATCAAAAATAAAAACGCTATTTTAATCCATTAGACATAGCTGATCCAAAAAGAAAATTCATCATATATACAAAAAAAAAAAGAAACGAAAAGAGAAAGTATGTCCAAAATATACCGCAATTATCGGAGGAGAAACGAAACCTGCTGATGTCAAAATAACGGCACCTCTTTCACGAGGTTGGTTTTGTGACCCAGAATTTGATATAAATCACTTTCTTTACGGTTTCTAATAATCATTTAATTTTTTATTAAAAATTTTTTTCCTTCCGTTATAAATACTATTCGTCGGAAAACTGACTGTATATTTTATGTAAATGTTGACACAACATAATCGAATACCTTAACATTATTTAATTATGCAGCAAATTTTACTTTTCACTTCGTTTACGTGCTTAGATAGCAGTTAAGCCGTGATAGATAAATTTACATTCATTCATTTCAAAAAGTATCGAATTGTTAGACAATGAACAATGAACCATATTATTTTATATTCTAGTTTACATTTATTTCCGTTCATTGTATTTTATACAATGATCTAAACATTAGTTCAAATATTTGGTATCACATACAAAAAATCCAAATAATTAACATTTTTCGATTTTTTCAATAATTGCTCATGATTAATTTATATTCAACGTAGTTCATCTAATTTTGTGGATAAGTGCTGGATAAGTACTTGATAAGTATGATTCATTTAAAAATAAATATAAATTGAGTAATTAATTGAAAAAACATGGGTTAATTTAAAAGTGCTTTTTTATGTACTACACTTAGATGAGCAATTATTTTTTTCCAAAAACAACTTTAATTCTTAAACGAATTTGGAAAGCTAATCCTTTTTGAGAATTACACCAAATTGTTAACAAAAATAATTAGTTTGGTGAAATTCATAAAGCTGTATTAAAGTATAGTTTAAATTTGTAATAATTTTAAAGTAGTTTAATAATTACTACTTTCACGTGCAAACTTATTACTTCAACGAGAAATTGTCTATTGTTAACTCGCTAAAATGACTTCTTAAACGAGGTCTTGTTCCGGTTCGTTTCCAGCGACTCTCCATCAAATTGATCGTAAGCTGAGATATCACAGTAAAATGAATAAGACGATATATCATCTTGTAAACTCACATTCTTATTCTTGAATCAACTGACTTATAAAAGTATTTGGACTTAATACGTAAAACCATTAAAAAAAAATTAACTAAAATTACAGTTGAATGTTTCAAATTAAATCTAAATCGTTTATTCGAATAAAAAATTTAAATATTCTAAAACTTTTATAAAATTCTTAACTACTTGACGAAGCTTTACCTGCTTTTTCTTCTTTGGTTCTGGAATACTCTACTAATAGATATTTAAAATCATCAACACTTCACTAAATGGATGGTGGTTGTAATGACCCAAACCTTTCTGGCTTTCCAATCACCAACTGTTTCGATTTTGGACCGATGTAAGTCCTTTAAAAGTTCTGATGTATCAACGGAGGTGTTTCCCACCTTTCACCTTTTCAGTGGGGAGGGAAATTAATACAAAACGTCTTCCGTGAACTTAACAATAATTATATCGATTATTGAAATTAATAAAATGACAAAATTATAAAATTATTTTCTAATTATTATTTTTTCCATTTTAACAAAAAAATAAATTTTAATAAGTGACTAAAAAATGTGAAATTGCAGTTATAAGGTATGGAAAGGAAATAATTATAAAAACTCTCTTCCTAAATGTTAAAATAATGACAGACACTCCAGAAGAAACGTGATCCTTTGTTATTATTCTGTTCTGAATATCTTTTTTTATCTTAATCCGAATTAATAGCAGTTTGTTGCGGAAGCTCATTACAAAATACTTAATTTTAATCGTTTAAAAACGAAATATTTTTTTTTTAAATCATGGTTTATCAAAGTAACACTAAAAGCAAGTTAAGTTAATGCAGTTTTATCGTAAATAAACATTAAATGTTTGTCGTAATATGACCTCTATAATTACAACAACTAATCTTTAATACATAGAAAACTAATGTAAAAGTTATATATATAAACTTCGTTTTTAGCAAGAACTTAAACTTCGGTAGCAAGAAAGAAAGGATGAATAGAAAGACACTTCAATGCAAAAATTTAAGTCTAACAACTACAAAGAATGTTGCAGGGAAAAAACTCAAAGATTAATTAGCACTGAAAAAAACAGAAGCAAATGAATTCTAACTATGAAATTTCTTGTAACTTAAGCCCGCCATAGGTTTAGGGCAAATCTGACGAACCTTATTGCTCCAAGGTCTTATTCCTTTATGTCAGTAGGCGGCAGGTAAACTTTTTCGAAAATTTTGTGTCTCTAACTTGTCGTGGTAAAGTCGACAAATTTCATCCTCAGCTTATCCAATCTTGAATAAATGGTATTTTATGGGCGTATTTCCGGTCAGGAAACCTCTTTGGTTTCTTTTTGCGACGGAGTTGTCATACTTTTCCAGTGCAAGGCTACCTTTGAATCCTTGTATGTGCTAATTACCTATTTTATGTGGCTTTTTTCTAGTCCACAACCAGGTTGGGTCCAATAAAGGCTGTCCTCGCTGCCTCTTTGGCCAGCTTGTGCGCCTTTTTGTTACCCTCAATATCATTATGACCTGGAACCCACCATAGAGTAACTTTATTACCCCTACGTATAATATTAGCGGGAAAATCAAAATTAGTGACAGTATCAGGAAATGAAAGCTAAATATCTTCAAATTTTATGGCTGACACTTCCTAGTGATCGATGGTCAATCGTTGTTTCATACAATGAAATCTTCATTCTCTCTTAATGTGATTCATAAAGCTACTACCAAATAAGTACTTCATCATTCAGAATGCTTGGACAACTTCCCGTTATTTACACATCTTTTAAGACATTTCTTTGCATCTGCATCACCTTATAATAAAACGGGAACATGCGATCAATATTTCTTTGAAAACTTTGTGATGGTAGTCTAATAGTTACAATTTTATGGAGGATTTTTAGAACTAATACTTATGTAAAAACGTGACACTTCTTAATGTAGTTTCAAGTAGTGGAAAAATTATTAAACTCAAATTTGTATTATTAAATATGAATTAGAAGTAACTTTTTATTTTATTCAATAACTCAAATTTTATAGTGAGAATGTATAAGTGGTTCTTACACCGTTTGCTTCCACGACCTGCAGAAAAAAATGAAGATTATTAGTAAATTGTAGGCACCGAATATTTGCGTTTATACAAATTCAAACAATTCGAATTTGAATAGACAAACCCACGTCATTAAGAAATACCAAGGACATACCCACTATTCAATCTCAACATTACTACTATTTTACATAAACTATTTTCTTATAAATATAATATTAAATAAATTATGTTATGTTGTAGAAATACATATAACAATAATTCATATATGTTGACATATTCAATGAATGCAAAATTTGCACAAACAAATTATTCTTTGACAATAAAGTGTACCTCATTATCGTTTCTAAGAAATCATTTACTTGTTAAATTTTAAATCCAAATTATCTATTGAAGTATCCAAAACGCATTAAACAGTTTTAGACGTACAACATATTCCATTACAACTTTCTCTAATTAAACCAAAAGGAGGTTAAAATATTATTGGTCGTCAAACTATAGCTATTGGCGTAGAAATAGCGTTCCATCAGATTGTAAATGAGTGAGCATTCGCACTTAGACGTCTACGCTTACATTTCTCACATCTCATTCTTGTTTGTATTCTCCGTGTTCATAACTAAATTAATATTAGTATTTGTTATTTGGTCATACAATTCTGCGGGCTTTCATAAAACACAAATTTTTTTTTTATTATTGGTAATTATTTAATGATTACAAATTTAACCTTCATTTTAAGTATTACAAATATATCATCTTCATAATAAAGATTTTCCTCAAATTCCTTTTTGTCTTCCTTTTCGTTAATAAATTTCCATAGAACATTATGAACACAATTATTGCCGTTAACTTAGGAAGTTTTAATATGTATCTATTAAATATACGATGCATTTTCACTTATTGGTTTTCATTGTACATGCATTAGCATAACCTTAGGTGAGGCATTAGCACACGCGATAAAGTGGACAAATCAAGACCTTACACGAAACCGATTTAATGTGTATCGTACATGCCTAGAATAACAAAACAAGATATAATAAACATCAACACTAAATGTATTTGCGGTTTAATGTGATTATTGCTTTACTCTCATCGGTGACTATTACGAAGAAATTAATGTTATACAGAAGGCTGCGGTTAAGTTGTAGTTGCCGATCTAATGCTGGTTGAACATGAATGGTTGTTTTACAGCAAAACGTTCTAACGGTAATCATTAAGATGTATGTTATAAAGCTTTATTAATTCGTGTTGGTATACAATTTACATTGCTAAGTACACCGATTAGTATACTTTATTAATCGAAATTTTAGAATCTGTGTTATCATTTTCTTATAACTATTAAATCTGCATAATTATAGTAATTAACAGGTTGTATTTTTATGTGATTTGGAATTAATGCTAAACTAAAGTTTAAAGAATATCTAATAATTTTACAAGTACTCTAAATATAACAAAATTTGGCAAGAATCTAAACATTATTACACGCAACAATATAATGCAGGTAGGTATGGTAAAATACAGATAAGGCAGTACCATTTCACACATTACCTACTTGGGTAATTTTGTAAGAAGGACTCTCTCCTGGCATCAATCAATATACTCCAGATATCGATTGATGCCAAGAGAGATCTTAACCCTTGAGATTCTTGATTTGTAAGATTTTAAGTATTTGCTTGAGAGTGTATGAGAAGTGTTACTTTTGTATTTAAATGCTTTAAACTTTTGGGATCCGTAAAATTTAGTTCTGCCACGGATTTGCCACGAAAAACAGAAAAGAAATAAAAAGAAATTAGATTAATAGCACAATCCCATACAAATTTCAGAACGCATAAGACTGGGCAACTTTAAGATCCACTTGAACATAAAAATAGAAGTATCTGGGTAAAATCATGGATCCAATTTTAAAAGATTATAACCATATCACGTATCTTGCTCAATAAATCTTTCTGTAACAACTTGTTCTTTTTATTACAACACTCAGTAAATTTACACATTTTTAAAAGATGGCAAGGTCATAAGTACTCAATTATTTTCTCTGCTTGTCTCTTAATGACTTCTACAAGTCCCGGTTTGTATCATGTTTTATTTATTTTTAGATTGTCCCTTTTTGTTTGTTTATCTATTTTTATCTCGTTTCTCTACATTTGATTATTTAATTAAATTAGTTCAACAGATTCCACTTCTATGAATTTCTCCTAAATTTTTTTTGAACTTAAAAAGATCGTCTACTTTTTCCTACTATATCAGCATCACTTTGGTTTTATATTTCTAATTCCGGTCATTGGTATTTCTATGTCAATCAAGTCCATTTAAATATTCCAATAGTTTTATAACGTTTGTAATTGAATCTCTGAATACATTGTAACCATTCAATCTATATATTCTATTAGGTCTTTTAATATACCCTCATTTTATAAAACTATAACTTATACATGCTGTCAGTAACAATCATGTTAAATGGGCTTGATCTAGAAAAATTTAGCAATTTACATAAAAAATGTAGCAGAGGCAACTCATCCTATACAACCTTTTTTAGTCAACGTTACAGAATCGTAATAATAATTTCATTGATACATTATTCATATCTTATAGTCTATTAACATTATTGAATTGCTGTTTAATTTACAGGCTATAATTGAATGATGAGAGATGATCATCCTTTTTTATGGCCGCCTTGGCATAAAATTAGAATAAATAAACATAGACTTCTTGTTGAAAAGAAAATTTTAAATTGTTTAACAAATATAATTCATAGCAAATAGAATCGTAATTGCATTAACAAATTATATTGCTCATGCGATATTGTCTCATATTAGAGATTTATTTATACATTTTGAGGTTCTCTAAAACTACATTGAATCAAGCTTATTTTAGTATAATTTATTTTAGGATAACAATAAATATGAATAAATACAAGTATAATAGTATAAAAATTAATAATGTATCAAAATGCATTTAAATTGATAATTGGCCTTGTGGTGTTAAAACTGTAGGTGATATTGGCAGTAAAACATTAAATCCTCCATTTAATACGCAAACTCGGTTTATGTTGCTTTTTAACAATGATTCGGCGAACTATAAAATGTAAAAAAAAATAATCACCTTAAAAACATTAAAATACTCTCTACAAACCTGCATTGAGCTTGCATCATCATAACCAACAATGACAATTGCTTTACAACTGTTTGCCTTTACATGAACGTTATGAACATTTAAAGCTTCTAAATTGGGATCATTTCCTAAAGTGTGAGGAATATTTACACTTCCTATTAAAGCGCAACGATTAAATCTAAAAGAAAACAAAGTTTGTACAAAAAAAAGTAATAAATAAAACGTGTGTTCAATAAAATTACACCTAGGACTTGATAAACTTGATTTAACACAAAATAAAATCATTGAACACACGATTTAAAATAACTAGATTCTTACTCAATAGACCTTCTTATGTCAATACAGAAAATATCTCTACAACCACTCCTTATCAACTCAACAACATCCTTTACGTATATTCTTAAACATAATTCGTTAAAATGCGTACTTGGTTCCTTTAAAAAAAAAATATTTAAACAAAAACTGTATATATATAATTATTTTAGCTTACAAAATCAAGATGTTCAATTTCTTTATTTTGATGTTCCCGAACTGTTAAACTCTTCGGCGTACTTTTATAAGTTCTTAAAGAATCGTTAACGCAACGTTCCATATCAACATCAGGTAAATCAGAAAATAACAAAATGCATTCATTAAATCCTGAGCTCAATAAACGCGATCGCAATTGAGTTAAAACGGACAAACCAACGTGAAGTGGAAATGAAGAATCACCTTGAAGTAGTTTATCCCAAAGATGAAGAATTTTGTGTAGTGGAAATACATCTATAATTATTTTATGTAAAATTTATAATTTTTTATATTTAATAAACTTACGAGAAAACATAGTTAAAAACCAAGGAATCGCGAATAATTCCGGTATAAAATTAATATCGTTTAAATGGTTTGCTAAAGGAGCATCGTGGAATGCGATTAATTGTGAAAATTTTGCTAAATATTCTTGGATAATCGCCGAGTTATCTTTTAAGAAAAACTTGTACAAATATATAGGAATAAATGCGGATAAACAAGCAAAAGCTTTGGCTTCATCATTAAAATTTAAATACAAAAACGGCGCTGTTAACGAATCCAAACCTTGCCAGTAAACATATTGGGAATTTTTGGAAACCCAAGCTTTTAAAATACGTTTCAGCTTTTTGTGACCTTCCGCTGAAGACAGCAGTTCGTTATATTGATGACATCTAGGAATATCAACTTCAATCTGCATTAAAAAAAAAATAATTAATAACGAAAGTTAAAAATATGTAATCTTACTTGGCGATCAGTAACTGTTGGTGTATCCTTATCAATTTTCATATATTCATGTTCATAATTTCCGCGAACATTTAAAAGAGCAGCCCAAATATCACCTCTAAGAAGCGGAGGAATATCAACTAAAGATTGGTTTATAATTAAATCTCGTGTATATGGATATCCCTACATAAAATAATTAATACTAAATATTAAAAAGGTGTTGATTTAAGGGAGAAATATAAACACAGGGTGTTTCTGTAAGTTGTGGCATAGTTTTTTCGATTTCTCATGATAGCATTGCACTGTTTGCCAAATTTTATCTTTCTAAGACAAACCATATTGAAAATATTTAAGAAAATGTTTCAACATTTCTGAACTTTGATGTCCTATATCTTAGCCATTTATGGGTTTAGACCAAACATTTTTACACAAATGGTCATTATTTTGACTTTAGTATTTGTGATTAAAATTATGCCACAACTTACAGAAACACCTGTACATACACAGGTGTCCTACGTAAGCAGCAAATAATTTTAATGTTATTTATGTACTTTTCCGCTTACGTGAGACACCTGTACAATATTAAAATCAAAATTATTAATAAATATTTGTTTAACTTAAACATGTATGTACAAATGATATTTTTCAAGTTCCTATATCAACACGTAATTTATATAATACACAATAAAAAGCTTACATGTAATAATTTTCTTAATAAAATAATACGATGAAATTGATATTCAGGATCTCTTTCCTTAATAACTAAAGGTAGATCAGAAACGTTATAAGCATCCAACTCAGAACGAGCGATTATGTGAGATTTTGAAAAGATAATTGGATAAAATCCGGAAATTGGAATATTTCCTAAACGTTCATGTAAAGTGTCTAAGGGCATTGGAGTTACCCTTGGATCAAAAAGTACGGCGAAATTTCTGTCTTGCCCCAAAATGTTGCCTTCAATCGGTACTAATCTAAAATTAAAAAAAAAATTAAAAACAAATCTTTTGGTTGTTTATTTATTTACCGAGGTAATGATAAAATAGGTGGGCCACTTCTTAAAAGTCCACGCTTTTTTAGTTCCAAAAATACGTCACCGCCAGTTAATTGCCACCAATGATAAAATTCTTTAAGTGTAAAGATTTCATATGGTTTACAAACTTTACTTTTTTGAGGGATTATTTTATTATTAAGATCGTTAAAAATCTCTTTTTGTAATAATTCTTTAGTTGAAGGACGTTCTGATGGAAAAATATTAAGACATTCATTTATTATTTGTTTTAATTCTAAAGGAGTGTTCTAAAATGTGTTTAATTAAATAATGTCAAAGAATGTTATTTATTAATTACTTGATATTCATTAAAAGCATTGTGTTCTCTTGCAATTCTTTCAAAAACAGAACTGGTTGATTGTGCTAAACTTAAAACTTTTTTAATTTTTTGACCCAATTTTAAATTAATCCACAAAACCCTATCTAGAACCAACTCAACCAATATTATCCCCAAAGACCACAAGTCTGATGAATTATGTGATTTGGCATTTTCTGATTTTTGTAAATACACTTCAGGGGCTGCATAATTTGGTTGTCTAAATTTAAGAATCAATTAAAATCATTAACAGAAACAAATAAAACTTACATCAATGGAAATGATACAAGCTTTCCCTCATTCGTCATATGATACATTCCACCATTAAACAATTTAACACCATTATTTTCTTGTAAAAGTACATTTTGGGTACACAAATAACGATGAACGATTCCTTCAGAGTGTAATTTATCTAATCCACATAAAATTTGATAAACAATTTGAACAATATCAATTTCCTTGAAACACTGTTTTCCCAAAAAATCAGATAGAGGTGTACCACAATATTGTGAAACAACTATTATTCTTTCTAAACCAAAAACATATTTATGTTGGAACTTTTTCGTTGTTATTGATCTTACCATGACTTCCTCTAATAGTATCTAAATACTGACATAAATTAGGGTGTCTAATTGTTTTAAGACGCTGAGATCTTCCATAAATTATTATTGAATTAGGGGTTAAAGGTAACCCATTACTACCACAACTTTCACCTTTGTGGGGCTTTGCAAAAAAGGTTATTGCACCAAATTGTAATTCAGGATGGCTCAGTTTTTGACAAACCGTTAATTTATCAGGAACCATTATTTATTTCTATTTTAAATTAATAAATCAAAATATTTTCTTGTATCTATAACTTAATTCCTAAAAAAGTAAGGTTATGTGTGTATGTGTGGTTGTCTATCTGGTCAGGTTTTGGTAGCTCGAAAAGTAAGGTTATGATAAACTGTTTGATAATTTTATTGTTCAAGGACCAAGGTCAAAAAAACGATATAAAATAAAATAAATATTAAAATATAAAGCGAAATATTAACGGTTAAAACAGCATTTTATTATTTTTAGGTTATCAAACTTGACTCGGTTACCATGGTGATTATGATTCAAATATTGCAGGTGCTTGTCAAAATTGAAATTGAATTTAAGTTTTTTTTAAGGAAAAAGTCTTATTTAATTGGTTTAAAAAGGCTGTATTTAACTCAAAATTCGTTTATCTAGGGTATTACAAACAAGGTAAGTGGATTAAATCAAAAAAAGATATTTTTAATTTATTTCTCTTAATTAGAATCGATTTAAATTAATTACAATTAACGAATTTGTTATGAATGCGAGATAATCGTAAAGAATTGTTTTAAAATTAATAAAAATTAGGTTAGAATTGATAAAAAAACCTTATAACCAATACTCAACGGACTTTGTTCAAGGACTGCAGAATCTAAGAGGAGAGTAAGCAACCACTATTTCATACTTTGAATTAGCAAAATGAATCTTTCAATCTTGATCTAGTTTTGCCATGCCCCTCTTAAAACGCCTAAACCTGAATGTTTCTAGTTCTAGTTCATTAGTTCTACTTTTAGTTTAATAAAAATATACAACAATCTAAAGCTAAATAACAACTAAAACTAGAGGGTGCTAGAGGTAGCACTACAACTAATCAACAATCTAGTGCTGAATAACAATTAAGACGGGTTTATTTATTTTTAACTCTGTATTTTTGGTAATATTAAATAAATTAAGCAATACATTTCCAATATATTTTAATAAAATACATATTCATAAAATACAAAATAAGTGACCATCCCTTTTTGCTTTTGGCCACAATCATTCAAATATACATCTTTCTTTCACTACCTTTTACTGTCTGTAGTAATTTTCTTCTACACTTCTTCCTTCCAAAGTATAAATAAAACAATTATATTATGAATGTACATTAAAAAATACATGCATATGTATAAATACATAACAATAACAAAATCTGTATAAACACATTATTAATTAACCAATGAATGAATTTAGCTCTTCGTTTTTAAATAATGTTCAGAAAATGCCAATAATCGATACCGTTGCCTTAAATTTCTGGCTCTAACGTGCGGATTTGCTATTTCTTGGATATAATTTGATGGAAACCAACCACATTCTCCTCCACTAATTTTTTCCCCATAATACCATCCTAAAAATAGACCATAAATACAACTTCTTTAAAATCACATTACAAAAACTTACCATCAGCCATTTTTCTGTTAACATAAATGACATCTCCTCTAATTAAAGTTAATTCATCAGCTTGATTTGCGACATAATCATGAACGGCAGTAACTTGTGGACAATCCCATCTTTCATAAAGTGTCTCATCAGGATCTTGCGAATTGATTGGCATAAGTACATTTAACCATCTTTCTCTATCCGTGTCTGTATTGCAAGAAAGTAACATTTCGATCAATTTTTCTTCTTGATTTTCCAATATAGTTAAAAAGAATAAATGTCTTCCCTGTGCATCTTTAGACGATAAATTTGGAGCAACATCCACGTTGATTTCGATAAAATTCCTGGGGCAATGATGAACAACCACGTAAGAATCGTCAACGCTTTTGTATTTAGCAATCATAAAGAGGTCGTTGAAAAGGAATAAGAATAAAGGAACTTTAGAAAATCGTCTTCCAAATGTAAGTTTTACATCTTCACCTCTTGTAACGAGATGAGTAACTGGACCGGATTTAACTAAATAACGCGAATGCGATGCGATATCAATCGGTTGGAATCTGCCGAAATCAATTCGACTCTTTAAAGCTAGTATTTCAGTTTCGCGTTCTTTATTTCTAGCTGCTTCGTTACATTGTTTAACGATTTTATTAATCGTTGCCAAAGCTTCCTGACACGTTATATATTCCCGATCAGTAACGCATAATCTTTTAAGTACTGCATCCAAAAGTAACGGCCATCTGGTTATCCTTTGCATTGGTAACATTAAAAACGAGTATAAAGTTAAAGCTTGACAGGCAGTGCTTTTTTCTAAACGTTCTAAAGTTTCATTAAAAATTGTTCTATCCCTAAAATAAATTGATATATTTTTAGATGGTTAATAGCTTTTTATTGGATATTTATAATAAGACTTACTTAATTCTTTTTAATGTACTATCTAAATATACTTGATTTTCACAATATTGAACGTAGACGTTAAAATTTTCTTCAGCGTGCTTTTTGATTACATCGCAGATTTGGTGTAAGAGAATTGAGTCTTGCCAACATTTTTCTAAATCTTGTAGTAATTTTTCTGAGCAATTTTTCACTAAAATAAAAATGCATTTATGTAGTGTACAGAACGATCCTTAAATTACACAACATATTTTTCATATTTCTCAGAATGTCTTATTCTATAACATTTTAAAATAATGCTAAAGCGCTTTGCAAAGTTCGTATTGCTTTTGCACATCATAAAGTATACGTGCAACTATCCTCGATTTAAGCAACAAATTTTCAATAAAAATTTCAATAATTACACTGCTTTTCAGACTGCTGTAAAGACTCCAAATGAAGCTAATTCAACAGTGTCAAATGAAAACAGTCGTAATATCTGCAAGTTTGATAGAAAACGTAAGTTTATTCATTCAAAGAGATTTATTAGAGTTGATTATATAACAAATGAGTTAGCACAATATTTTACACAAAAATCTTGCTTTAAAAACCAAGTTCAGCTAATTCAAGAGTTAAGTGAAATCAACAACAACATCTCTCAAGACTATCCTGGACTATCTCTCGTTGTTGGCGAATTCTTGGATAACTCAGCCAACATTTGGGTCATAAAATTCTTAAAATTTGGTTATTTTTGCAACTTGCAAAATGCTACATTGTTAAAGTCCGATTATCGCTTTTCAGTGCGATAAAGTGGTAGAGATTAATGTGAGAATTATGAGTAAATAATTATTGAAACACTGAATAATTATGCAACAACTAAACCTTTCCTCATTTACCTGGAGGAATTTTTCCAAATAAAACTTCTTTTTCCTCATTTGATAAACATTCGGTGTTATAGAGATTCTTAATAAAATGATTATTTAACACATTCAATGAATTTAAGTATGAAGCTTCTGACGTCATCATTTCGAATTTCGCTTCTTGTAGTTTCTTTTGCGGTAAACTTAAAGTACCTGTAATTTCAAGTAATAAATTAGAAAAAACTTTCAAGAATAAATAAAAAAAATCGAGAAAATTAAAATGAAAACTTACTAAGTACGGCGGATTGCTTAACTTCAGGAATTTCACACCATAAAGTTCTCGTAATAGAAACGCTGTTTCCATTCTTCAGAATTAATTCCATTGCGCTTGGTCGAACTTGCGTTTCACTACTACTGTCATTACTGACTTCTTCATAATCAAGATCAAGAGTTTCTCCTTTACAATACGACTAGAAAAATAATTATCAAAATTAATTATAATTTTGCAAAATTTGAGTTTTTTACATACTTCTGATAACGCAGCATCATATAATTGATACAACGGTTCATCTTGTAACAATTGTTGCATTTCTCCTGAAATGATAACTTCGTTTTTTTCGGTTTTAGAATCATTACTATTAATACTGCTGGGGCTATCTTGGTAATAAGTATGATTATCATTTTTTAAATTATAATATTCTTCAGTCATATTCAAAAAGATATCGTTTCTATTATTACTATTATTTCCACTATTTTCAGTCGAACTTGTACTTGGAGTACTTGTTGGTCCTGATTGATAGAGTCCAACCTCCGCGTACCAACACGTGTTTGGTCTCCTGGGTAAATTGGGTAATGGTAAATCGTTGTTTTTGAATAACCCGCATTCCGCGTACCATGATGTTGTTCTTTTTGGGTCGTGTTCAATTGGATTTCGAAGTTCTAAAATAATATTAAGCGATATTAATTTATGTACTTGAGTTTACAAATGCGTTTACTTACCAACTTGAACTGGTTGATTTTGTATGGTGGGAAGTGGTGGCGGAGGTACCATCGGCCGTATTGGACTAGATTTAGGAGTTTTATTTTTAACTGGAACCGAAGGTGATACGCTTGCTTTGCTTTTATCGCAAACTTTTTCTTGTTCATTATCGACATCTATTGTGTCAGTCAAATAAAAAGTACTTTTTGGTTTATTTAGTTCTTGAGTAAGTTCACTTGCTGATTCAGCTGACAATGACATACTTCTTCGGAATTTTGTAAAAAATCTCTTTTTAGCTTGTTTTTCATAAATGACTTCAGTAGCTTCGGTGTTTGTTCGATTATATTTGATATTTTGGTAGGAGGAATTTTCTTGCGGAATGCTTTGATACGGAGATGATGATTCATTGTCAGACTTGATTGAACTTCCAGATTTATTTCTATTTTCTGAAGCGCTAGGACTTGATTGTTCTTCTTTCGTCGATTTATCTAAATTAACTAAATCAGTTCGAGATTTTCTTTTCGTCATTCTACTAAGTGATTTTGTTATATCATTCTTGGTAAGTAATCGTTTCATACGTTTCCCAGCTGATGCTAATCTTGTAAAAACGTATGTCTGATTATTCGGTGGATCTGGTAATTGGGTATTTTCCATATCCACTCCACTATCACGCTAAAAAATCAATATTATACCAAAGTTAATGAGTTTTATTTTTAATTTTACCATGTTAGGTTTATTTTCGTAATAATCAGAGTCACTATCAAATGAGTCCGATTCATAATGAGATTCCTGATGCTCTCCATTTGCTCGAACACTTTCGTAATGATGGTAGGAATCTGCATCGTCTGCGAATAACAGATAAATGGTTAGTGCTTTAAGTAGTAGACATTTACATGTATTTTACATAAGTTGGCAATCGTATAAATTCCCCTTAACCCATAAGCGCGCACTAAAGACATTTTCTACGTCCATATAAAGAACTGGTAGAATGTTACAACACTGCTTTTGAGACTGGGAAAAACTTGAATAAAAAATGAAACAAGTTACATTTTGTAAAATTATTATTATCCGTCATCATTTTTCAAAAACTGATTTGTAATACTGGAACACTAAAATTAGCAGAATTACTGATTATTTTATTTATGCATCGCATTCCTTGTTATTTATACTCGCAAATACGGGGAGAGTAATTTTTGGCATTTTCCAACATTTTTGAACAACAAGGTTTATTGATTTTTGGAGCTATTGGGTTGAACAGAATTTCTGATTCACTTAGTTCGAAGTGGGTGATATTTCTTATCGTCTATAGCAGGAAAATACGTAATGAAAATAATTAGTCATTTTAAATTTTTTTGGAAACCAGATTTTTCTGGTCTTTCGTCTGCAAAATTGAAGTTGAGCCGAATTTCCGGACCATTTAATTTAAACTACATCGTATTTCTCATCATCAATAGCACCAAATATAAAAAAAAATAATTTTTACCATTTTAAATTTTTCTGGAAAACAGATTTTTCTGGTTTTCCTGTAAATTTTAGGTTCAACAGAATTTCTGGTCTATTTAGTTTAAACTACATCGTATTTCTCGTCATCAATAGCAGCAAATACAGAAAGAACATAATTTTTGCCATTCTTAATTTTTCTGGAAAACAAGTTTTGATAAGACTTGACAAGTGATAAAAACTTCTGTATTTGTAATATAGGGGAATATAATTTACAATAATTTTTAAAAAAGTTTTTAGTAACGGTCTTTTGTTATTGTGCAGCGAAACTGAGCCAAAAATGACATCACCAACTGCACTGGTAATCACACTGCGTGACTTTGATGTAAATCTGACGTAATTTATTAATTATTAAACAAAAAAACAAAACAAAAATACGCAATCAACGTAACATTCCCATAAATTTCAAAAGACTTGCAAATATGTCTTTTAAACTTTTATATATAAACTGTCATATAAAATGATTTATGTAACCAAAAATATCCTGTTTGAATCGTACTTATGTGTTATAAAGTTTTTACGGGTAACGATTTATAAGTTGGAGAATTCACTTAGAAACTTTCTCTTTATGTAATCGTTTTTAAAGGCTTTAGGTTTTTCCGATTAAACGAGTAGACGTGAGACCTTAAGATTTCGGCCTTCTTTAGTAAAAACTTGGAAGGTTACCAAATGGATTTAAAATGTGTTAATGAACGGAAGACTACAATTTCTAATGTTAGTCATAATCATCAATATGAACATCCTTAGTAATTAAATAACCATTAACTTAAACGAACTAAATTAATTAATGCAGAAGTTTTGGAACCTTGAAAGATTTTTCTCATTTTAACAAAACTATTTTTAAAAATTATATCGAAGAATTTTTGCTGTATTATATTGATTATCTATGTGGGACGGTAGTAAATTAGAACATTATTGACGTGTGAAAGAATAGAAAATGTCAGTTCGCACGGTATCGAACTCTTTCTAAGGTAGACATCCGCTTTTTCACGAAACTTTCGTTTTTATCTAGAAAATAACACTCTTTTAGCACACCTTTTAAGGAATCGTAAAAAATATCACTCAGAATAAAATCACGATCGTTCTAAATAAATAATACAATCAATAACGTCGTGTATCCAACCCACACGGAGTAACAAGGAGTTCGAGTAGAATAATAACTATGACCCACTGGGTATATTTTTATTGATGATATCATAAAAGGGTCAATTTAGCTTATTAATATTCATATTTAATTCATATAAAGTAATTCTTATAGCGAAGAAAAATTTTCATTCAATCATAACACGTTATACAACACCACAAGGAAATTTTATATTCAATTTCATGAGTGTAAAGTGATCTAACCATGTTATACATGGATGATTAATTGAAATATACGTAACGTGAACTTTGATTTACGTAACACGAAACATACTCAGTAATGTAGGTGATGATGGTTTCATTTTTTATCATATAAACGTTTAGGAAATATTTTAATAGGTATGCTGGTATTTCTGCTAATTTAAAATGCAGATAGGTAATTGCATATTGGAGAGAAGTGAAAAGGTCTGGAAATGTTAGCAACACCTAGTCACCAATAAATAGATATCTTTGAATTGACTGCAAATAACCATGAAAGTAAAACCTACTAATGTACGAGACAATATTAGAAAACGTCTCGGTGAAATTTGATTACAAATTTATCTGCTGATAAATTACGAATTAACTGATAATTGATGTGGTAATGATTTATTAAACAGTATTCATAAAATAAGATTTTTTTAGAAATGTGATTGAATCAAATTATGGGATAATAAGAGATCTAAATTAAGTGAATCCGTGCATGTCAAAAAAAAGATGTAGCAAGCTGATAGAACAAGAAGTGAATTACATACTTCTGTAGTTTAGCCGGTGTAATTGCAATTTAGGAGTAAAAAGCTTTTTGTGACTATCTTAAATTTTGTAGAGATAGCTCTTAACATTTGGATATTTTTATCGACGAGGTCCGGCTTAACAGAAAGGATATAGGATTCAAACAAAACGTATATGTGTCCTTCTCAGTCATGAGGCATATGGATACTTTAACTTGCTAAAAATCTGCGTCCAATAAGACATCATCCACTTGGTAAAAACTTCTTGAACAAGGATGCTTAGAAGCCGAAAGCAACAAGATTAAGTATACTCGGCACTACAACACTCCGAATTTGGATACACAAGAGGAGCAAATACAAATGTTTGAGAAGCTCGATGATCATTAACCAGAAGACAGTGACACAATTTTACCTTTGCCCAGTCTACGTGGGTCCTTCCCAGGTAACAAATAATGGATTTCAAGTAATCAGTCCACAAATTGATATATACTAGACATAAATGTGTTGTTGTGGTCGATCCGAGATTTCATCCGTTCTTCACCAGACTAGCTCAACACACCAGATTCTGACAAAGTCAAGCCATCTTCAGACGAGGCAGCAACTCCCTTCTCAGAGAGGTAATTCGCCAAACAAGGAAGTTACCACTGGACATAAATATATCGATACCAAATAGACAAGAACCGTATAAAAGGAGCGAACCTTATCATCGATGTCCTAACGCGCAACATTATTCGAATGTGTCATAAACCAATACAATCCCGAACCCAACAGGCTAATTCCAGCGGATCCTATTTCCAATGCGTCCAGTACAAAGCGGAGTTCCTTAGAGTTCCACAATTGTACCACTTTATCACCATCAGGACGGAATGATTTAGATCTCGACTACCCCTGACAAAGCTTTCCACATCACACACGTGACTTCATTATGATCATTTAACAATTCTAGGTTATCTTTATAATCGTCTCCAATTAAATTGCTAGACAAACACTTTCAATTACATCATCCATACCTGGAAAAGCATTTTATTTATAAACTGTATAAACCGCCTGGGGGTGTGTCATTTCGCGTCAAATTCCGAACAACTGTTATGTCATTTTTGAAACGACTCGGCATGAAATTCTAAAGACCTTCTCTATTTACTGGATATGTCCAAAACCTTATTCGCACGTGGGTTGATATACAAAAAGAAGAGAGACATCGTTCACAATGGTCTATACTGGCGACGCCTAAAGAGAAACTCACTAGTGGATTTCAAAACGTGTCTTCGTGCTTAGGGTTGGCAGCAAAGGTACGGAACTGTATTAAAGGTTATTGTTGCACAGTACTTAAGACAGATTACCACAAGCTAAGCTTCCACTGTGTAAGTCTTAAACATGAAATATCTACAGCGGTATCAACCGGTACAATCCAAAAATGGATTTTTGGATGACGTATTATACAATTTAAATGTACATAAAGCTTTGACCCAAACGGGGTGTGCGTGGATGTAATCTGGAAAAACATTTGACACAAGAAGACATTCAAAACTTAGTTTCCCACATTCCATAAAATTTCCTTGCTGTGAACATCTAGTTTGCGCACGTGGACATTTCAACAAAGGACGAGCTATTTTAAAAGATTTAGATGTTTCTGAATTCAGAATATTCTATAATTTTCCAAAAAAAGAATTCAAAAATATTAGTTAAAAGTATATCTTCTGACGTAAATGAAAAAATGAATCACAAGCAGTTTAAAATAGCTTCCAGAGCTCATTATTAAATTGTTAATAAGTGCTCTTCAAGGCAAACATTGGAAGACCAAGGCCGACAAAAAAGAGAAACCAGTAAACTTTGGCATTAAAAAAAACGAGTCTACTAATATAAAATCAACTTCTAATAAAAACCACAATAAATCGATTTATTATCACAGTTTAACACTTAATGTCTGTATCTTTATTGATTGTGTCTTTACCTATATGACAACTGATTTCCTGAGTTTCTAATTGTCCCAACACGAAGCTAGTCTTGATCTTTGGCACAATCCTGCTGATTTTAACGTCACCAACATTCACGTAAACTGCGTCTTTTTTGGTAACTTGTTCATCCTCGCACACAACTTTATTATTATTTAAAAAATCTAAATTTTGATCTACATATTCGATATACAACGACGATGCACTTGAAATATAAACCAAATCGCCTACATCTCTACGCGGTTTTCTTATCGTCGCTGGCAAAGATCTCGGGGGCGGTTGAGGAGGAAAATTTTTCTTTTTCTTTGAACTTACACTGGAATGCGAACGTTTTTTAATGGAATACATCTTCGTTACGCACGAGATGAAAGAGGTCACTTAATGTTTTATTTAAACACTGAATTATTAAAAATTAACTTCTTTTTAAATGTTATGTTATGCACTAAAGATTTTTTTTGTGTAATATTTCGCGAATTTGTGCCGGATATTTTTGCTAAAATCATTGTAATGTACACCGTTTGACTTCGCGGCTGCAACTGTACGCTGCCAACAGAGAACTTTCACTAGTTCACCTTGCTCTGAAGCGTTGAGAATGGTTGCGAACCCAACCACTGAATGTAGTTGGTATATATCCTTTTGTACAGGGAATAGCAAAAGAGTCGGATCATACTAAAAGATATTTTGAATTCAAAATTATTTTAATTTGATACTGTAAAGTGTTTAATCTTGTCTTAGATTTCTTTTTATTCTCATTAAATATTCCAAACATACACCTGTAATTATAGTCGCGCCATTCTACCTACAAACCGGTAAAATAGTGAAGGTTACAAAGTTAAGTCATCACCCACCAGGAAAACAACGCCGTTGTTCGATGAAAAATAGAACAGTTAAAATAGAAGGAAACCTGTTTCTACTTATGACACATTGTAAAGACGCACATTATCATTACAAATAAGGGAGTCACTGCATCGATTAAAGAAAACGAGATATTTTACTCTGTTTCAAGTTGAGCAAGTAATTACGTTTTTAAAGACATCAAGGTTGGTTTTGTTATGAACCTTTAAAAAATCTTAATCCTTGAAACTTGAGAAATTCTTTTCAATTCAAATTTATATTCTATTTTTTTTTGTAATGTAAAATTCTTCAAGGTAAATTTTAAGAATTCACCTAAACTTATTTCTAAATTGTTACAAAAACGTTGAAATTAAATTCAACTCGCGTCACGGAGCTTCCTTTTGTGTTGGAACGTAATAACAACAAGTGGAAACTTTTACTTTCACCAAGAAACAGATAGATAGTTTATTTGATTGTGCGAATTTAAGAAAATTGTCACGGATGCCACAATCAATCGAAGTCGATTTACGTAAAACCGAGGTGAGAATAAACTATAAATAAACTATACACAACTCGACTACAAGAAATAGAGAAAGAAACGGAAATTGGAATCAATTAATGATATTAAAAAAATCGTCTATAAAAGTTTGTCAATCAAAACAGTAATTTTCTTATTTCTTTGTCTAGGTTTTTTTTTAATTTCACCTCTCTCTGTTCTAGTTTAAAGTTTAATTTCCCTCGTTAGCAATAACAAATCTTGATAGGTATGGGAATTTATAGTATAACAGCCCCTATTGTTAATGCAAAGAAAGACGACACTTTCTCTACATTAACGTTAAGAATCAAAATCCAGCCGCGATGTATTCAAGCTCGAATTCAATTAAATCTTGGTTACTTTGTACAATGCGGCAATTCATAACCTTAACCCGGCCAGTAAGAATATCCCATGATGTTCAGAAGAAAACAAAGACTGCAAACTCAATTTTGTATAAATTGCAGATTGTCTTTTCTGCAAGGTAAACGCATAGAAATGTATTTGAATAAAGTTACAATTAGGGGTAAAAATTGGGTTAAGGAAAAACATGAATGTAAAACATAAAGTTTTCAGAGTCGAAATTGCGAAGACATTTCTAATAAACCAAAACTAATTAAAACGATGTCATAACCTTAATTAGCAAAACAAATAATACATCAACAGAAAATAATAAATTTATAAGTAACAAAAGACCGCTTTGGAAAAAAACATAATTGTCAGAGTGATAAAAGTGCTGGTGTAATTCTACATAGACTGCACGTCGCGTCTTTAAATTTTTGTATAGGTAAAATAATATATACAGTACGCGTCAAAAATAACCCATAACCATCACTGTTTATCTCGTAGCATGAATTTGAAGATAAACATTGTTAAGAAGGTCCTTGCAGTAACTAAGTAGCTAAGCATTATGTTTATAAGGTTATATTAGATACCCAAACTTGAGTCCGGTGAACTTAAGTACACTAAATAAGCTGAATTAAAAGGTAGCCCTATGTAATCTAGCGCAAACAGTACAGTATCATGTAAATTTGATCAGAAACCATGAATAAATCAGTCATTCCTAAAACGGTATTCTATATTTGGCAAGATAGCATATGGTTCTAGTCGATGCACGTGAGTTTATACCTAAATTTACCATTATGGCAGTGCAGTTGCTGCTAGATGGGAAACTTTTAACTCAGTGGCTAAATGGAACGATGAATAAGACTGCTTTTTTGCAAAAGGAGTCTTACGAAAATCGCAAACCCACCATTATGGACGTATCTTCGCAATTGATCTCCTAATCCTATCCATCTGTACTTCTTGGTGAAGATGGCTTCTCCACAGTAGGTCTGATTAAATTATTGGGTGGCGATCAGATTTTGCCTAAATATATATTGGATTCGATTCCTTGATTGGGTTTAGAGTTATGGTCAAATTTTGAAAGTGGGGGTATTTATGAAGGAGAGCTTTATCTAATCCAAATGTTTAATACAGCAAATCTGCTTTATGTTTATATTCTGTGTTTTAGTAGATCTTACCTGTATCTGTAGAATGACTTTTCGACCATTGCTCCCTTAGCTGCTGAGACCATTCAGAAGTTTTTTTGCTGATTTTTTGTTTTTCACGAACTCTGCAAATAGCAAAGGAACGATTAAAAATATAATTATTAAATTCATTACAATGTAACAGAAAAACAACCAAATATTTTAAGTGGTAGAAACTGCAACATAGCGGCTAATTTTTATTATAATTGCAAAAGGAATGTAGGTTGTTATTAACTACGACTTTGATATAGCGGTGTAGCAATTAAGCTGAATGCTTTCACAGATATTCCGCTATTTTTTTTTTTCTTTCTAATGGTTAAAAAGTGTCATTGAAGTGAATGTATTCTACAAATCATATCTAATTATGTACTTTCTGTTTAAATCTATTTTATAAAATAAAAATTTTTGTTTAATATAATAAAATACTCTCTGTTACCAAAACACTCGGATATATGCAACAATTTAACAACCAACCGTTCTTAAAGTTTTCTTCAAGACATTCTTTGTGCTATTCTGGTTGTCTACACTAACGTATTCATCGCCAATGATTTATATCTGCTTTAAAGTTTCTCTGTGGGTCAGTAACGGAAATCAAATTCAACGAATCCCACCACATAAGATTTATTGAGCGTTGTTAATCAATTGAGTTAAATGTACTTTTGTACTGTTGTCGTGTGCCCATTTGCCTTTTATGAATTGATTCAAACGTGAGTGTTACAAAATACTCAATTGAATAGCATAGCTTGTCTCAATTCAATGAATTTAATAGGATTCCATGGTCTTTTTAGTGTGATAGAAAAGCTGGCATAACAAATTAATTTTAAAAGTACTAATAATTAACTTCTTACGAAACAATTCTATAAATTATAATGAACTAGTTACTTGTATTCCTTTTATTTTACGAGAATATTAACAGTTACTATTAAAGTAGGAAAAACCACTCCTTTGAATGTCAATTATGTTAATTGGTATCGAGTTAAAGGAAATAGGATTGGTAATTTCGCTTCTGAAATAAATTGCTACTCCTTTAAGAAAGTTAATCTTGACCTATTAATTATTATTGGAATAAAACTGTTCCTTTGGGTTTAAAACTTTAAAAACTAGACAGTAAAGTTGCCTCATCGTGAGGCAAGTTAGTATATAGTTACGCAAATCAGTATAGTGATTCTGTGCCCAAACGTTAACCACAAGCCTGTGACAATAAACTTGACTGGATAGAAAATATAACGAGGATTTGACGAAGAGATGATGTAGGTTTTATAAGGGGCTATATCGAAGCAAATTTAAATAGAAATTTAAAATCTTAAGCTTACTGTATTTATCAAGTTAGGAGGTGTAATGACTGAATTAGTTAGGTTAGGATAAGAGGTCGACCTCAAAGAATTAATGTATGGACGGTGTCAAGATTTTTTGAAATTTTGAAGGTTTAAAAAATTTTATACGGAGTTGTCTCAATGCCAATCTGTTAAATCAGAAGACATAATGGATGTAATAAAGATGTTTATAGAAATCTTCAATACACTTCTAAAGAAGTAGAAACTTGGGAGAGGCTTGGTGCAGGCATAATAGAGATTTGAAATGAACTGTATCATAATGCATCTATCAAGTTAAAGGCATAATTGACATTTTTTACAGAGAAATGATGAAGATCTAATGAGTACTCTGTAAAAGTTGCCTTTTATTATTGTTATTCGTTAAACAATTATTTCCACTTACAATGATAAAAAAATAATAATATAAGAAAATCAATCGTGTTAGTCATAACTGATGATAAAATTTTAAAAGCACGTTATATTGCTTTAAAAGTATTAATTTTCTATTTTAGTCATAAAATGATTTAAACCCGTTTATTCCTTAAATTTCTCTGACGTAAACACCTAGATAAGACATTTTATTTTCGCCTGATTTAAATTTAAACGTGTATGAATCATTCTGATAAAATAGCAAAAACATACATACTGTATCTACGTCAACTGTAAATAAATACTACGTGAAAAATATTAATATTAAAATGAATAAAACTTACTTAGGTTTATATTGACTAAATCCCAATTCTTCCTTTTCATCATCGTCCGGTAAATCTTCCCATTCATCACTTCTATCACTTGAACTAACACTGGTCGTTTTATAATTTAAAACGTCTTCAGTCCAACTGGGAATAGATCTACCGTACAGACTGTTGCTTTGTTGATCCGAAGATACAATAGAATCCCTATTAGATCCCGATCCCCATCCTTGACCCAAAACTTCGTAATTGCTTTCGATATCGTCGCCATTAATTCTTATCCGAATCGCACTTCCAATTGATTCATATCCGTTTGAAATAATTTCCGGTAGATTATGGATGGTGTAGTAAGAATTTTTCGCAGGAAGTGCCGGTGGGTTATTTTCAACTTGTCTTTTTGGAAGTGGTGGTGGATTTTGATCATGATGACATGGTAGAACTTCATAAATATTTTCATTTTTTTCTACATCGATGGGGTTAACGGCTTCGTAACCATCATCTTCAACTTTTTGTTCGATATCTTCATACTTAGGTTGAACTGGATAAATGTATGTATGTTTTAGTTCTTCGTACATTTTTTCGCAATTTTGATCCGGTTCTGGCATCTTTGGTTTGATCGTTTTAATATTTTGACTGTTTTGCGGTGATGAAGAATTTGGTGGTATTTTAAATGTTGGAGGTCCATCTGGAGGTGGATTCACAACATCGTATAAATCTTCTTCGGTATCCGGTTGAGTTGGAGATTTATCGTAGCGATAAAGAAATGATGAGTTTGGTTTGTATTCGCTGATATCTAGGTTTAAAGTTTGTTCTGAATGGAATGTTTTCGTTGATTCTTTGAAATGTTTTTGATTGAGGAGTTCGTAAGCGGATTCGCTCCGTTTTGGTTTTTCGATTGGAATGTTAATGTTAATGACAGGTACTTCTACGTTTTCAGACTTTTTCTCTGTTTCTTGCACAATTTCTTTCTCGATTGTATTTTTTGGATTAATCTCAAGATTAGTTTTTACTTTAAATTTTTTCGTGCAATTTTTTGTTATTAAATCCATCATTTCTGGGGTAAACTTTTTTTCGGGTACTTTCGGTTTGGGTTTGGCTGAAATGTTTGGAGGAACGGGCGCGCCCTCCTTTTTTGAATCTCCACATTTCTCAAATATTTGTATCGCAGCTTTCACGTTTCCCGTACTTTCTCTTTTAATATCCTTTTCCTCAAAAGTACTATCAACTTCATCCCTTTCTTTACACTCTTGCGTCAACGCTGAATTTAGTTGAGAAATTCTATCATAAACATCGTTACATTTTTCGTTTGGTTTTGAATGAGATTTTTTCACACTAACTCTTCTAACTACAACGGTTGGCTTTTTAACATTAAACACCGGTTTTTCTTCTGGTTTAAGCGACATTCTGATTTTTACGCTCGGTTTTTTAGTTAGTTTATTCGAGTCCGAATTGACTCTCTTAACAAATTTCGCAAATTTCGGGTCTTCTAAAATCGATTTTTTTTCTGCAATCATCTTATCGAATTTCGAAGTCAATTCGGCAACGTTCGATCCTTTAATTGGTACTTTAGTTTTGGCTCTATACGCCGAAGACGATCTCTTTATTTTATAACTTATCCGTTTCGAAACCTTTTTTGTCCCGTGTTTATCATCCTGTTCAAAATCTACACTTCCTTTGGTCGGTCGCTTATCTTCAATAATAGTATCGTTTATCGGCTCTTCTATTTCACAAGATGATAAGGAGAGGTTTAAAAAGGCCGCGCGCGATTCCTCGATTGAACGTCGTATTACTGTTGTTGAATACAAGAATGAAGTGTTTGATTTCAGTCCTTCGAAGGGATAACTCGTTTTCTTTTTTTCGATGTAATTACTCAATTGCGTTTCGTGCAAACCCGCGGTGTCCGGCCATACTACTGGATTCATAGGCAGTGCCATTCTATCTGCAAAATAAAACCGTTTTATCTTATCAATGTGATTAAGGCATTGAGAACATGTTGTTTTTATGTGTATATGCGGCATTAATTCTACAAAATAGAATATCGCCAAAAACATTTCCTTTCTTATTTATGTTTGGCTATCATATTTATGTTATTTATTTTTTTAGTCTGTAGTAGGAAGTTTGTTTAGATTAAACAATGCTTTATTAAACTTTGCGCGAAATTACGCAGTAAAGAACAAACAACGGAAAACATCAACAATTAAAAAAGTAACATTAATTTCAAACCTTAAAAAAAGAGGAAAAAGTTCAGCTGAAAAAGTGTGATGAACAATAGTAGGTTGTGAAATATGCGGAAGTTAAAGTACGATTAAAGAGTGAAGTCTTGTACATAATGTAAATTACGTGAACAAAATCACTTTCTCGACTTGTGGTTCAAATATATCTACTTATTGTGTTTAGTTAAATTAACACCATTATGATAAAAAATTCGAAACAATGTCATCTACTAAAAATCATATCAAATAAGTGCGTTATCATAATTTGATTACAGATAACTAAATACCGTTTTTGTTTAGGTTGTTTTTTTTTTGTTAAAGGACAGTTCATCATTTACGGTTAACAGAACAAAACCGTCATTAACCATGCAGTTTTGAGTACCGTTTCACAAGACAACTAGTAATTCTTCTCCGTTACTTCATACATTGAGTGATTTGTATGAAAAAAAAAATCGCAGTTTGAAATTTTTTATTCCGCTTTGATTTTGCAATCAAAATTGTACTGAAACGGATTTGAACGGTTTATAAACGATAATAAAAATGAACACAAACGGCATAATGAACAGAATGTAACGGACTAAATCCTGTTAGATCCTAGATCATAGTTTTCACACCAAGGTATACAGAAAAGTTTTCATCAACTCCGTTAAAATCCAACCAGAAGCCGTTCGTTCAGTTAAGCGCAGTTAAGATTAGATTATAGATATAATTGCACCTATTGTGATTTATTTTGGTTTCTTGATCTGTGAAATTGAGGAAATCAAATTACTCTAAAGTAGGTAGATTTCTATATAATCTACAATGTATGTTTAATCATTTTTTATAGAAGTGTGAATCATTTGAAATAATGATTATCTTAAGGACACGTTACGGTCTATTAAATTTTTAGTGAGAGGCGCTTAAAAATAGGTTTAGAGATCCAATTTGTATTTATACGTTTCGTTTCGTTTAATAACTGTCACAAAAAAATCTGAAAGGAAATTATTATTAGAACAGCTCATATTAGGGTTAAATGAATCTGGTCAATCTTTGTTTTAATCAAAATCTAGTGTTAGTTCTAGTTTTAGTGCAATGAAAGGTATACAATAATCGAACGCTGAATAACAATTAAAATTAGAACTAATACTAGCATTAGAACTAACACTAGACCTACAGTTCTAGGTATCATGTCCACTTTAGGTTCAATGAAAATATACAACAATTTAGCGCTGAATAACAATTAAAGCTAGAATTATCGTCTTTGATTTATATATCATATAGATAATATAATCAGATGATCTTATGATATTGTAAGATTAATATAGTTGTATTATAGCTGACGTTATATTGAAGGTTGTTGACACTTGATTAATTGTTAAAGTTCAAGATTCAAGAAATTTCTTAACAACTGTAAGGTATAAATTTTCACATATCTTTTTTGCTAGATCTGTTTGAAGTTGGAAAGTTTAAAATATAACCAAAAAAAAGATTTAAAGTTACATTTATCTTTATAACACAAATAATTTTCCGACAAATAATTAAACAATTTCATCTATATTATTAATTTCAGTTAAGTGAAAGTATTTTAAATCATAGGTTAAAGAAAAATATTTTTTTCTCAGTAATGATGTTATTAAAAAGGGAAAACGAAGTAATGAAAGATTAACCTGTTTGCTTTACTACTGAAAGTTCTCCACCGGGTTTAAGAAGAAGTTACGATCAAGGGTTTCGCCTCGCTTTACTTCTTATAAGTTGTAGCTGTTTTGGTTCATTTCACCGCGCCTTTCATCCGATAACCATCTCCTTGTTTAAAATCGTGACTTTCTTTAAAAGAGGCTGAGTGCGCTGCTTTTAGAACACGTTCTAAAAGTTTATTGCAACTTTTTTCTCTTTGATAAATTAATATTCAAAGAACTTCGAATCTAATTTTCGCAGAAGGAGAATGTGGATTTTTACATATGTAATGTTTCGATTAAAAAAATTTTCTGATCATTAAAATTGTCGTCTCGTTTTCTTTGTTTATTGTTTTGTAATGTGTACCATATCGGATATGGAAACGGATGTGGTTATACTTTAATGTCTTGAAGAGATTATTAATTAAAAATTAAAAGACTACTTAAGTTCAAGAAAAAAATAATTTGTGACCTCAATCTTTAAGATCATTTATCATAAAGATTTAGATGTGACATTAATAAAAAGAGATTTCTTTTAATCAACCCAAATCGCGATTAGACCGGAACCAAAAATAATTAAATAAAAATAAAAAACAACTCGATTTCCTCTTTTAGTCAATTCAAGTTATAACTACTTAACACTTTAATAAATCCTTTACACAAATTGTGACGGTCTTTTTTTAATCATGCTTACAACACAACCACTTTGAATTTTGCAATAACTTCCTGTCCAGTAAGAAAGAGATTGCAAGTTAATAATAAAAACAATAAACGTTTTGCATTTAAAATTCGTTATTTGAATCACGTATTACGTTGTCCGTCAAAAAGGACAATTGTTGGATGAGAGAAAATGAGAAAGTGGTCTCCACGTGCTTTACTTTTTTCTATCTATTGTCAATTAACAAGTCCGTACGCGCCGATAGATAATTACCCGAATAGAAAATTGATCAGGACTTATACGCTCAACGCAATTCCTTCCTTTAACCGCTTATGGAATGTTAACACCCGGATAGATATCGTTTTAAATGGAATTCAAAGACGTGTTTATGGTTTGAAATGTGGTCATGTGGTTTTTAATGGGATTTTGTGTAATACTTATTGGGTAGTGTAACAACAGAAAGTACGAGGAAAAATTAAGATACATTTTTTATCTAAGGAAAAATTAGTCCTTGGAGATTAAGATTAAAAATTGAGAGCTTTTAGAATAGGAAATGTAACAGATTTACGACTCTTAACTATAAATTATATCATAAAATAAAACAAACAAAATGTTCCGCAAAATAAAGCGATAAAGTTCGTAGTTTAACTTTAGCACCAAAATTGCAGCTTTCATTTTATCAGTATCGATAAAATTATCTAAAAATAATCTGCAATTTATTTCTCAATTATCGTGATTAGTTTTACTTCTCATGTTTACAGTTACATAGGTAGAAATCGTTTCTTTTTGAAAACTAGGTCGTTTTATTAACATTAAATTATTTTCATTTAATGAGTATGTATTTAATAAGAATAAATTAAAGTATTTTTTTGCGTATAACGATTAAAAAATGATGAAAAATAAAACAATATCAGCCACTCCCTCCTCATCAAATCTCACGGCATGTCGGTTAAAGACAAGTTTTGTACTTTCCCAATAACGGATCTTAAAAGACATGAGTAAGCTCAGGTATTTTCCAAAGCGACCAAAACGAAGAAGCGAAGACGTGACTCATTCCTATCACCACTGTAGGGCTAAAAAGTCAGTGTCGTCCTAGAATATCAAGTTTTCCTTTCAAGATCTCTTTTCAGGAAGTAAACTTGTAACATCCAAACGAATTTACTGTTTTAGTGTGTCAATTGGTACCTTTAACAGTGTTAAAGGTCATTCGTGTTAAATGGAGAAAGCTTAGATTGGTTTTTATTCTATAAGAAGGAAATCTTGCAATATTTATATACTTAAAAAATAGTTTCTGCCATTACAAATGGTGTTAATATTTATTTGGTAAATATTGCAACATTAGAAAAAGAGGTGTGGTGATGTTAAGTGGCCTGAATACTGAACGAGAAGCGTTCCAAATGACAAAGTACTTCGGGGTTAAGTTCGTTGTGTAACTTTCGAGACAATGGAATTTTAATACAGGGTCAATTAGCTGTTATTCGTCTTTGCAAAATTGATTTAAAATTTATTTTTAATACAACATTTTAGCATTTCAATTTAAGACTAATAAAAACATCAAAACAAGAAATAATGAATTTAAAAAGAAATCAATGACTGTTGTTAAATGATGATTACTTTCTTTCAATTTGCGGATGCAACCATAGAAAGAAGAAAATTGTAATTGTCGATTAATTTGCTTTCTATGTTAGAGAAACATATTTTCTCTAGTAAACACCATTTCTTAATAAGTACAAAAATTAACGCAAAATGTTACCAAGCTAACCTTTAAATTCAGTGGCTACAAGAATATAGAATGAATCACTTAAATGTGAAAGCAAGAGACATATCGATGAATGGTCTAAGAATTTTCCAAGTACATGACACATCTGGTGGTCTGTTAATTTGTTTAGGAATCATTATCAAGTAAATGACAAGCTTTTTGTTAATAATAAAAAAGAATTGTTTGTAAGAATAGGTGAGCAGATAAGGATAAGTGAGAGTATTAAAACAAACAACTAAGTAGGTCAATTTGAAAATGATTAACATCCGATTGAAGACACAAATGTCAAACGAATGAAAAACAAACGACAAACTAGGCTTTTATGCAAATGCAAATGTTAATCCAAAAGGTTTGTCCCGTTGAAAAATGCAAACGATTGTGAGAATTCTAATTATTTCGATTTGCTTCGTCTTACTTAATCCTCGCAACTGTTTGATTGCGTTACGAGCATTCTGTTGAAGTTTTGCAATATTTATCAGTTTGCAGAAGTCAGCAATGTTTACAATACGAGACGAAAGGTACACAATGTTGTAAATTAGAATAAAACGTAGTTAATTGACCTGATTTGTTTCTCTAACAACAAATTCAACATAACAATCATAAAATTATTACAAAAAAAACTTTGTGATAAGTAAAAATAATTTTAACCCATAAAAGTAGATATAAATGAAAAACATCTGGTTAAATGGAAAATATTACTTTATAGTAGAATAAAAAATCTGGCGCCTTTAGACATCCTGTTTGCTCGGACACGTTGCTGCCATAAGTCTGTATGTAATAAGTTCGGAAGTGTTTTAAGTACTTTCTTCCTTTTTATAAATAACCATACCTCTGGAATAGTTAATTATTACTTTTCCTGAATGAAGAAATATTGTTTTTTGTACAGTGCAATGGGAACGATAAGAAGGAAGGAAACGACATTTCCATTAGTAGTAAATCCTGAAAGACTATTGCGTTTTAATTATAACCACTTGCCATTACATTTCTTTGTGCTCAAAAATTCTATTCTAATCCTGGGAATCTCTTACATAAAGAACCATTCAACTTTTTATTAGCTAGAAGATAATGTATTTACTATGGGAACATAAATTGTGCTGTTTTCTTTTCTACGTAAGTTAAAAAAACTTTGTTCATAATGCCTACATAACTAATAGATGATTTATTGCATAAAATACGTATCTATTAACATCTCACACCTTAACCTTGCTGTTATGTTATGAACGTGTATTTATAGACCACAAATAATGACATCACTCGACACAGACCACACGTTATCTTTGACGTCACGTAAACTGTTGATCAATAACCAACATGCATTACAATTGAAGCAACAAAATACATTTTTATTTAAATCGTTTTCTTTTGGAAATCATCAATAAATTTATGTTGCAAATTATTACTACTACAGTTTTGTCTGCACTTCCAATTATAACAATTTAAAAGAAATAAATAAAATCGTAATTGCATCATTTTCTCTCTCTCTCATTCTCTATCGACAAATCTTAAACCCAGAAAGAATATGTACACAAATGTTAATTTATATTAAAGGGGACTTGACAGCATTTAACACCATGAAATATGTTCTTACAAAAAAAGGAATCGATTCTATCATTCTGTTATGATGCAGTACAGCGCAGAAGAAAATTAAATCGATTATTGTCTAAAATTACTTTGACAGACAATTCTAGAAAGATAGACTCACAGTAAAAGGTTGTTATAATGAAATCTGAAGCTAAGGAAAGATTGAAAGTACAAAATCTAGAAAGAAAGAACTGCGTGTACCCTGGACTAATGTAGTTTTCGGCATTCACCATTCTTCTCCATTAAACCCCAGTATATTCGAAGTTGCCTGTGGCAGTCATATAAATAAGTTAAAAGGTCACACTCAGAACGCACATCCGCTTAAGCGGGATATTTCCAGTTAATTTTGAACCCTCACCAACAGTTGGCAAAAAAATTATTTACTGCACATAATTCATCAATTTCACAACAAAATGGTTAAATAAACTTTATCGCAAATCCCATAAAAATCGTTACAAAATATGTTATTTGCAAAACATCCAGTAAATTATTTAACAAATTACTCTTCTATACTTGGAATTTATAACAAAGAGAAAAATAAAAATAATCGCTGTGTTTAACATGTTGTTGTAACAAAAAAAATATTGATTATAAGAAACGCTGAGACATTGACTCCAACAAACTTTTTATTTACAAAATAATCTTAACAAAGAAGATTTAAAAAAAAAATTGCATATAAAATCGTTTAATCATCAGTCAACAAGTTTAATGTATAAAACTGTTTCGATTATCATAAATGCAAACAGTTCAAGTGCCGCTTTTGTTAACATTAACCTTGGATTTTACATTTGTCGCGTTTTATTGCTTTTATTGTCTTTATGCGGTTTTATTAGTAACATATTGTAATTTAATCATCAAAATAAAAGAAAGTAATAATCAAAGTTGGGTTTTTATAATACTAGAATTATAACGGGTTCTTAAAAACTTTACAAAGAAACGTTTAACAAATTTTCTTCAACGTGTGGTCTCTTCGTTTTGTTGTGCTTGTTTTGTTCGATCGAGGATGAGCACATATGGTGAATGTAAACTCCTGTAACTTGTATATAACGACGTTGTGCATACTGAAGTTATGTGGAGAAGCCATTTAGAATCTGAATGCGACACGGTTCTTGTCCAGTTTGAAAAGAAAAAGACTGTTCAGAAAAATTAGTTTGATGTGTGCAGCTGTTGCAACGCTTTGAGGTCATTACCAACCCAGCTATTACAGCAATTGCTATAATTAATTAAAAAAAACATTAACAGATAAATAACTCTATAATCTCTTTGTGGAATTGTCTAGAGAAAATTTTCATACTTTTCGATGTTTGTTTGAAGAAATCGTTTGAATACAAAATTAGCCACACCTTTATCACGCAAATATTCGTATGTAGGTCAATGTTATGCGTTAAACAAAGTTTTCATCCTTAATCTATTACGAGCTTAAATCGCGTTATGTTATGTCGTTAAATTAACCGCCTTTGCCTATTTGCTGGTTCATTCGTTCGTTACTAAAAAGGGAACGGTAGGTTGTTGACATCATAAATGCTTATTATTAAATAAAGCCAGACGTCGACTACTTAGTATAAAGGCGGTTGAACCAGAAACACTTATAAGCATTAAAAACTTTGCTTCTGTGATATTTGCGGAAAGCTTATAAAGTTCTACGAGGTTAAATTTCACATTTATACAATTCCGTTTAATAAATTGCTGAGTTTTGAATTAAAAGTTAGACGTTCAAAGTTATATAATATTTAAGAAACGGACTCTAAATTATAAATAGAGAACACCAAAGAATTCTTTATGTTTATGAGCTCTCAATTTAATCTTTAAAACGCCTTTTACGCGCGATAATAAATATGAACTTTACGTCCCGCAATATAAACAAACTGAAAAGATAACGGTGGCAGATAAAATTAAAACTGGGAATCGTGTTTCTTTTTAAATAGGTGATTTTAAAACTAAAGCATTCGTTTTGTAGACGTAAATAAAAAGAAGATAAAAAGGTGTCCATTAGAATAAAAAAGTAAGCATTGTTCAAATTACTTAGCTACGTTTACGGGTGTTTTGAATATTAAATACTTTACTTTATTACATAACTTAATCATTATTTTTCAGTCTAATATGAAGAAATATAGCCTCAAAATAGCACTTTATGAATTAGCAACCAGCGACATTGAACAGAATTACCATACGCGTACCAAGAATTCAAAATATTCTCGATAATGTTCGGAATTTAACATTTTAATATTTCAATGACCAACTTGGTATTGGTACCACCGATTTACATTATGTGAAAGTGAAACACAGTTTTAATCAATAATGGCGTAATATAGAACTATTAAATGATTTCAAAAAGTTTATCTCTTAGTTTATAATTTATGGTAGTAGTTATATTGATAAATAGAATTTAATTAAATTTTAGATTGAAGATAAATCGTTGAGAAGAATGAAGTCTTTGGAAAGAATAATAACAACATTTCAGTTCGAAGTCATTTTTAGTGAAAATCTTTCTTTTATGTTATTCATTATTGTAATATAAATGCTGCAAAAAGCTCTACATAAAGTTCGAGGGTCATAAAACAATCACGCCGAAGTTTATTACACAAATAATTGCCAAACTGTCTCCTTGTAACAAATTGACAATTATTATTTGTTATTTTTGGCATGCATTTTATTTCATGTAAATTTATTCGTTAGTTCAATGTTGTTATAAGAGAAATTTATCATTAATTTTGATTTCTCTCTTGTGTGTAAAATTTCTTTTTTTTAGTAATAATGAAATTTAAATGTTGGAAAAATGATTTCTGATAGAAAATGTTTTCAGTGTTCTAACCCATCGTTAAATATTTCTAACTTATGAGACATAAAATAGAACAGATCTCATACTTGACATCTATATAGCATTACTACAAGTTATTATAGGATCTATTCAAGAATCATCTCCAATTCAAAACAAAAACATAAGATTTTTGGACATCGAAGTTATTTTGACCTAGTTATGTAAGTGTGAAAAAACGTTTCATCAAGAAGAGATGCAACTTTTCAGCATCCAGCAGAATATAACTTTGACATCATCCAAAAAGAGACTAATACTTTTCTAAAGAAATTCTTGAAGCACAGTTTAGCAAAAACTGAAATTAGGAGAGATACCTAATAACCTATAAATCATAAACTAACTTTGAAGCTTTAAATCATTTGTTTTCCTAGTGACAAAATCATACAGGTTTAGACATAAACATGCTGGATGTTTTGGTCACTAGGAAGATAGATGAGGGCATGGAACTGGGCGTGTATTAGGAGAAGACACATACGAACATTCGTCACATTGTCATCCACAACAGAAGATATCAGTGATCCAAACCCTATTAAAATGAGAAGAAAGCAACGCAAGGAGAGAGAAGACACGGTAAATTCAGGTGTGATGATATTGTGATACGATATAGTACGGTTAGCAAAATTCGGAACGCACTTCCGATAGCTAAATCTTTCCGGTTTAGTTCCTTCAAACTTGTTTCTGAAGAAGGTTGCAACAAGGCATCCGAACCATCAACATTGCTTAACCCGACAGTTTCTAGTTCTAAAGGTCTACTCTCGAGTTTTTGTTCAACATTTATGTTACTTTTTTGTTTGGGAACACAAAATAGTTGGCAGAATATTCTGTACTACCAATGGAAGACCTGGTACTGCTATCCAAGATAGAGATTGAATCAAGTTACTTTATCATAGAACTGAAGAATACGGGAAAAAGTAAACATTGATGTCTAAATTAACTAAAACTCACTTTTAAGTTAAAACCGGAGAGCTGCATTGTTCGTCTTTGAGATCTACAAAATAAATGTTCAATGAAGAAAGGTATAAACACCAACTTCTCCTTCTAAACCAAATTGTTCATGTACCAATATAATGTTGATATCGACGTTTTTGGGGCTCGTGATATGGCGTATATGGAGACAAATACAAGAGTATGCAAGAAAATACAATTATTTCAAGAAATACTGCTTTTAATGTGCAACTCGAGCCCCCTTCATTTGAAAACTTTATCATTGAAAAGGTTAAACATCAATCAATAATTCAAATTAACTAAAATTTCATGGATATTTAGTAATCCATTTTTAGAAATTTTTAACTTAATCCAAGAATAGTTAAAGTTTAAATTATGGTCAAAAACTACAAATGAATAAATGAAGAATGTGGTTGTTTTAATACATTAATTGATATTGTTGCCTTTAACTGGAATAAGATTGGAATTATGGAATCTGGAGTTAGGTTGGATTATCATTGAAAGATTCATAATACTGCAAAGTAAGTAATAACTTTATGTAAACATTATATATCATTGCTGACAATATGAGCAATTTATACAAATGCACAGTGTAAACTAGGCATTTTATAAAATATGTTTGTTTGGGTTGCTTCTTATCGCCCTGAAATGTAAATTGAAAGAGATTTAATACATGCAGCTGATATAACATCTGCATACCGCGAACTGATATCAACAAATCTGCACTTCATTTAGACAACATTCATTCTTGATTACAATCTTTGCTATTTTTGTTGAAAACTGTCAATTAATTGAGTAACATAATAAATTTGACGTTTTAGACCATCACCAAAATACAACAAGATAAAAACAAATTTTTCATTTCAAGCATCACTGATCTGATGTTTATAAAACACACCATAAAAATTTTGTTGGTCAATTTAATACCCAATTTTAATCTTTTTCGATTAACCTGTTTCAAAGACGCCGAAGAACTTGTTTACCTTGAACATCTGACATACAATCCTATTCTCAAGCTGTGGGTAATACCGTGCAAAATATCAATTAACGATATATCCAACAATCGCCGATAACCATCGAAATTAATATAACAATTACTTCACTATTCCGCAATAGATACAACAAACACTATTGAGTGACACACTTAAAAGCGGTTTATAAGAAATTAAAATTTACAAACAAATTAATCAGTTTTAAGTTAAAGCATAATGAAATTAAAAAAATCGATAACTTACCGATATTTTTAAACTTAATAAACTATAAAACTTTACAGACACTTCACATTTTTTAAATGATTTCAAAATGTTATAATAGATAATGTTATCGTTTTTTTAATAGTTTTGTGTTGAACTGCAAGTCATATACTGAAGCACTTTTAACAAAAATCACATGGTCTGCAAAAAATTATTAAAATCGCTGTTATTCGAAAATCACTGATTGGTCGAGCGAAAGTAATCGATTTTATTGGAAGAACTAGAAACACGGTCTTTTCAAATACGTAACTTAACACCATAGAACGTAATCGAGTTCAAAGAAAAGTAGGACCGACCTCTTGCCGTTAAGCGCATGGACTGTCGCCGTATCCTGTTGCTTGGAGTTAGGTATGGTTTCACCACGTCTGCGCAAGATTCTGCCTTAAGGCTCTCCGTTACGGTGGTGGATGCATTCTTGGGATTCCGGACTGGCAGACTTACCAGAAGAAGTCTTTTGACGTATTCTTTTGTGTTGTTACCATTCATGACAAAAATGGTCTTTCTTTTTATGATTTATTAACAAGTAATGAATTTTCAACACTACATATTGATTTATATTTTTTTGTTAGATTTTATTATTATACATTATAAATGACCTTCTTATTTTTATTGCAAGAAAACTTTCGTAACATTTGTTACTAAGAATCTTCATTATCTGCGTTTGGTAAAGTGATCCTCTTTGGTTCTCGGAAAGAGACTATAAAGAAGAGACGACGTAAAGTCAACCAAGATTCTTTTCTACTTCTTCATCGTATTAGCGGGGATGAATGAGCGAGGAAACCAGTACACGGAAAATGTACCAACAACTACAAGAATGCTGTCGCAATCACATTTATGCCACCGCTATAGGAAAAAAAAATATATTGACGTTGCAAAACTATACGGCTTGATTGTGTGAAATTCCCGCCAACTATCGCTGTAGTAAATGAAAGTTGTAGCAATTTAACAGAAGAACCACTGTGGTTGAACGAGTTTATGGTGGTATTACATAAAGTTGATCGATGGATGGATTTTGATTGAAAGTATTTTTTTATGTGAAAAATTAGAAAATGGAATGTGATAGATATCAACGAACTAATTTAAATAAAATTTTTTTATATATTAACAAAGTATGATGATTAATTAAAGAAATTGGTGATGTTCGATTTTTTTTTGTACCCCAACTTTCCCTTTTTGACATATTTGGAAATATTGTCGGTGAAAATATCCTCATTGAAGAAATTAAAATGTACCATTTTTTTCAGATTAACCGTATGTCATGAGTAAACGAAAAGAATTTGTCAGCTGCAGTACTCTGGCCGTATTTTTATTCATGTATGGTGTTAAATATACTTTCTCTCCTGTTTCAAGAGTTTACTTATTCTACTTATGCCCGCATTAAACCGATTACGGTCGACCACCGTCAAAGAACCAGAAACATAATCCATAAGAGAAAATTACGAATAATAATAAGAATGGTTACTTTATAATTTTATCTACATAACACAAGGAAGTAATCTCTTTCTTTGTATGATAAGTTCATTATTTTTTCTCTAACGTCGTGTTATTGTCGATCAAAAATTAATGACTACAAATATTTAGTAGCTTTGTCAAATTATCAATTATCAATTAGTGTTTAGTAAGGCATAAATGTTGCAAAAGTGTTAAGGTCTCTGACTTTCTCTTCCTTCTAGTTTCATTCAAACCTGAAATATGCTTTAAAAGCATTGCCCATGAAAAGTAGATACTGAAAATGTTAATATGTTTTTTGTACAATATGGAAGAAAGGTGTGAATCAGAAAACTTGTTAAGGGGTATGCCACATTAGAGACCTGAAAATAAAGATAACTTTAAGATTTTTTTGCTATGAGGGAAAAAAGTTTTCTAAAAATGAATTCTGGGATTTTAATCAACAGCTTTTCTAGTTTTAAAAACAAATTATATTTATTAACAGTTATTAAAATTGCCCCATTAGATGTCTGCAATGTTAAGCTTGCAAATTGTGCAAGGTCAATTGGTGTGCAGGATTTCTCCTAACCCAGAAATCGAAGAATCAAATTTCGTATTGATGATGTGGTTTTCAATGCGGTTAAGTTTGCTAATACAAAAAATTACATTATTAAGTTATTGATTAGTACATTTATGCTTCCTGAAGGTTATTTTATTGTCCTGTAGCTAATCTGTCTGACAATAAGCTTCCACGAGCTTGTATAACCTCACCGGTCATGGAGAGCTCAGCGTGGGCATTGCGACGTAAGTCCGCTTCGTGGCAAAAGTCAAGCATGATCTTCCAATTGTTAATTTTAATACTTATATTATTTCAACGACTTTTTTGCCACTATGTGTTGTAACTTTCATGACTTTACTATATGTTATTATATAGCTTTTTATACACTTGCGCTTCAGTCAAAAAAACGTTCTAAAATACACTTTAAACAAAAAAAAACTTTTTTTAGATAAAACAAAGAACTAGAAGAAGATGGCAGTACTCGAGGGATGTTGAGGAAAGGTGTGAATCCACTTGACATGAGAAAACTTGTTAAAGAAAAGCGAAGTGCTAGGAGAAGATGGTGGCAATCGAGGGATTCCTCAAACAAAGCTATACTTAACAACAAGATATTAACTCAGACGAGAAATTCAAAAACTTAAAGAAGAAGAAACCATGAGCTCTTATCTAGGAGAACTGTCAGCATATGAAGAGACCGATTGTTAATTATGGAAGGCAACTATCTATCCCTCCTATTAGAACCTATTACGGAACATTAGACAGAAACAATAAGCAAAAAGTAACACTGTTTGCAGAACATCTTGCTAACATCTTTGCTCCCAACCCAAGATGAAACAATCCCATATTGGTAAAAATTACCAATATTGAATACCAACCATTAGAAAATATTCCATCAGTTACTAAGAACTACATTTAAAACATTAACTTAAATACACCCAACAAAAGAGCAAGTACATAAAATAACCCATATCATTAAACGAAGCTTCAAAGAAAAGAAAACCAATTTTTTATTTATGTGTAAAAAAATAAATCCTGAACAGTAAATTAGCATTTGAAATCATCCCGTCTCATTAGAAAAAGCTATACATCTATCAGATAGCTACATATAGCTATAGGTATATGTACATCTATTATTGGAACGGCCATTAAGACTGCTTTCAGATTATAGTGATTATTAAATCAATTAGAAAACGAAGTATTAAAATTCAAAAAGTTGACTTCTTAAGTTGTTTCGTTTTTGTTAAAGCCAGGTTTGAAAACCAGTTGCTATAATTTTTTTTCCTCACTTCAATATGTTATATATCGTAAATTTCACCAATAAAATTGATTTGCCTCCCTGGTATGTAACAACAAATTGATTTCATTACTATGTAACTAACAATAAGATTAAAAAATGATGTATTCTATACAAAATCGTTGAATGAGTTTAGTCACGTAACTTATAAGGTCTTGGTACAAGTTAGTACGACCACCTCTATAAATAATAAACGCAACTGTAAAACAACATCGACTAAGAATCGATTATAACGTGTCTACCAAGGTCGCTGCGAAGAAATAGTCACAAACATCAAACGCGGTTTTAGTCGGTTTCCAATGGTGTTGTGCAATATGAATACGTATGCCGTTTACGACGCAAAACAGGTTCAACGAAATCTTGGTTGGAGTAAGTATACTCAACGTATATCATGGTGAGCCCCACGAGGGCCTCTTAATCTTCGGGCAACAACATCACAAAAACCTAACTGTAACCGCACATGAATAATATGTAAAATAAGAAGTTTTACTCTCTCATTAACAACCAGGTGTAAATTTAGTACTGTGACCTTTAAACACTTTCAAATAAAAAAGATTTTATACCATTTTTTTGTTGAATCAATTTATTTACAGAAGCTGCCATCTATAAATCGAGCGTAGAATCCTACATAAGCATTTATCGCCATAACAACCACCCAGTAATACAAACATGAATGTATCTTTTGTCGACATTTGCACACAGCCTTCTTTAGATACTTCAATATGTGCTAAAATAAATACTTCTTGAAGCGATGAGCAAAAGGTAAAAGACCTCCAAAGTTGTTCACATTCACTTTTTCTGTAGATGGAACATCTTATTTTCTCTTATTTCTTTTTTAGTTTGTTTTATGCAATCGGTTTCGATTGCAAATCACGAAATTCCTGCATACACACTCCTTTTAAAGTAATATCATGCCGTATCGCACCTGTATACGCTTTGGAATGTGCACGATTTTGTTTGTAAATACGGTAAAATAGGCTTTGGGAAAAACTGAAGATAACATTGAATACACACATTCAAAAAGTAATTGTTTTAATTTGCTGAATGTGCGTAAAAATATTAGTAAAACGCATGATATACATTAAATTAGCAATTTCATAATTGGTTGCGAAAAGTTGTTTTTTGTTGTAGCGATATTTTTGTATCCGTAGGCATTGTTCTTTTTCAACAAAGCACTTTTGTAGTTTTTGAATGTAGTTTTGTTTATACGTGTGAAAATTTGTAATACTTTCGCAAATATGGATGTTTTTACGCATTGGAAATATTCTGAAATTATTTACTTTTGAAAATGTTATAAATTAGAGTTATTGAAACAAATTTAAGTAAAAATTGAAAAAATAAAATGTATTTGTAAAACAGAAGAATATCTATGTTTATAGGCAACCAACTATACAGTTTGCGTTATTACAATATTGCCAACATTTTGGCGTTATCAAATATATAAAATTTTATCAAATATAATTTCGTGTAATATAGCTCTGAGGAGTTCTAAGTTATTTTTGAATTGTTTTACACAAATTAATTTAATTCCTCATGTTTCAAGACACTTCAATTTGACTAAAACGAATGTTGAAATTTCTTATTTACTTAATATGGGTACATACAATAAAACATAACGGACAAAATATTTTTAAATCTTACTTAAATATAAATGTCAGCGCTCATAGATAGAATTCAACAGGGGTTATTCCTCAAGTTGCTCTATTCCATATTCATAGATAAATTAGGGGTATTTCCCGAGTTGTCTATACAATGTATAAATGAAGGACCATAGTTCTAGTTTTAATTGTTATTCAGCGCTAGAATGTGGCACATTTTTATTGAACGAAAAGTAGAACTAACACTATACCTAGAACTAGAATCATTCGGGTTTAGCCGTCTTTAGAGACGTGCGGCTAAACCTAAATGATTTTAGTTCTAGGTATAGTGTTAGTTCCACATAATAACAGTGCTTGTGTAAAACTAGAACTATCGCTAGACCCAGAACTAGAAACATTCGGGTTCGTCTGAAGATGCACGGCTAACCCCGAAACTTTCTAGTTCTAGGTCTAGTGTTAGTTCTAGTTTTAATTGTTATTCAACGCTTGGTTGTAGTATATTTTTCATTGAACTAAAGTACTTTTGGTTGTGCAGTCTAAAAACTATTTTATGTAATCAGCTCCAAAAAATCCAATAATCTTTCATCAGAAAATATTACATTTTCACAAAATCTCAAGTTCTTACAAATATATTTTAAGTACACTATTTCAGTGCATACAAAATTATATTATGAAATAGATACTCATTACAAGGGTGTGCAGCTGATCCAATCAAAAATTTTATAATTTTAAAAGTACCAATGCACATGTTTGATTATCCAATTTGAAATTGTTTCATAATCGTACATACTTACTGTTTTTTCTAATCACACTATAATTTTTTTAGAAGCAGTTTGAAAACACTTGATTAATCATATTACGATAACGTTTTTTAATAACACTTAAAATCCAACCTAAACTTTCCACCAGAATGTCTATGTTTATTTTAAACTTAAAGAAGAAATTATTTATGTTTTTAGTGAATTAACTGTTTCAAGATGGCTGGAAGCTCATCTCGACAGAAGCGCGGGTTTAACAACTCTACCAAGAAGTCTTGTTTTGGCCGATGTGACCGGTGATGGCGACCATAAGCTAGTTCTTACAGATTTAAAGTTTGCATCAAATGAAAGAAGTCGACTCAAGGTGTATAAAGGAACACTTTTGACCACTGACCAAACTTTACCTGAAACCCCATCCTCGCTAATAACTTTTTACACAAATTCTTATGATTCAAAAATTCCTGGTAAATTCAAAAAATATTTAAAAAAGTCAAACTTCATTAAAAAAATTTGTTTCAGCGATTGCTGTTGCTTGTGGTACAGAATTATTAATCTACAAAAACAACAAACCTTACTTTAAATTCACTGTCGTGCCCTTACCCTTTTCAGCGTTAGAACAAGCTGTTTGGAAAAAATTAAGCGATGAATCGAATCGTGATGTTAGTTCTGCTTTAAGCGATCTTAAAAGCGTTCCTTTCCATACTTTATCATCAAGGTGAAACATCATTTTATTTTACACTGTTTTTTAATTATGAATTTTTAGATCCCAAAATCTACTTTCATTGGAGGTAAATGAAATTTCTGAATATATCAATAAATATTCTACATCAGAACCGAAAAAGTTCTCCCCCATCACTTGTATGACCACGCTAAATAGAAGCACACAAGATAAGGATGCTCCAGCTTGTCCAATTTTAGCTACAGAGGCTGGACAAGTTTTTATTTTAGATCCACAAACTTTTGCACCTTTACATCAAGTATGTATATAACATACTCAAAAGATTTATGAGTGCAAGTACTCATTTTAATAGGCAGTTGCATCTTCTAATAAAACCACCCCATACATAATCCAAACAATTGGTGTGTACGACGTTGAATTTCGAATAACAATTGCAAGCAGAGAAGGTTATGTAACTTTACTTCGAAGAGGTTGGCTTGAAGGAAAAACTCTGTTTCAAACCACCCCAAATATTGTTGATATGGCATTAATTCCTGGTGATGGATTCATTATGATTGCAACAACAGAAAAGTTATTGCAATGTTATACAAAAAGAGTACGTATTTTTTATCTAAATGCAATTTTTTTCCTTAACATTTTTTTAGGGTAGCAAAGTGTGGAATTTAAAGACAAAATATGAAATAACTTGTTTATGCGTAATTCCTTTGAGTTATATAAACACTTCCTTGTTGGCGGTTGGGTTTCGCGGCGGTAGTATTCATTTATACCAAGGAAGAACTTTAATGGACGTCATTATTGGACCGGATACACCTTCTGCAATTATTTTTGGACAGTTAGGTCAAGAGGAACACGTTATGGTCATTGTTACAATGAGTAAGAAAAATTTTTGAGTCAAACTCATCAAAACATGCTTTTTATTTGTTTAGGTGGTGCATTAAATTTAAAAATATTAAAAAGAACAGCAGATTTTAACTTAAATAAAGAGGACTCTATGTCGGCTCCTATTCAACAAGCCAAACCTCTTCCACTACCAAAAAGAAGTAAATTATTTTTAGAACAAAGTATGAGAGAAAGACAAAATCCGATTGGTACTAAATTAATTAAAAAAAAATTTTATTAATTAAAAATTAATCTTTTACAGATATGCATCAAAATTTTCAAAAAGACCTTATTCGTTTAAGGTTATTGGCAGCAAGAGCAATGGTTCAAGCTCAATCAAACCAAACAGGTGTAGGAAATGAAAAAGAACTTCTAAAATTATCAGCTCAAGTAAAAAAAATATAAAAGATCAATTCTAATCCGGGTTTTACGGTTTTTTGTAGGTTTTAGGACTTGGACCAAAGTTTACTTTAAATTTAACGTTGGAAAACATAAACATTGAGCGAGCATTGATCGGATTAAACATAATTTTGCATTGCAATCCGACGATTTACAAACTGTCGTGTTATCTAATCAAAGTAAGTTATGATCCAAATCTGCAAAATACTTTTTTAAAAAGGTAAATACAGGTGTTACGTGATGCAACGCAATTCAACGAGTTGTGCCACGTAATCGAACAAAGTGTTTAATTTGCTTTAAATAGATATCAATAATTGTTCTCCGCCTCACTTCTCCAATTTTATTATAACTTTATGAAACGAGGTAAATAATTATCTTTCTTGATCAAACTGATTAGTACGTTATCTGTTCTCGACTTTGGCAGGCCAAGGTTAAGTTGGATAACGTTGTTTTTTTTCGTAATATTCAGGTACCTTTGATACCACCAAATTTATCGTATAAGATTGAGGTAAAAGTGCAAGAAAGAGATTTAGAAAACGTCGTTGAAGAAAATGATGGTGCAACGGAAAATGTTAAAATTATTAGAGTCTTTGCTAGTAAAAATGGGGAAAATCGACCTGTGCTAGCTGCTATTATTACTATGCCACCAAGTGAAGTTTCGACATTATTATAAATAAATAAAATGAATTGATTAATAATATGAATAATCCTTATTTTTCAAAAAATAAATGTAAATAATGATTATTGAATTGAATAATTAAATAAATAAATATTACAACTTTTTATTTAGTGTATTTTAATTTCTCTTATTTCTTACTGTTTCTTTGTTAACAATTTCTTACAAAAATTCTACATAGTTCAATTATAAAAAATTACTTATTAATTACTTTTTTATTAGAATGTTAATCATACTTGTTTACAATTCGTACCAAAAAGAACCAGAAATAAGTCATGCGGGGAGAGGGGGTTTTGAAAAATCGGAGAAGCGCCTTTATTCCTTTTTGTAAGTAAAATAAAGGCGCGATGTCCAGTCTGGAACACACACCGCCCTTGTTGGAACAAACATCTCTCTTTCCGCATGGGGTTCGCTTAAAATACATTTTTGCCCGTGAAAAAAGAAGGCACTGAAACGCCCCTTGACTCATGAATCAAGGACTATCAAGACAATCATCAGAGAAGACTACAAGCATTCTACAGATTGAACAATCACTAGTAGCTATAGTTTACCACGGCGATTTTGAAACTACGACCTGTACTATAATTGACATATCTGAGACCCTCTTCGATTGAAGAGAAGGATAGTAAGGCGATCTTGCACAAGCATTCAACGGGAAAAAAGTAAACGAAAGCCGCTGCTTAATGTAACAAAGAAATTAAAGAAAAACCATCATTCAGCTAATTTTAAAACAGAGAGATCTCCATGCAAGCTATTACTTAGAAAGCCTACAACCTTAACATCAGTGCCACTCCTTCTACTCAAATAATGTTTCCTGGTGCTAAAATTTCGGAATACGCAAAAATCTTCACCAACTAAGATAACAATCAAGTTCTATTAAGTAGAAAAGTAAATGTCTACGAAGAAATATGGAATTGAAGCAGTTGCACAAGATAGGTATAGCAAAAACTACCACTGTTACTCCAAAGCCGCCGACTCTTTAAATGAGAAATGCAACTTCCAAGCCAATCTTTGATCTTAAACAAGCCCTCCAACCTTAATTGTAGTAAATTTCACCCAAAAACGCCAAAAATAGGTTTTATTACCGAAACTCGAACGATTAACAAATCGTTTGAGCATTGCCAATTATAACACTAACGCAAAGAAACTATCGTGGAAGAGGTATGATAATTATTGGCAAAAACCTCCATCGACTATTAATGTAAAAAAACCTGATCTTCAGGAGATATAAGCAACGAAAATCAAGCTTAGTATAGCAACAGAATGTTGTTACTTGACTTGAACTTCACCCTTTTTCAAGCAGATAATTGACGTTTTTCGTTATATTTTCGGTAGCGTACTTTGCACTTCATACTTAGATGTGGCAACACTTTCTGCAAGGTCAGCATAGAAAGTTTTTGCCATTAATCAGAAGAAATGGAATTTAAACTTTCGATAATTTGCATATATAATATGTCCACTATAATTTAGCCAAAACTACCCTCCTTTACAAAAAACCTTTCTGCCTCCAAATAATTCGTTTGTATAGATATAAGTAAAGATGTAAACATTGTGTAAATTGTATATTTATGTTATCTAGATTTGGGCGTTTCCAGCACCAAAATTGGTAATAAAGCAAACATGAATAACGTTTCAAATGAAACAGCTATATTAAGATTAACAAATAAAAAAAATTAATATGCAATTTCTTTTATTTTAAACATATGTGATTTTATATCGAACTAATTAAAAACATTTTGGTGCAAAACTTTATAAACTTTTACTTTTCATATTTTGGTGCTAAATTGTGGACGATTTGAACATATTTTTCCTTCGCTAACGGTTGCAAAATACCTTTTCTACTGTTCCAAGCTTCCCATTTGGCTTTTCCTTTTGGGTCATTTGGTTTTGCTAGAAAATTTAATTAATTAATTACATTTCCATGGCAATTTTAAATTCTTTATCACAAATTTCAAACCTGATTTAAACTCAGATACACTTACGGATGTTAACGTCCCCAACAACGGCTTGTTTATAATAAGAGTAAAGTTCCAATAATTCATTATCCGGTGGACGCTTGATGAACTTTTTAGCTCTATCGCAAGCTTCTTGAAATTTCTGCAAGAAAACAGTAAGAAAAAAAAATAAGGATTATTTATAGATTAAATTACATAAATATACGACTTTCTTACTTGTTCCATGCTTCTTCATCTAACTCAAATGATTATTCCCGCGGTTTTATACCTTTACAAACATTTCAATAAATAATTAGTTCAATAAATTAGTTCATCTTTTAACATTACAGTTTTGACACTAATTAATATCTTCTATGACATATTTCAATTTTAATTATTTATAATAATTATTAGCTATTAAAGTAGAATATATGGAAAAGTATAACTTATTATTATTAAGTTGATATAGATTTTTTTGTAAAAAGTTTATCAAACATATCAATAACGTTTCTTATCGCTACTGTTGCATAACCTTATTAATTATTAGGATAGAAGTATACGTGAAGGGCGTATTGATATTTGACCATAAAAATTCAGCCGTAAAAATCTTTAATGAGATTGCCAGGACCGTATTGAAAATAATTAAGAAAGCATTAAAGTAAAATTGAATTAAATAATTTATTTTTAAAAATTATTTAAAATTATACAAAATACGATTTTATTTGAATTTAAATCTTTTTAATACATACAAATCATGTCTTTTTCATAAAACGAGTTTTGCGGCTTACAAAAACGCAGAGTGGTTTATTCCACGTAAAAGAGATATCTTTACATTTCATTCCTCAACTACCTCGATATCAGGTAAGAAATGATTTCAATTTTTATACAATTTTTAATAAAACGAATACGGTTCTGGCTTTTACTTTGGAACTTCATATTTTTTTGCGGTATCCTTCTTATCTAAGCTTGCAGTCTATGTGTAGATTAACCCACGTGGTTTCTATATAAGCCCAGGTAAAATTGATTGTAGATTAGTTTTAGTTGCGATCCCGTACTAACAAAAAGTAAGTGAATCACTTATTTTAATAATTATTTTACACAGATTATTATTATTTAGTGCAACGTTTTATTTTAAATTAAAACTGAAAGAAAAGGTACTAATTAAGATTTCTTTTTCAGCTTTCATCATGTCTGCTGCCGATGTAAGTATTTTAACAAAAAATTGTTCCATTTTTCCATATAATTCAAAGAAATTATATAAACCACTTCATGTTATACATTTGCAACGACAATATTTACGTATTGATCTATATTTATCTTTTCATTATCATTATCTTTATGAAGTATCTCGGCAATCACATATAGCAAACAAATTTAATAAAACACGACTTGATTGAAAACAACAAAATTCTAAAAAAATATTTTTTGTGTATTTTATTCTAATTTATTCTTTATTTCTGGCAGTTCCAAGCTACCGCTGACAAAGTCAGAACCATGAGCCCACCAAGCCAAGAAGACCAATTGGAACTTTACAGCTTGTACAAACAAGCCACCGTTGGTGATTGCAACACCGCTGCTCCTGGCGCTTTGGACGTTAAAGGAAAGGCCAAATGGTCCGCCTGGAACGGCAAAAAAGGCATGAGCCAAGATGATGCTAAACAAAAATACGTTACCAAGGCTAAATCCTTGGGAGTTTAAGAATTAACTAGACCACTACTCACAACATATATTTTATTTCCTTCATATGTTATCAATTATTGATTAAAAAGTATAATTTAATAAAGTATGCACATTTTTTGATACGTTATATAGATTGTTTTATTTGCTGTATTTTATTCAGACGATTTAGAAGCTGTATTCAAATACCTTTATTCAAACACTTCAGACCAATAACATTCCTCTCAATAATTACACAATATTTTGGAATCTAGAGAAAGTCACTCAATTTACTTACCGTGATTGTAATAAGCTATTGGACCTACTGACATTTTCGGTATTGAATTACAAAATGAAAAATTACCTAATTACTCATAATCTTCTTCAAATTCATGTATAAGAGATCCAGCTATAGGTAACGTTGGTATTCACATAAAATTACTTCATCAGATATGTACTGTGAGACTTGTACACTCTTTTGAACCATGAATGAACCTCTATGCTTCGTTCATGGTTTACAAGCAACTCGGAAGAATGTTCAATAAGTATGGGATAATATGCCTCTATTCAAATGTTGGTACCGTCTGTAATAAACTTATTTAATTTGTTACTATTTACGCAATTACTTTACCGATTCCATTAAATATCAAGACTGAATGGTGATTAATCAATAGGGTAGTTAATGTAAGCACATTATGATAATCATTTTCTGAGTATAAGTGTGGCTCCTAACGATTTTTCTTCTGATCTTGCCTTCTAAACACCGTTTTGCAAGAATTCTCATCCACCATAATAACCCCGCAATAACAAAACATACTATTACAACACTCACAATATTGTGTAATTCATATTTGTTGGTTGAATCTGTAGTGGTTGTCATTTCTTCACTGTTGCCTGACTTCTTCTGCTTATTCTTCATTTAGTTAGTTCTCGTATCTTCAATTTTTCTTGATCGGAACGGTTGGCACAATAACCATGTAATGTCTATTTCTTATTGTTAGTTGAAATTTTGGGTTAATTAACAAAAATCCATTTATAACTGTTAGTATTAATTTTATTTAATAGACGTAGAAACAGCATTATTAAGACTTTATTATTGTTCAACTGTTGACTACGCTTAACTCAGTTTATTCACTTACTAATTAGAGATTTAAGCCATCTAGAAACTTCCGGGTTATGCCATGCGTCTATTAAGACACAAATTGACATTTCAAGTTAAATATCGAGTGTACTCAGTTTTCACAAAAGCTTTCACCTTACAACATTACCATTACACCACCAGACGACCTTATGAAAGATTTTGATTTTGGTAGGCAAAATCGTTGGTCCACCTACGCGCGATGTAACCTCAAACTTTTCCCATCGACTTTATGTTTGGTGAAATGTAGAAAAATTGGAGACCATAAGTCCACGAAAATGATATCCTCATAATACATCGTCACCATGCTCAGCGATTAACATTTTGCCATTTTTGTTTTTCTTGAAGCAGTCGTTTCCGCAAACTTGTTGCAAAGTGATGTTGAAGAGTTATTAGAAAAAATTCCCTTAACCGTCGCAGTTGATATGGATTATTTACATGGAAAGCTATAAATTTTTCCCAAAGTTAGATTGGCCATATTACGCGAGATGTTTTTGTTTGTGAAAATTTATGAAGTGTAGTCTACAATGATAAAATTATCCGTGAGGAATTACCCATTCGCATTTTAAAAGTTGCTGCTCCCATAAAAGAACGACGAGACAACCTTATTGCGAAAAGAGTTGAAATGTCAGTTATACTTATAAACGTGAAATAACCTACATCTATTGTAATATTTTATATATTTTTAAGTATAATATTTTTAATACTAGAATGTGCTCCATATATTTTGCTTGACTAATTTCTGTCCGAATACTTGCATCGAAAAATGGTTAAACGCTTCTGTAATCATTTGATCAACTTTTGTCTGTAAAGCATTTGATTAACTTACTGAAAAACGTGTCGTTTCTTTCATGATAAATTTTTTTAATTAAATTTTGTTTCTTAATCTAAACTGAACTATTGACTTTAAATTGGAAGTAACGTCAATTTCTAAAAAGAGATTATGACAGTTGTGATTAGATGATTACAATGATAACGATTTATATAACCATTGTATTGTATTGATGCAGACATAAAAAACGATTACACGTTGACTCACTTTGGTGCAAAATTCATGTAATTTTTCATCCAAATCACTACTCTTTATTTTTTTTGTAATTCAACCTTTACGATCCTGTCAAAGGTACAAAATCAAAATCAGATAGTGGTTGGCACTCGAATAATAGATTACAAAATTTGTTATCGAAACCCATTAACAATGATAACTTTGCTTTCAAGTTCTTGTGTGATTTATCAACACGTTTTCAAAAAATAGAAAAAAATTGAAGGTGATAAAACTAAAAAAAACAAGCAATCGATTAAGATTCGCATAAAAATAGATTTACTTTTATGTTTTTTTGTTTAATTGACCAACGTATTTTTTATTTGTTAAAGTTTGATGTAAAAGTTTAAGTACTGATTCATGTTTTCTTGTGATAAAAGTCCACTTTTAACGCATAGCTATAGGCAACCAAAATGACAAAAATTTTTGTCGAGTGGTTTAATGACGACAAGTTCAAAGCCGGTCCGTTTCAACTTTCAACGGTATCTACGGCCTATTTAACGACCATCAATTCGGAAGGAACGCTCAGTGCAAATCTGTGATTCGTTGTGTTACTAACAGGAACAACCAAATTGTAAGTTGAAACAAATTTTTAGAATTTTAAGTATTAAATAAATACATTTTTGAATTAACTTTCAATATTAAGACAAAATTTAATTAACCCTTATTTTGTTTTAATTTTTTTAGGCATCGCCAACATGTCTCTTGAAGCTGTAAGTATAATTATACCAATAGTATTAATTATAATTAATTTGTATGCTAGATATAAGGTGAAAATTAATTACCAGAAAAATTAGTGCACTTTAATTACTAAAGTTCTGTCCTACATATTAAGTGATTTGTATCCTAAATTAAAGTGAAAGATAATTAATAACTAAAACAATCCTAAATAACAAAATTGCAAATATATAATAAATTTAAAGAAATTGGCAAAATCTTATATTATAGACTGCAACTATTCCAGAACAAAAATCTAGCTATTTCAAATTTTCAACAAAGAAAATTTTCCCAATTAATTTTCATTGAAAGAATTAATTTTTGTCACGTTCAAAAATATATTTCGATAAAAATTTTCTAGAAAAAAACAATCAATCAAATAGTAGTATGTATCTTTAATTAAAACAATTTAAACACGATCTTTTAGTGCTTCATTTTATCGCAAATAAAATTTATTTTTATTTGAACAGATACTCTGAAAGTGCTTAAATGCAAAGTAACAGAAATTTATCTCTAAATAAAAGATGTAATCATTTCTTTTACATAATTATTTTTTGAAGTACTCATCCAAAAAGTGATTCAAATGATTAAAATGATCACACTTAACGATTAAAGTGTTGTAATACTACTTCAATATCTTTTTGGCGATTAAATCATTCTTTTCTTTGTTGATAAAAACGTTTTTTTTTAATTGTTGTAATTTTGTGTGTTTAGCAATTCAACGATGCCGCCGTTAAAGTCAAAAAATTAAAAGCAATGCCAAGTAATGATGATTTGCTTGAATTGTATGGCTTATTCAAACAAGCTACCGTTGGTGACAATACCACAGGTAATTATTCGAATATTCAATGAGGTTTTTAAAAAATATATACAAATAATATATTTTTTTTTAATTTTAGAGCGTCCTGGTATGCTTGATGTAAAAGGTAAAGCCAAATGGGACTCTTGGACATCAAAGAAAGGCATGTCCAAAGCTGATGCTCAACAAAAATACATCGACAAAGTCGAAGCTCTTGTTGGTTCAATTGGTTTGCAATAAATTGGATCAATCCAAAACATAAACTATTGTTGAGATGTACACTCATTTTTTATACTCTTTTTGTTACATCACAAATTTGTTAAAAAAAAATAATTTATACATGGTTAAATAAAAAATAAAATTTTCACCAAACTTTTTTTATTAAAATTTTTTTATTAGTAGTCAATAATCAGAAATTATCTTATTTAATGGCCAAGGTCGCAATACTAGTTTAATTATTTACGTTGCTGCAATCTGCTGCAATCGAACGTTTATTGCTGACGCATCGATGTAAACTTTTCTTTAATAATTCAAATAGTTACAAACACTTTGATATCTAAAAAAGTAATTTTTTAAAGTTGCCTCAATTCAGAAAAATTAAGTATCTTAATTTTGTTAAAATTATAATAAGCCAATGTAATCCAAAAAGAAGAAAATTAAATCATTTATATTTATTTACCTCTTGATGTAGGAAAACAAACAAAATCAATAATTGCGGCAGTTAAGAAGTTGGTAGTACTGTGAATGTAGCCGCTTTACATTCTTTTATATACAAAAGAATTCAAAAGTTGAGTGGCATTAATTATTTTGTAAGCAACCATCATCTTGCTATTCTGAAGTATTTTACGACTCCGGAGTAATTTGCTACTCTTGAATACACTACAGTATTCTGTAATTCCAGTGTTGTTCGTTGCTTTCAAATTTTTCTTCTTCTGCAGTATTCTGCGAACTCATTCTGGAATACTAGATTAAATTGCTACTCCTGATTACTTCACTACTACATTCCTCTACCATGCTTGTTGTCTTTGGTGTTTTTCTTCTTTTGGAGAATTCTGCCAATTTGGAGATCTTTGCTATTTCGAATTACTTTGTTATTTTAAAGCTTCCTAGTACACCCAAGTAGTCTGAAGTAGCTCGTTATTCTCAAGTTCCCTCTTACCGTAGTGTACTTTCTTATTCTGGAGTACTCCGGTAATCTAATGCATTAGGTTACTTCACCACAGATGTCGATATTGTGAAACTGAGGGCCTAATCCTTTCTTTTGCTTATTAATTTTAAAAGAATAGTTTTTAACACAACTCATTTGTCACGTTACTTTTGATACAACCTGTACATTCACATCTACTTTAAATGATAAATTTAAAATTAAACATTTAAATTAATGATATCCTTACATTTATCGTTTAATTATATCTCAAAGTGAATATCTACCATTGACTTCTACTTTAAATTTGATCTCAAACTTAAATTTATACGGTTTAAAATAAGTTAGTCTTTTCGTTGCTATATTCACATCGCCACCATATAATTACCATTCACCAGTGATTCACCATCTTGTAAATCTTTACCTCACCGGCATCTACTTCGTAGTCAGAAGGTAATTTGATGATTTCAATATTTTCCTGATTATTAATATTTTAAGAATTTTCTGAATAAAGCTGTAACATTTTATTTTTTTAAATTTTAAGTAGTTAATTTTATTTCTTTTTGATGTTTTTTTAACATTTTTTTTTATATTTACTGATAATTTCTTTCTTATCACAGAACAAATAATCATGACTCTTCAAGCCGTAAGTATTAAAATGAATTCAAGATTTTAAAATTAATTTTATTGATATATGTATTATTTTTTAGGAGTTTGATGAAGCTGCTGAAAATGTTAAAAAATTGAAAACTATGCCTGGCAATGAAGATTTGCTAGAATTATACGCCTTGTTTAAACAAGGGACTGTTGGAGATAACACCACAGGTGAAAAAAACCTACATATTTTTCTTGAATTTTTTTAAATTTAAACTATTATTTAGATCGCCCTGGAATGTTAGATTTTAAAGGTAAAGCTAAATGGGATGCTTGGACTACAAAAAAAGGGATGTCTAAAGAAGATGCCCAACAGAAGTATATTGAGAAAGCTAAAGGTCTCATTGCTTCAATTGGATTGCAATGAATTTTTTGTCCATAAGACTTAAAAAATGTGGAAAAATTATTAAATTTTTATACTTTAATTTGTTGAGATATTAGAAAATAAAATTTTTATATACTACACACAAATATATTGTTGTTTGCCACAGCACAAATTTTTAAGTGTGGTAATTTTTTATATATTTTTATATTTGATTAAATAAAAAAAGTTATCTAAATTAATAAATATTTTCTTCTTTTTAATTCTTAATTTTTGTTGAAATCTAGAATGTGGTTGAATGTTAAGTGAATGGCAATAAGAACACAATGACTAATTTTTAGATACTTTTGAGATTATGTAATAGTTGAATGGATATGTTATATGTATGTAATACTTCTTAGTCAAGACAATATTTAAGATGTTTAAAATTGTTTCTGAAGAAGGTTGCAACATGGCATCCTAAACGTCAAACACTTTTTCAAAAGACGTTGACCCTGTCAGAATCTACTTTAGTGTTAGTTCTAGTTTTAGTTAACTCAAAACATTTAGATTCCAGAATATCACATTCAGAATTCAAACTTTCTGTCGGCACCTTAAATCTTTTTAAGTTCACCTTACGTGGCCTTGAAGTCTCCATATGGGAATAGAAAGCAGGTTTGATTCAGTAAAATTTATAGCCTTAAGTCATTAAGGTTGTACGTCAATGACCATGATTATACTCTTTGTTGTTAAAATAGAAAAATAAGAAATATACGACATTAAGTTAGAAGTTAGATTTTTTATTGAAATTGATAGACTGAAGAAAATGTAAGGTATCATCATGTGGTTTGTTTTCTTGGTTTTCTGCGTTGAGAGTAATTGGCCAACCATCTGTAGTAGCTATGGTAGGTTTGAGAAGAAAGAGTTGTGTTGAAAATCTACCCAGCATTGCACAACGATCATAACACATTTTCATTTAAAAAAAAAATAACCTTACCCAACATTCTTTTCTGGGATGATTGACAGTTCAAAAGAAAACTGACCTTACCCAATATTCTTTTTCGGCATGATTGACATTTCAAAACAAAACTGACCAAAGTCAACTTTCTTTCTAGGAATAATTGCTATTTCAAAAGAAAACTGACTTTACCCAACAAAACGCTTTACAGCATAAAGAATCTCTATACATGTAAAATCGTACTGTGAAGTTATATACATTGATTATTAAAACATTTCGTGCAGAAAAAAGATAAAACTTTATACTTTTGATGTAGCTAATTCAATACGATATGATCTGCTTTCTACACACAATCAACCAAAACGGCAGCCAATACACGATAAATTTTTTATCATGTCTCTTAAAAAGTATGAAGTTAACAGAATATTTGTATATACATCAACACATGAAACACCTGAAAATTTGCTATTTATACATCTCAGTATTTTCTATGTAATCAAATTTTTCTGAACTCAGAAACTTTTCTTTGTTAGTTTAATACTAATTGATTTTGAGTCATCGCAAATATTGAAAGTAATAAGTTAAGCAATTTTTTAACTTCGTCATCAAGTCATAAAGGATATTAAATTCTAAGAAATATTTATGCGTAACACAATTTTATCTTCCGGTTTTTTCTGTTATCACGTTTACTTGTGAATAAAACGATGCAATAAAAATTCCTATCAATGTTTATGGAAATCTTTAAAATGTTTATTCTTTTATGGAATAATTATAAAACTAAGAATTCTTTATTAATATATTCATAACATGTCTACGGATAAGCTGGCGGTCAATTAAAGTAATCTAACAATTAAAACAATTACGGCATTGTGTCCGTTTCGTTTAGTCATTCATTTTACTGGCGTAAGCGAGCCCGTTTTGTAACACAACTCGCTTTGTAAACGAACGCGAGACGTATATTTTTACGTACAGCTTGGTAAACGTTTAACTCGGGCTGGTTTGCTCGAGATTGATCGATAAAATAAACGGGAGTGCACTGTTTGGACGTTGGTATTTCTGTACTATACTGCATTACGTTTTGTGGGGAAGTTTAAAGGTGTGTGTTATTAGGGCAGATCTTGTTTCACACCTGCGTAAGAGTTTTTTTTTATCTGACAGGCGTGGTATGTTTGCATTCATTATTTTTAATAATTCCTCTTTTCCAGTTGTCGACAAGTGACGATGTTAAATTAAAACAAGAGGGGCATTGACGCAAGAAACACTCTCCTACGGCCCTTTATTATAGACGACGTTTAATCCGTGTGGGCGGGAAATAAAAAAGACCAAGAAAGAGATAAACAACCGGGAGCGGGTGTGTCATTGGAATAGTTCATTTATAAGAGGTTTTGGCGGTGTCTTGCGATAGTTTCAGTATCGTTTCAGTAGCTGAAACGGAATTATTTGATTGCGCACGTATGAAATTCCTAATGGACATCATAATTCCGCCCTTTCGAGGTATCAATGGTAAATGCAATGTTGATATGACGAAGAAAAATAATTTTTTGCAATCACAAACTGATGAAACTTGCTGTGATTATCCACTGAAGGTTCTTGATAATCTAAATGCTCTAAGACAAAATTCTAGATTTTGTGATGTGGAAATTATTGCTGGGGAGAAAATTATCAAGGTAATTTTATATTTCACAAATACAAGTATATTTCTGAAATCTTTATGTATCAAATATAATTATATTAAATAAAATTATTTTTTATAGGCAACTTATTAAACATTCTAATATAATACAGAGTGTCTCACGCAACTGGTTCTTTAGAACTTTTTTAGGTTCGTTATTTTAAATGGAATGCTACAGTTTTTATTAAACCATTTAATTGTACATAAAAAATATGTTGACTTTCATAAAAGTAATTGGTACCTAGCGTTTTTCGTTTTCGAGTTATTTTGATTTAAAAAAAAATTTTTTTTTGGAAATTTCACCATGCTCTTTAAAACCCCATATCCCAGCCAACGTTCTTTCAAAAAAGGTCTAAATTGGCATGATTACTCTTTAGATGTTGTTAAATAGATTGTCATTTATTGTGTCAGAATATCTTCTACAGGATGGTCATAAATTGAGTTACCGTTTCTCTCTCCATTTTCAATGGGGAAAAAGTCGAAAATTTTAAATAGAACGCAACATATTTTATTAGCCAACCCGAAGGGGAATTTAATTCTCTACTAATTATCTATAAACATTCCTATACCTATTTATTGTAGTTTCTCTCATATTGAGAAATTTATTAAAACATCTCACCAAAATTTCAAACCTCACCAGTTACGTGAGACACCTGTATAGTAAAACCTCAATATAACTGAATAATATAGGGAAGGGAATGTCCGTTATATGAATACCTTTGCGTTCAGTCTATATTTACACCAAAGACGGTAGAATCTAATTGTAAGAGTACTGTTAGCCTTGCGTTATAAGACGCCTATTTTCGTCTGTTATATCGACGTTTTACTGTATTATGAATTATAATTTGCTTTTTGTTTGTTGTTGAATTCAATGATTTTTTACTTAAATTCTAGGCTCACAAGGCAGTTTTAGCAGCTAGTAGTAACTATTTCCAAGCAATGTTTACTGGTGGATTATGTGAAAAAGATCAAAATTCCGTCGAATTACACGCCATATCACCAAATACTTTAGAATCTCTAATAGACTTTATATATTCTGGTAAAGTGTGTATAAGTCAAAATAACGTGCAAGAATTGATGATAGCTGCTGATATGTTGGAGATGCATGAAATCGTTTCATGCTGTTCAACTTTTTTAATCAAAGAACTCCATCCAATTAATGCCATTGGCATTTATAGGTAACATACAGTACTGTGCGAAATAATAGGTTTTTTTTTGAGCAACCTCTCTTAAAGAGTAGCCAAACTTGATATTGGATCCACTTTGATTCTATAACTTGATTAATTGCGTCTTTTGAGTTTGACAGATAAAATTAATAAAGAACTGTCAAAATTTGGCTGTGCAAAAAAATAGGTGTTAAATTTTTAAAAGTTAAATTTCAATATAGGTTGTAATTTCAGAAAGTTTTTATAGTTTCCAGGTAAGTTGTCTAGATTATTATAACATTTAAAATGTATCATTTAGCGATATAATGGGAAGAGCGAAACATTATAGCAAGGAGGTAAGAGAAATTATTATAAAACTGCGTAAAGAGGGCAAAACATATCGTGCAATAGCCAAAATAATTGGCTGTTCTCAAAATATGATAACCAACGCACTAAAATGACGCGATAAGGTGGAAAAAGCAAAACATCAACGCGTACCGTTGGAACAATTGTTTGCTAGGTAATTTGAGCCCATGAAGACTTCCATTATTGCCAAAAAAGAACGTATTGAGAAGGTTACACGCTACCATGGAAGACTAGCTGTTCAAAATTGCGAATAAATGGCTTGCTCCAGGAAAAGAATGTAATCCTAGGTACAGGAGCAAAACAATACAACATGGTGGGGGAAGAATAATTGTTTGGGATTGCTTTTCCTGGTATGGAGTTGACACAATTTTTTAGATACAGGACATTTTACATCAATTTTCTGGAAAATAGCATGTTGCCCTACACTGATGACAATATGCCTTTGTGGTGGAAAATTCAGCAAGACAACGACCCCAAACACATTACGCATTATGCCGTTATACCGTTTTTATTTTATTTTTCAGTAAAACGATATTATTTTTATTAATTTAATGCGTGCAATTATTATTCTGTAGAGGCGGTAAAGTGTTCTTTTCTTTTTCTTTGTTGTATTGTTAATATTATTTATTGAATAATATTTGTTTGAAAAACAATCGTTTAATAGTTCTGATTTTACGTATTTACCTTTTTCCCTTATATATTTTACAACTAAAATACATTTAAAGACTATTTTTAGGTCACACCTATTATTTTGCACACCACTAACCTCGTTTATTGTGATTTTTATAATTTTTTAATTTAATTATTAATTTTATTAGATTTGCAGAAGGTCATAACTGGCTTAACTTAGCAAATGAAGCAATGGGTTATGTAGAAAGTCACTTTCCTGAAATTTGCCAAGAAGAAGAAATTTACGAGTTACCAAAAGAAGAATTTATCAAGTTTTTATCATCAGAAAGATTGCGTGTCGATTCGGAGTTTCAAGTTTTTCAGGCTGCTATTAAATGGGTTGAGCATAACATAATAGATCGTAGGAGATATGTTTTTGAAATTTTAAAGTACGTTCGACTTCCACTTTTTTCTATCAGTAAGTAATAATAATAACAAAAATGTTATAATATAATTATATGTAATAATTTTAGATTTATTAGAAAAAGCAGTTAATGATTGCACAGATGGTAGCTTAAAAGTCGCATTAAAATCCGTTCACAACGATTTAATTAATAGAAAAGGTTGTCTTGTTACCTTGTCAGTTTTACCTAGACATTTAGCCAAAAGAGATATATACGTTATTGGCGGGAATAAAAGAGAATTGGCTTGGCATAGGGGAACAGAAAGTAGCTACGTTAGTGTTGTTAAATTTAACACATTCACCAAGTAAGAAATAAATCATCCCATTAAAAATTGCTTTTACCATTGTTTTAGATACCTACGTATAATCAAACAACTGTATTTAATTCGCAGGATATCTTGCAGTTAAAACATGGAAATTATGTCGAAATCAAGTTACCAAACTGCAAATTAAATCCAGTTGATTCATTTAAAATACAACATTCCTTTAATTTAATTTATGTGTAGAGAATGGACAACAGCTCCAGATTTAATAGTAAATCGTATTGTTCCGGGTGTAGCCACATTAAATGGAAAAATTTACGTAGTCGGTGGTGAACAAGAATCAACAAGTCTAAACAGCTGCGAATGTTATGAACCTGACGAACCCTGTTGGAAAAGTGTGGCAAGTATGATCGTCCCAAGATGCGAATTTGGTTTGTGTGCTTTAAACGGATATCTTTACGCTTTGGGGGGTTGGGTTGGAAGCGATATTGGTGGGTGTATAGAAAGATACGATTCAAGAATCGATGAGTGGAAACATGTTGGTGTTATGCCAGAACCTAGATTTAGTATGGGAGTTGTAACATATGCAGGTTTTTTTTTATTAAAAAATAATTATTTAAATAGATTGATTTGGATTTTTATAGGATTAATTTATATGGTTGGTGGTTGTACACATTCAAGAAGACATTTAACGGACCTATTAAGCTTCAATCCACTAACTGGGGAATGGAAATCTTTACCACACATGACTGTTGCGAGATCACAAATGGGCGTTGCAGTTATTGATGATTATTTATATGTTATTGGGGGCGATAATAAAAACAGTATTCTTGATTCTGTTGAAAGATATTCTTTTAAACAAGTAAGTTTAACTATTTTTTAATTGAGATATCATCTTATATTATTATAAACTATTTATTTTGTTGCAGAATAAATGGAGTAAAGTTCCATCGATGATGGTAGCAAGAAGTAGACCAGCAGTAGTCGTTGTGGACAAATTATTGTACGTTATCGGGGGATCCCAGACGACCGACGATTTTTACAGAGCCCAATTCACTTTGGATTCGGTGGAATGTTACGATACGGTGTCATATCGATGGACAAGTTGTCCAGCTTTACCTGAAAGTAGAGCTGAATCTGGTGCGGTTGTGATATGAATTCATTTTTTTATGATTGTACTTGAGCTTCCAATGTGAATAATGTGGTATAATAATTTAAATTCTTATCAAAAATCGTAATCATACCAACCAAATATAAAATTAATACTTATGTGATCTCATTATACCAAATCTCATTTACTTGTTTCATATTATGTATATTTTTATTTGAATCGTTGTAATTAATTGAAGTCTAAGTAGCAAAAAACAATTTATAACAAAAATCATAAGTTTAACGTTTAAATGTGATTTTGCGCCTTACAAAAAACAGTTACCTGATTTTGTTCTTAAATTAGTTTTTTTTGCAAATGTGTTAAATCGTCGTAATCTAAGTAGTGTAGCAAAAAGTTTTTTTGCATTCTTTGGAGTCGTAGTAAAAATTACTTTTTGTTTTTATGACAATTTGTACTAAATTTTGAACACTTATATTATTCACCAATACGTTTATTTTTAATAATAGAAACCGATGTATTTACGTTTTGTGACTCTTTCATATTGACCAACTAATAAAAACACTTTGATAATTGTAAAAACTGTTTAAAACATATTTTCATTAATATTACAATTAAGTTACATGAAAAGTGCATAATTTTTTTTTATCGCATCAAAAATAAATATAAAAAAGTATTGTATAAAATAAAAATAAAATCTCCAATTGACCTTTTATCATTAAAAACTTTCAAATTAGTTTCGAACTTCGAAAATTCTTATACTTGATCAATTTAATTCTTAAATTCAAGTAAAAATGTTATCCAACGAGTAAAAACTGGTGAACATTGAGTGTTTCACCCACATGGAATTCTCGAGCATTCGGTACAAAGACAGAGCGAACGCCGGGAATGCGGTTAATATGTAACTGGAGAGGTTTAAATCGGTGTGAAAACACAAAGGATCCTTACTTTCCATACAGTTCCTGATAAATTTCAATAAACCGGTCGGTGTGTCATCGTTGAATGAAAACGAAATCTTCGGAAATTGTTTTTTAACAACTTGCACCCATTTACCTTTTATATTATCTTTATAAGCTACTCTATCCAGGCAAAGGTGAAGATCTTCGAGTTTAAGTGCTGGTTGACTGGGCCGAGTTCCTAAACCGGCGCATGTCAAAATAAATCTCCATTTTCTTTCAGGAGACCAAAAATATACATGACTAAAAAATACTAGTAAAAAAAAAAGGTATAATAAAATAATTTTCTTTACGTGACGACTTGTTGAATCGTTGGTCTTTCGACTGGTTCATACAACAACATCCACGTTATCAAATCTGAAAGTTCTAAATTTTTTGCTGATAATTGAGGAACTGCTTTATCCAAATTTTTGAGAATTACTCGCATATCATCGCCGTAAGGATGCTTTCCCGCGGTCATTAAAAAGTGAATTAACATTCCTAGAATTTTATATAAAAAATTAGTTTTTATACATAATCATTAAAGAAAATTGTACTACCAGCAACTTGAATATCAGAAGCAGAGGTACATTCCATTGTTGAAAGTTGCTTAAACGTTCTGTAAGTCTCTGTAGCAAACCAAATTATTGAAGAATTTGGTGCTTCTTTAAATTTAAATAAAGCCTAAGGAAAGAACAAAAAATATAATTATTAATAAAATTAATAATGGACAAAAGATGAGGCAATACCAACTAATAAGAGCTAAGTAAATGTATGTAGCGATAGAATGATCATGGGAAGAAAGCTGCAAAGTATAGAAGTAATACAAAGCTTTCTGCCATAAGAAACGAATCGTTTCACCAAAGATCAGCAAGCAAAAGTTGGTCTCGAAAAATCCAGTATAACGCTACGGAATTAATTTTAATTACAGACACTATGGTGTATTTAATGGTAAACAAGAAGTGTAGCTCCACATAGTTCTAACCTGGGTATAGAGTCTTTAATGGGACAACTCGAGACTTGCCACCGATAAAATAAATTTTGATAGACTCATCTTGGTCTTGGTAACGTAAATAAGTTGAGGTAGCGTATCCAACCTCGGAGGCCTTGGATGACATGAAGCGAGGTATCTCAAGATTTGATAATAAAGATAATTTTTGTTTAAATGTTTCCCATTGTGTTATCAGGTGAATGAATTAGCCGAAGTTGTTGAATGAAATGCTTGGCTTTAAATGTGTATGGTGTCAAAATAAGTAAATCCTTTATTGATGTTGCACCAGTGACAATATTATCAACATAGATATTATGATTTAGAATATGAGCACCATGAGGATGCGTATCGGAGTATAAATTTGTTAATTCAAGTATTGTTCGAAGAATAAAACCTTCATGACTTTTACGATGGGGGAGCTTTTGAATCATTTCTTACTGACTCTTCATTTCATTATTCATTATTCATTTCATTACTGACTTCTGGCTGTATAATAATTAAGTCGATCAACTTTCTTGTTTCTAAATGTAAAAAATCACATATTGATGACATATATGACAACTCAATACAGAATGGAACGGAATATCAAGGGCTAGAAAAGCAAAGAGAGTGGGCATCATGATAACCATGAAATATCATCATGATTACTGAATCATCAATTAGTAGTTATAAAAGCACAAAAAGGAAAGATAAAAAAACTCGTTGGAAAGATGAAGTTGATGAAAAGGCAATACACGATAATTGTTGGAATTATCAGAAATGGAACAACTGATAGTTATGCATGTTAATCGCATGTTCCAACAAAATATGTGAAAAATCAAAGATTTATAACAAATTGTGGCTTAACTTTGGATACTCTACTCTGTATGTTTATTAATATTCTTACCCTATGTATTCCAAATTCAGCAATTTTAACGACACCATTCATATCAACAAAAATATTGGAAGGTTTTAGATTTCCATGTACAATAGGATAAACTCGATTATGCAAAAATAACAGTCCGGTTAAAAATTCTTTAACAACATCCAAAGCACTTAAATTAGTCTGATTTTGTTTCATCAGCATTAAATACTGTCCAACGTTGTATTCGCAAAGAGGAGTCGCTATGATTAATTCGTTCGTATCGTAATCGCACGCGAAATAATGCAGTAAATTTTTGTGTCTTAAATCGAGTAGATCCACTAACATTGTCCTGATCATTTCACAAACGCAACTTCCTTTCGGTATTCTTTTAACCGCTAATGGTCGGTCGCAAGAATCTAAACCTAATTCGACGGGAGTGAAGTTTCCTCCGGTGGAAATCACGTGAGATTGCCGTTTTTCTTTGCAACTAATTCGAACTTTGCCGTCTAAAAATATTTGGCAATCTTCCATCATTTCTAAACTTCTTACTAAAGTACACCATCGGCTGGTTTCGCCTTCGTTTTCTGGTTTTCTTAATGGATCGACAAAAGTATCGTTAAAAATCAGATCGGAACGAACCGAAAAAGCGTTTTTATTGAAAAACATCATTGTTTTTGAAATCCGATCGTAATTGAAATCGATTTCTTTGAATCGCCCCATTTCGTCATCGCTTTCATCGCAAACATTCAAAATCGATTGTTGCATGTGATAAGCGTTCTTCAACGTTTTCTTTTGAGCTTCGATATTGATTTTTGATTCACTCGGTTTTGATTTAGGCAACGTAATCACTTCCTTCATGAATAAAATGTCGTCTGATAAATAATTTTTTGTGAGGAATTTGAGTTGTTGGTCTAAGACGTTGATGCGAATTTTGTCGAGCGGTTCGCGTCGGTTGTTTAAAACATCTTCCATGTATTTTACGATGGCGTTTTCTGTCGAATCGGGACAAGGAAGATCAATGTTTTCTGGAAGATTAATGTTAACAAAAACCGTTTCCATCGGACAAACTTCCGATATTATTGTTGTGCCACGAATTTCGTGACTAAGCAGAACGTATTCTACGTTTTTGATGAGGATTTTGCATTGTTTAATATCTTTTGCCGCTACTTGTTTAATGTATAGTATTAATCCGTCGAATTCTTTTCGTAAAGCATCGATTTTTTCTTGTTCTAATTTTTGAAGTATCGTTCCTTGTTCTAAACATTCGTCGGAGCTTAAAAATCCTTCTCTAGGGCAAAAATTTTTATCCGCTTCTTTTTCTAATTGGTTATCAATGATCCAATGTTTTTGGTACCGATTTATAATTTTCATTAAAAGTATTTCTAAATATTTTAAACTGGGGTAGATTGCGTCGTTTAAAGTATTTCCTGGCCAAGATTTATTTTCGCTGGAAAAAATTATAAAATCGTCTGGTTTTAAATAGGTAGGATCTTTTAGGTAATCAGGATTATACGCGGAATTTGCACGGGAAGAAAATGGTAAATTCAAAATGTGACTTTTCCAATCTTCGGAGGAAAGCGTCATCGACTCTTTGGCTTTTTCACATAAAATTTCAGCTTCGATCCCGACCAATAAATTTTTTTTAAGCGAATTAACGATATCGCATTGATTCATTTCAAAGTCACGGAGGGATTCTTCTAAGTTAAAATCTTGTTGGGAGTCATCAATCCATGAAAAGTCTTGGGTTATTTGATTATCTTGCAATTGTTCCATATATTTTCTATTTGAAGTTAATCGCTCTCTTAACTCAGCAGTTTTAACTTTGTCGATTTTAGCTTTTAAAGCTTTTGTGCGTCTTTTAGTCTTTTTTAAAAACATTTTTGATTCATCATCGTTTTTTTCGGTTTCTTGTAAGATATTTCTTCCGTAAATGATTTTTTTGCAAATCGTTTCACCGCTTATAAGTAAGTTCATGAGAACTTCGAATTTTTTCATTTTGTTATATGTCTAGTAAGAAAGTAAAAAATGTATAAAGATATTGATACAAAATTATTTTTTGTACTTACTCGTTCATCTGTAGTTTTGTTTTGAATTGAAATAATTCTTATTTGCTCATAATATGGTTGTAAATCCTCGTAATTGTTTTGTAACCATTCTTGACAACGCCCTTTGACCAAACATGCTTGCATAATAGAACGAAAGCACAAAGGAACAATCCAAGAACAAGTTTTATCATTTTCGTACCTAAAAAAAGTTATTCAAATTATATTTATCATCATAAGCTTTGTTTTGATACTTTTTCATTATTTCTAAAGCAACATCAGCATAATCACTCCTTTCAAAAATGTCAGACAAAGTTAGTTCATCTACAACGGGATTTTGACAACATTCTGGATGTTGTAGGAGTTCCAGAAGGATTGAAAGAATTATTTTCAATCTATCTGGTACGTCAATGTATTTTTGAGCAGCCTTAAAAAAGGACATTTTATTCAAGAAAATTAAAAGACACGAAAAATACCATCCTGATTTTTTGGAAAACGTTTAAATCCAAAAGAATTCTCATTCCTTCACCAGAATATCTTGCTACATACGTAAAAATGTGCAATAATATACCTGAAATAGTCTGTCCACTGCATTGAGTTGTATTTGGGGAATTTATTATCATCATTAATCTTTTCTAAAATAAAAGCTGTATGAGATCTCATCAAAATTATAACGGAAAGTGTTGAAACTGTCAAAAATCTTGGAAATGTAGCTTAATGACGAAAATGTGGATATAAACTACATTTTCAAGACCAATAAAGATATATACTTCAAGATATTCTTCTAATGAAAATGCGTATTTATATAACTCGCTTAATAATTTTTCCACAACCAAATTTGGAATTTGTAATTGTTTTGTAATAGAAGAAGATAAAGCATAACACAAAGCAATAAATCCATTTTTATCTTCTAGCGATACATTAGCTCCCGAGGAAATCAATTTTTCAATGATTTCAATATTATTTCTAAAACTGGCTAACATTAATGGCGTTATTCTCGTAACGTTAATAATATCGACGTTAGCCTAAAACATTTATTCAGTTTAATTAATCACATTTAAATGTCGTTTATTTTAATTACCCCTCTTTCGATTAAAATGTTAATAAATAATGTCCATTCTCTTCGTACAGCCATGTGAAGCATACTGTTTCCATTTCTGTTTATAATGTTGCTATCAACAATAGTCGTGTTGTTGATATTATTCCATAAGAAAATAAAAGATTGTTCGTCCCAGATCTTGTTATCGAGGGCTACGAAAAGGACGTGATCGCCGTTTGAAGCTTTCGTTGTAGCATCGGCTCCGTTTACTAATAAAGCTTCGATACATTCCAAATTTTTACATTTGATTGCCCATGTAAGTGGTGATATATTATTTTGATCGGTACAGTTAATTTTATGTCCATCGCTTAAAATACTTCCAATCAAATCGACTTTGTTTAAAATCGCTGGGCCAATCATTGGTGGAATTCCAGACTAAATTAATGTTAATAAAAAAATACGTTTTAATTTTATGCATCAAAATTAAAACGCAATAACAACAAAAAAGAATTTATCAAAACTAAATTATGATAATTACCAAATCTTTAACTTTCAAAGTATTTCTTATGGTAAGAATTTCTTCATGCGTAAAATATTTATTAAAAGATACTATCGAGCAATCTTTTGAAACATCCGTGACACTCATTGCTTTCTTCTCTTGGTTATTACTTTTGGTCTTCTTCTTTTTCTTCGACGGCATCATTTAACAGTAGTTCAACGGTCAGTATTACTCACGTATAAAGAAAAACGGTAAACGTGAGATATTGGATGTAAAAGTACGAAAAGGCAAGTGTTATTGTATTGACATGACAATGTTTACCATTTTGTCATTTTGAGAATTATTTGGAAAGTATAAAATTGAATTGGAAGGTAACGCTTTTACGATTTAAATAAAAGGACATAATAATATTTCTTATTTATACTTTAAGTGTATCATAAAAGTAAGAGATAAAATAAATACATAAATTTTTGAAACATAGATTTTGATTGGAATTGTTCGAAGCATCTCAAAAGTTGGTGAGCAGAAAACTTCTATCTCAGAAATAAATTGGAAATGATGATTATGATACGAAACACATTTAGTCTTCATAGAGAAGGCAATGACAGCGTGCTATGAACCATAACATCCGCAGTAAAAATAAATCAAACAATGTCAAAAAGTTTCCCAACTACTACAGCCTTGTTACAAGGATGCTGTCTGTGTACGGATAAATTACTCCTTTTTATACACTTTACTGTCCGCAGACGACCAAGTCGTTGTGGGTGCAGATAGAGAAGATGCAAAATACATGAGAAGGAAACTTAAAGAAGAATACGAATCCTAACACAGCGAAAACAGAATACTTAGCGGTGAGAGCAGAGTAAGATTCCAAATAGTGAGAGGGATATATCTCATACAATAAATCTAGGGCGTAAAGCAGTAGAACAGCTAAACGGTATATGGTGGTCTAACGGAATAAGGAACTGCACTAAACGCAGAATATTCCTATTTATAATAGAAAGTATTACATTGTATTGCTCTGAAACTTGGAACTTCTCAAAAAAATATGACTGGAGGTGCAAAATATCTAGACTCATAATAAACAGAATAGAGAAGAAAAGGTTGACATAGTATGGGGCATTTGAACAGATTGGTCGAGAACAGATGGCCAAAAAAGATGTGGTGGAGGATCTCGCCAGTAAAGCATAGAAGAGGAAGACCCCGGAATACGGAAGCGAGAATGAATTGAAAACGGAGGAATGAAACGACAATTGTGTGTATACGTTAACATATAACATAAACATTTTTATTAAGACCAAAAACGTGACATAAATTATTTACAGTTATCTTTGGGGTTATAAGGATATAATTTTACATCACATCCTTTTATATCCAAAGTCATCTTTTGCAAAGTATTTAAAAAATCTGGTTCTTGGTTAGGGTTTGATGTATAAACATACAAGACTTTATCCCACTTCGTATACAAAAACGATTTTTCACCGCAATCCGTTCCATTTACAAGATAAAAAGTTAAATATTTCCCATTTTTATCTGAAATAATTACAATTTTTATTTGAAGAAAAAATTAAAAGAAATACTAACCTTTAATTTTATAAAACGGTGATTTTCCTTGTTTAATCATCTTAATCGTTTGATTAACTGCCGGCTCTTGGCCTTTTCTGTTAAATTCTTTAGTTTCTAAAACGCCGGGCGATTTTTGGTGTAATTCCCGCAGTATGCAGCAATTTTCACATGGGATTGAAGCGGCGTAAACATAAAAATAACGAGTTTTTGCACACTAAAAAAAATGGTAAATTAAAAACAATTTTTAGGAGAAATTTCTTACATCATCTTCGTTAAAATTATCACTCGGAGGTGGATTGTTACATTTTCCTGATTGAGCACCACCAAAATCAAGAAATAAACTTAGAGAAACAAAGATTACCACCGAATACATTTTGTACATTTCAAATCGAACACTGTTTTAAAATTAGTAAAGTTACTCTTTTATAAATACGACAATTAGACAAAAATGTCAGGATAAAACTGAAACTAACAAGTTTTTTTAAACACGCGTTTTAAACATGCATTTTCTTCAATATTTTTATGTTAATTGTCTCGCAATTAGAGTTAGAACATTTTTCATATGATTTTCAATATTTTTTTTTAATGAACGGACTTCGGATATAACGGCCCAAATATTTTTAAATCATTACGTAAATTATATATCGAGTATGAGAGAAATCTGACTACATTGATAGCACAATATCAGTGCTTTAGTGTCTTCTGCAGTTTTGACTATGGATAGTAAATTATTAAAAAAACGAAATGTTTATTTATGATTTTATTTCATATGTAAAAATATACACAGCTTAAAACATAAAAATACGCATTTTTGTACAGAAATTAAATTATATCAGTCCATTTTTTAACGATAATATCACAATAACGTTGAGTAAATAATAATAAAAAAATATAGTTGTACGTAGAACTTTAAAAATGTTAATTGTCGTAAAACCCTTTAAAACAGAGTCAAAAACGACTATTTTCAAAGATTACGTTTGGCTCTCAGTTTGTGTTGCATCTTGCAATGAAAAACTGGTTTCTCCATTATGTCTCAAGTTAGAATCATTTTGTTCAGATGAAGAAGTGCTTTGTTCATGTGTATCATCATTTTCCACTGAGGAATTTCTTCGATCAACGATATTAATCGAATTCTCGTCATCCTCTTTTGCATTTGGAAATAAGGTGTTATAAGAAGGCGGATCTAAATCTTCGTATCTCGGTGGAGTGGCATCATCTTGTTGGTTATTTATGATTAATACTGTTGTTGGAGTTGTTTGAACGGGCTCAACAGGTTTTGGTTTTCTTAAACACTCGATTACTCCACAAAACATTAAAACTGCCGCACATAGTAACATCCCCAAAAGAATATAACCCCAAGGACCGTATTGGGAAAGAGTCATCGAAATCGACTCTAATGCTGTCGTTGGTTTGTCTTCTTCCGGCTGTGCGGTTGTAGTTGATTTATCATAATCGTGATTTTTTGGTACAATGTTAAATAAAGGTGCCTCCGAGGGTTTCCTTAAACTATGAAATATATTTTCCGCGAACATATCGTTTTTTAAAAACCGTTGTAGTTCATTTATGTTATTAAAATTAGTACATAAATGAGTGTCTTCATCACTTTTCGTCGCACCTTTCGGACAATTTTGATAACCATCGCAAATTAAATGATCGGAAATGCAGAAAAGTGGTTTATGCCCGATACTCATACAAGTGTGTTGATCTTTTCTTTTGCAAACGTCTCCTAGTTAAATAAAAATAAAAAAGGAATTAGTTAATTAAAAATATCGTTTTAAAATGATAATTACCTAATCCAACAGCCGTGAACAATAATTTACGATTATGCGTTGAACTTATTTTGGTGGGTTGATGCCAAAGGAGCGTTATCTCCGGATTCAAAAGGTCAACATTCCTTAACAGTCCATTCGAACACATATCTCCATTCCAAACTGGTTTATGAATGCTATCGATCTGAAACTAAAATATTTTTTTTAATAGGTAAATATTTTTGGGGAAACGAAATATAAAGATTTTGTAATGATATACAAAATTAATAAAAATCTGAATGATGAATCAAATCCATTAAGACTATATAGTGCTATTAAAGATTAGATAAGACATATTTCTTAGACTTTGACCGTATAATACAAGTTTAACTACAAAATTAGTTTTCGCAGATTTGTGGACTAAAATGATTTTACTTTATAGATTTTTTCAAAACACTCTAAACTTAGAGCTACATTGCGTTTTTGAATTGTATTGATGCTTTTTCTGTTATTCATTGTAGTGTAGAAATTGATTGACCATTATAATATGTCCTATAGTGAGATAGATAAATAAGGTGGTGCAGAAAAGATAAAGCATCGGAGGCCCAAAATCATTTCTTTACTTAGCTTACAAATAATACATTTCCTTTTTTACGTTGAGGCAAAAAAGATACTGAATTTTATTAATTCTATTACTGTGGAAGTATTGAATTTTATTTAAAGAATCATGTCATTAACCTTGTTTTCATCATGTTTAGTGTCCAATACCATTTTCTTATGATTTATTCATCACACTTATCTTTATTACTTATTTTTTTTAGTTTTTATTTATCAATGAAAATGATTTACGGTATCTTTGTGAGGTCTTATTCTTACCATATAATAATTATTAAATTTGTCTTTATTCAAATATTTAATTTGAAATCCTGTTAATATTGTTGTTAAATTTTGTCTAAATTAAACTGCCAAATTTCATTAAAAGCTGTTTTGAGTAGCATTAATATCCATAAGCACAAAATAGAGATTATTCTTTTTTTGTGTATTCTTATAGTAGCAAAAAATATTACATCTGGTTTGTTAACCTTGAAAAGACGAGACAACAATAGCTTTATGCAGGTTTTGTGCCGTTATTGTCGGATCCAGATGAGTCATGTTCTAGGTTAGTAGAGATTTCTATCAGTTTAACCGTAATTTTCAAATTGAGGCGAAAAAAGATGCTGTAAAGAGGGAAGTTTTTTTACACAGAGAACAACTACGTTATAAATGGCACGTATTGTACTTGCAATTTACGTAAATCAGAATTTAATTGATTCCGAGAGTAAATTACGTAGTATTAGTTTTTTTTGTTAACTTATAAACAAATGGTAGTAATAAATTTTTATACGTTCCTTATTGTTCTAAAATTTTTTTACAATAAATATTCTAAGAATATATTTCTTAATGTTTTCAACTTTATAATATTTTAATCAATAAGTTGTGTTTAAAAGAAGACTTACCACGCTCATATTGCATGATGGTTGTACTGGAAAATGCTTCCTAAACTGGAGGTAAGGCGGTGAGGGAATTTCAACAATGGTCATGTGAACAACATAAGTTTTCGGCGCTTTTATTTTTACTTTACACTCTCCTTCAATTATATTTGGATCTAACGAAACAAGAACTGAAGATTCCGATCCTTCTTTTAAAATAATTTCCGAGTCCTCGCATAATTTTTTGATCGATGTATCTACGGCGTATTCTGAAAGAACAAAAATCAATAAAGTTCGATTCCATAACAGAATTTTATTTATAGATCAGTCACAATTTTTTATTGTTCTTTGTAAACACGAAAAAGGAACATCTGCTATTTTTAGCACAGCACTGATATCGCAAACAACAATAACGGTTGAAATTCAACGTGTTATGTCATATGCTCGTTAGCCTTTTTAAAGCAATCGTGAGATACATACAAAATAGATGGAGAGTTATGTTTTTTTATGATAAAATCGGCAAAAAGATTGTTAAATTAAAAATAATTGTTATCTGACATGAATCGTCTAGTTAAAAATTTAATACTCGTTCTCGAATACCTCATAAACAATAATGCAATGAAAATATTTCGTAAGTAAAATAAATTATTTATTCATATAGGAAATATCTTGGTAAACACGTATTTTTAAAATTGTTTATAAATTCACCACTGATAACATGTTCAATAAATTAACAAACAAAATCAAAGTCAATTCAAAATATTTACTGCAATTTGAAATATTTATATTGAAATCGGTAGCATTTTGCGTATATTTTAATATAAAACGGATATTTGTCGCCGAATTTATTTACTCCCGAATCGTAATCAAAATCAAATGACGAAATGCAAATTAAAGTTCTTTTTTAAACATTTTGAACTTTGGCCAAACGTTTTCAAGATTAATTTTGAACATTTTTATTAACCATAAATATTGACCTTTGGTGTTCAGGGGAATATCAAGTAAAAGTCTTCGGTCACTGCCGTTAAAGGTTCTATATTTTTCTAATTTCTTATTTCAGGTCTCATTCATATTCATATCAATTCGAATAAGGTGTTGAAGATCTTTTATAAAGGGGTCAAATGCCAACACATTAAAGCCCACTTAAAGACAATTAAAAAAAGAACTGTTGCAAATTGTCCAACTTGCCCTTGAATGTTAAGTTTTAATTTCATATCTACTTACTTACGTAGATGTAATTACATCTTTTGTAATAATTGCCCAAGATTAATTTTAAGATATATTTTTAATGAGAATGCATTAATAATTGCCAATGAAATCGACAAAATAACGAAGATTATTTCCGTAAAGATAAAAGTTATAATCGTACAGTTACTCAGCATCTAGGTCGTAAAAATTTTTGTTCTTATCGTTAACTTTGCGATTAAACATAAATCTAACTGAAAAATTAATTAAACAAATGTTTAAAATATAATTTGAAATAATCGCAAACATTTTAAATTTTAAGTGGCATGGAACAAGTTTACACAAGAAAATGAGTTTGTAGAAAAAAATTGTCTTAAAACTTCTAGATGTAAGTGGAAAGTAACTATTTTGTGATCATTATTCTGCATTATTATCATTACAGTAAGAACTATTAGAGAAAGGTGTTTTCGTAGCAGGAACCATTCGCTGTAATACACTTGAAAAATGTCCTCTGAGGACTGAAAATGTGCTGAAGAAAAGTGGACGTGGTAGCAACTATTCAATTGTTACAGACGATGATTAAATAGTAATAGTTCGATGGCATGATGATAAAAGCATAAACATAGCATTGAACCTGAAGATGAAATGAAAAAATGCGGCAGAAAGAAAGGAACCTATGTAATGGTGAAACGCCACTCCTTTTTGAGTGATGCCCATAAAAGTACACATTAAAATAGTTAACATCATATCTTTTAACAACGTTTTCTATCTGAGAAGGATTTTCTTCTATGGTCTTTCTGACACTAAGTAGATTCCACTGGTTGTTTTGTGCAGATTTGTCTTTCTATTTTAATGTTATTCACGTTTATGTAGAATTATTTAATAGGCATAACACTTTTTAAATGAAAGGGAAGGTAACCTTATAATATAATTTTAAGATGAATGTTAACGATTGAGAGTCACTGCGTTATACCATCCGATTCGGGTGGATTCTTGTGTCTAGTGTCAGTGAGTTCAACTACATATAAATATAGATTTCACTTGGGACCTGTATTGCGTTCCCACTTCATATCAACATCTTCAAAAATAACTTAAGGTTTTCCGCAAAATAGGTTTTCCTCCAGTATGTAAAAGACTTCACAGTTTTAAAACGGGAAACTTCTTTTTATTACCAAATGACGGCTATTTCACAATAAATATATTAAAGTACGAGCGATCATAAAAATGTTATTCTAGAATCTTGACGCCAAAGGATTTTACTATGTAATGATTTTCTTAGATCTCAACGTGATTACAGATATTAGTCACGCAAATAAACTCGATTCTCGAAACGTTACATTAATGTAAAGTTAATTGCTCATGGTGTTAATAGTCATATGCTAGTAAATTTATGCTCTTAGTACAAAGTACATCGTCTACGTACGTTATAATCGTTTCTACGTAGATATGAGAAATACTAGAAAATGAATGAATACTTATTAAGTTACTTGTACAATATTGAATTTTGTAAATTTCTCTAAATGTATTCTAAAGAAGTAAAGATGTTAGATTAAAACTGAATTCATGACACGTGTCAAGATAGCTACTAATTAACGATGAAAAAATAACGATGATTGAATCCGTTTTAATCAATATATTTACAAAATTTTATCTTAATTAAATCTGGAAATTAATATTACGCAAATGAACGATTTATTCTTAGAATAAAATTTAAATTTTAGATAAATGTTAATTAATGAATTTAAAGGAATTATTATCATTTTAGTTTCTAAGGATTAAGAGATAATAGCATATCAGTGCAGCTGTTCATATTCAAATAAAAATTTGAATTTTGAGTTAACGAGTTATTTACTATAATTAATAGATCACGGAATTATTAAATTGTGTAATATTAAGTAAATAACAGGAGTGGAAATTTGTTATATTTTTTTAATAACAAAGGGGATGTAGCTCAGTGGTAGAGCGTTCGCTTTGCATGTGAAAGGCCCCGGGTTCGATCCCCGGCATCTCCAATGCTTAACTTTTTTAAAACCTTTCACTAACTTCTAAAGCCATCTCAAAAATCTCTGATTTATTTTTGCACTCTTGTGCTTTTTAAATAGCCCGATACACAAAAGAACTAGAAATTTAGTGTCCAATTTAACAGTAAGTCTTCCAAAAGCCCAGGAAGACTGTTTTCCAGGAAATCAAGGTATGTATGACGGTTTTAATGGTTGTGGTAACAGAATTGGCCCTAAGAACCTATCTATAGAATGAGCTTGCACGCGTTGGATATGGTAAAGGTACATGGAGTACTCAAGGAGAGTTCTCCAAACAACATGTGTGCTTCTACTCACTTCAGAAGAAAATCTTCTCACACTTATTTTGGGATGTTCATCCACTGCACTTCATATTTGTTCTTCAATCTATGGTATAGATATGTCAGAATGATCGGGGAAGAAACGAGTTATATAAGTCTGATTAAATTGTCGTATTAAAGAATTGAAAAAAATCAGTCTCATTACTTAATTTACACACTTCGTATATCATTCTCCATTCTAAATTTAACAGAGGAATTGTATTAAGTACTTTCCTGAACTTGTCAAAATCAATTTTCCTCAAATATTTCGAAATTTCATATCGATTAAATTAATCAGTTCGAAATTTATAAATCAAAAAGTATTTGATAAAAACCACAGAATTTCGTATAACTTCGCAAAACTAAATAGTACAGGTGTAATAATGTTTGTAAACCTGTATTATTAGTTTTTGATAACGATCCTCATAAAATTATATAAATTACGATCGTTTTATTACATCAGAATCTAGGTTGTGGCAACATCATAAATATGCAAGCAACTTTCATCATTGTAACTTTAACACGTAAATAATGCTAAACAATCACGATTGCAAATTCAGAACAACAATCAGCAATCGAAAAAATAAACATTTTTATGTTCCACTTTTACCGGGGGCGCCTATCTGCAATTTTAATGATCCTATTTTACGATTTCTATTTTCATAAATGGTATCTATAAATCATCAAAATAACTATTTAATCGATTATTAATTAAATTTGATAAGGTCTAAAAAAATGAATCTATTTCTGTTCTAAGTACTTGATAATTATAGATATTACATTCTAAAATATATTGTTTGCGACTTAATTCGTGGAAATTGAAACAAAACTGAATCAATTGTTGATTACAACTATTTGTTTTGTTATGTATGATTAACAGCGATTAAAACGATTGAATTTTCAGAAAAATCATTGTTTACAACGTGTTAAAAAAATCTATCGTTTAATATTTGAAGCTTTATTTAATTCATGCAAATCCATCTACATTAAAGATCTCGTGAATTATTAATCAATATTTGATATTCTACCATTGACTTTATGAGGTAGCCATCAAGGACAAATCTATAATTAAATTTTATTTAAGATGTTATTAACAATGTAACTACATTTACGTATTTACAACTGATTATAAAAACGTTGATTAAGTTAAATATAGAAAATTAAGTAGGTACAAGAAATTGGTTTCTTTTGGATTAAATTGTTTATAAAAAGTTATAATTATAATTAAAACAATATAAGCATAAATTTTTATTAATAATTGTTTATGACGATCCGCTATCAGTAATGGCAGGATTCTTTTACATCAAGAAGAACTGGGTTATAGGTCTCCAGATAATAAATTTATATCAGTGAAGTAAACTAAGAACAGCTCTAAGTTGAATTTAAAAATAACCTATTTTCAATATAAATCACTAATTTTTTCAAAAAACTTCTTTTACCTCCAAAAACGTGACTACTCATCATCCCAAAAACACCCAAAACAACGATTCCATAAACACCCATCATAGTTTTTTTTGTATCTTTTTCTGTAAAACTCTTTAAAAAGTAATACTTTCTTTTGAATCACTTTCACTTCGCCGAGAAAACCAAAATTTGAATTAACTTTTTGTTAGTTAGTTTTAAAATAATATACCGCAAGTAAGCACGTTGATTTATTTACGTTCGTTGTAGTAATACCGTTAAACGACACGGATCGTTTGTGAACGGACGAGAAAACATAACGTACTGACCGGGAAATGGTTGGTGAATGCACTTCTTAAGCGTTCACGTTGAATGGGAGCGAGTAAAGTGTGGAGTAAAGAGTTGATCTCATCCAGCACGCGACGACGACGAACTCGATTGAAACTCAATCCCCACTTTATTTGAGTCACTTTATGGTTTTAACAAAAATGCTCGAGTGTAATTTTTATAACCTGACATGAAAATGATTAATTTTGTATTGTCGTCATTTTATAAATAATGGCTGAACGTTAACTTATCTGCTCCTACCTTTTGAAATACATCTCAAGTATTTTTATAATACAAGGTTCAAAAAGATATTACGACTCAACCCAACATGCCTTGGTACCAACGCTAAATTAGGAAATACAGAGTCGATTTTTTTATAAATTTTTTATCATTTTAAATTTATGCTTCATACTTTAGTAATTTTTGCTGTAAGGGCAAAAAAACAAATACTTCAATCAACACCTTTCAAGTTTCTCGTTTATAAAATATCATAATTGTTTTAATCACAATTAAAGCAAATAGTTGTAAAATGTTAGCTATGAGGAATTAAGTTTCTGAGAAAAGAACTTGAGAAAAGATATTAGGAAACAACTAAGAGTTCACTATAAACATCAATCGGTTATAGATTCCACGCTAAAAATTATACATAAAGTATACAGAAACAACTTCATTACGTGGAAATTGAAAATATCACTCAAAAATTACTCAATTTAGTAAAAGAAAAACAAAATAATGATAAAAAAATCGAATATAATAGTCATAAGGTTAAAAACAAGAATGTTAATTTAGTATATAATCGCAGCGAAGTCACTAATGACTCGGGTCGAGGAGTAAAACTAAATAATAATAAACATAATCCCGCTCAATACATACAAATGGATGATTTAAAAGGATTCACCTTTTCACCACGCTTCACAAATCTAAGCGATTACCAAGTAAATAAGAGCAACATTGATTTGTTTAACTTGGGACACCAATTTTCAACACCATCTTGTTTGAAACCCACTAATTTAGCTATCACTATGGAATGATTCTAGGTCTTGTGTCAGTTCTAGTGATAGTGCTAGTGCAATACTAGAACTAACACTAGACCGAGAACAAGAAACATTCGGATTTAGCCGCTCAAGATGGCTAAACATAAATATATTTTTATGGCTAAATATATTTTTGTATTTTAAATAAAATTCACTGTATAAGAATCATGGGTATTTCATAAAGCCATATTGCTAGCAGACCAACCACACAAGTATCAATCTTGTTAACCTCTCATCATCTCTAAAATCAAACAAAATTTTAGCCGGACTTCCATAAGAAAAATGATGACAAAGCTGATTGACCATCGCATCTTAGAACCGTTTTTCGAATAATAGGTATAACTACTAGATACACATAGCTTATATCACCATTAGATAACACATACATAACTATATAGACTAAATCAACCTTTTTAGTAGTTCTTACTTCCTTCCCACTGGGGCTGATGGGAGATTTGTTGAAATTACTTATCGTCATAAGTCATAATCGAGAGAAGGAAATTTCTTATAAGGACCATCGGCCAATTTCTCCCAAGATCAAAGGAATCGTGATATGTCCTTTAGCAAGTTACGTCCATGAAACTGACATCCATCAATGAGGATGGGAATTAAAATACGAAAAATGGAACAAACTGATTCAAAAAGTTTATTAAGAAACATATGGCTATAAGCTATTATAAGCTATTGAGACTATATGATTCAATCATTAATTTTAACCTCCATGTACAACATTTTGGGAGCTCTTTTTATTTTGATATCGTCGCGATTAGCAAAAACCTCTCGATCTCACAGAATTAGTCTAGAGTTATTGGCAATATTTTGACTCTATTGTGACTCTTTGCTCGATAATAATTGCTCCACATCAATAGCTATCATTTTGATAGACAAAGATCAGGCTAATCCCTCTTATTTAAAATTACACTTCCATTTAGTAAATAGATAATTTTATAAGTTTTTTAAACTTTGAGATATCGTATTTTTCCAGTCCATTTTCGAAAAATGTAATATTTGAAAAAAATTCAATCTTTTTCTTATTCACTCACCATAAAGGTAAATGTAAATGTGTATTGAACTCACATCTACCACAAAAAAAGATAAATATACACAGCTCCCGGTAAAAGTAGCTATTTATTAAGACATTATACTGCTTATTTTTTTATGATAAAATTTTTTGCAGTAATTGATGTGACTTAAATTATCTGTATTTAATTAACTTATTTTTACATTATGACATGCTTTATAAATGGAACGAAATTAGCATGTTACGAAAACCATATCCAATTGAAAATTTGGAATACATTTTAAAAAAGCACCTTCGACCTTTAGTTTATTGAATAAATCAAATTATATAATAATACAGAAAACAAAATTGCCTTTAAAAACAGAGGTTGAATTAAAATTTTATTAGTTATATATGTATTTGTAGACCTTGTGGAAGTTTTCTTAGCAAATTTTTCATCGCTTAGTGTTCATAAATGGCATCTTCGAACAACCTTCCATCTCTACATATAAATAAAGAATGATGTCATTTTCGGGTCGTTCCAATGAACTTGGATAACATTTTTCAAATTTTTTTACCGTACCTAATGCAAAATAGATGAATAAACGATATATTAAAATTTTCTTCATGTTGTAGTTCCAATAGATTAAAAAAAGCAATTCGTCCTTGTGTCTAAGTTTTAGATGATGTGTCTGATTTTATAATTGATAAATCAAATGGAATTAATTTGTCAACTTACGTAACGAGTTTAAGTATTTTCTCACACTCAATCACAAGACAAATAACAATAATAAATAATTATAATTAAAAACAGAAAAATAAAACACTTATTTTGGGTTATTTTTTTATTTCTGTACGTCAATAAGTTATATTTAGTGGTTGTCATCGGAAAAAATCGGCGCCAGAAATTTATATTTGGCACTTGATTTTAATTGTTGATCTCGATGGGTACGATGAGAATCACTTGTCTTTACCCGAAGATAAGTACATTTTACAAAATGATTAATGACGAAATATAAATAAATGACTATAAATCTAAATTTAGATCGAACGAGTACTTTAATAAATTAAATCCGATAAGTATCTAAAAAAAGTACTCGTAATCTAATAAGTTCTTAAAAACAATATTCGTTTTAGCATCAAGGACAACAAGTTAATTTAAGGATAAATGATTAAGTGTACCTTTATTTTAATTAAAAGAAAAAAGTCGATGATAATTGGTATCAATAAACATAAATGAATTTATTTAATTGATTCAATTAGTAAAAACATGCCTATGTAGGACAATTATTTTTCTAATAAAAACGAGACAATTGCTCAATATCAAGTACTACTAAATATAACATAACTGATATTCGCTGAAATATCGCAAAACTACACGTGGAATAGAGAATGACAAAGCTGAAGTGTGGCTATTAGAATTGACATAGAACAGCTCTCATACAATATCGGTTATTAGGCCTGCTTGCATTTTGAGCATGGCACAGAATAAGAATGTTAGGGGGTCATTGTACCGATCGATGCCAAAAATAGCTGAGGTACGGGAAAAATATAGGATAGCCGAATTAAAGAGTCAAAAATTTGATCGTCCTGCCAACAAAGCTCTACTGTTGAAGATTACTGAATACTTCTCATATCTAATGGTTTCTTTTTATACTCATTGTGGATGTCTCCTTCCCATTTCGCTAATTAGCAATTAGAAGAATTTATAGATACTATGTCAAAGACACAATCAATCCAATTACTTTCGCCTCTTCTTTTATAAATGGTACAATACATTTCCGTTTTGAGAGGTTCTGCAAAAAACTTCATTCATAGAAACTATAGAAATTATATGAATGGAACGTATGTAAGGTAATGAGAAAGGTTTCGCCATTTTCTCAGTTTTTAAACTTAATGATGTGACTGCTTCTAATGCAGCAAACAATTCTCGTCACATTTCAATGTTAATTTTAAGAGTATTAGTATTACAGGTTTATAGTAACTCATGAGAATGGGCTGTTAGGTCCGGTTTGTTGTGATAAATAGTCATTCATAGTCTTATATTTCATAGGTATGATAATCCAAAAAGTTAAATAAATGCAGTCTCCTGCAAATAATTTTATATTTTGTAGTGAGAAATATGCAACAATAAAAGCATTTGTGTAAAATTGGTAAGAATCCATTAAAAAGTTTCGACTTTTAATATTACAACCAACAATTGTTACATTTGTAAAAAAAATTAACAAATAATGAACATTATTAATAATTTATTCTTTATCATCTTTTACATCTAATCAAATTTTAATAAACCATCACCATTAAGTGGACCTTTAAAAATGAAATCATTGCTACTTAAGATTATTTTTAAGTACTAATTGCTGTGAAACGACAAAAAAAGCAAGTTGTATTAAAATATAATTAAAAGAAGTCTTAGATAATGTCATTGTATCGTTGATTTTTATCAATACATGTGATTTTTTTCCAATTCCATTACATTTTCAAAGTGGTTCTTGAAATCATACGTCATTATTTTATTATTTCAATTATACTTTTTAAAGTGGATCTTAATTTAATATCTGTCTATCTATCGCTACAGAAATACATGGAGGCCTACTATATTTATAGTTGATTTTTTATTGTTTGTTAAGATGATGCCCAATGCTATGGACTACTAACCGGTGGAAATAAATTATTATTATCATTTTATATATTATATTATATTGTGAACAATTTTAACATAACAATTTCAACAGTTTTATATTTATAAACTTACTTATTTTCATGTTATGCCATTTAACTAAATCGTCCAACACGCAATTGTCTCACATTGTTATATAGAAATGAGATTCTTCTAGATAAGTCAAACCAACGTTATTCAACATTTCTTACCTTATGGTCATTAAATTTATTAAACACTACTGACCTTTCCCAATCTACCAGAAATTCCGCAACGTCTTTGCAATTCTTGTAATTCTACCACCCAATAGTCTTTATTAATAGTCTTTATTTCCAAGTCACTAACCCCGATAAACAGAACTGACCTGGCAAAATCTACCGGGCATTGTGCAACGACCATAACCTTGCCCAATATTCTTTACCGGAAAGTCACTGTCCTGGGTCTAAACTAAACTAACCTTACAACATTTAAACTGACAGAACTGACCATATGCAATTTAAATTTAAAAAATTTCGTAAGTCTACGAACAAAATAGTAATTTCAGAACGACATGTGATTCTAGAATTTTGTCTATAAGCTACATCAAACAATCAAATCTGTTGATCATCAAGAATTTTCGATAATAAGCTATCCAATGACTAGGCCTTGCTCAAACTGTCTAGTGAAAATGAAAGATATTGTCTGCAGCATAAGATATTAGCTTAACAATAATTACCAAAGGTTTGCACTGATTCTTCATCAAGATTTGTGGGTAAAGGTTTTTCTCAAACATTTTCATTTCCCGGTCTTTACCAGTTCTTTAAGAAACTGGTCGTTGCACCTGCAGTATTCTAATCAACTATCGCGGAAGTACTAAGTAATCAGTAATGGGAATACCATGGCACACAAGACATTATATTGGCGCTATAAATTGAAAACTTGGGTTAAATCGGTTAAATCCTATCAATAACAATCCCAACCATAATTTTCAAGGTTATTTCAATAACAACAACAATAACCTCGGGTTGGTATCAACCATATGCTAGTCCGATAAACAGCTAGAATGACAGTCGCTTGTTACCAATCAAAGATTAGTAATCTCGGTTCAATTAAAAACTGTATACTAGGCACTTTATTTGTTATTTTAAAATTCGTGTTGGAATACGTGCATAAATCCACGAATACACCATCTTAAAACAGAATATTACACTTATAATTTGACCCTATTGACCCTCTCATGACATTTAATGTTTCGGTAAGCGTGTTGCGTAAAAATATATTCATGAAAAACCTGTACATTGTACTATAGGTAAATAAAAACAAAGAACGTTTTTTTCAGAACATCGTCTTTTAATTACAAAATAAATAACAAACAGTTTTCTACGACCCGTTTACGTAGAATATTTTGTGAATTGCAACCGTGAATAAAAAACACTGTGAAATACATTGCTACTATTGTTTGTACAAAAATACTTTCCTTCTCTTAAAATAGATCTCTTATCGCTAAAATATCACAATATGTACTCGCAATGAATTGATTAAAATCTATTGATTTGAGTCTTAAAATTCATTAAAAATTTATATTAGATTAAGATAATAATCACGTGGCTTAATCCTAAGTCGGAAATTTTTGGTGATTCAACTCTAATTGATTTTTTTCTCGATATTTTAATCACTCACAAGTTTCTATTACTAAGATAACTTAAGTAGTCGAGCACATAAAAAGAGAATATTATTATTTTATGGCCACTTAATTGTATTGTTGTTTCAAGTTTCCCAAAATTTGTTGGCCTAGTCAAATAACAAAAACTGTGTTAACGTATAAAACATATTTGTTTACTTTTTAGATTCATTTAACTTTTATAATAGAAATTATCATTATTTACATTACATTATTTGTGCAATAAGTTTTATAACGGCAGTATTTTTGTTTGATTAAGTGACTAGTTTATATTTTGTTCTGTAATTACATAAGCTAAAATGCAACCTGACTTTAATTAATTCATTGCGATTTTAATACTTAATTAGCACATTCATTAAAAAACGCACCACACAAACATATCACAATATATCAATAAAAAAAAATAATCACAATCACTCGTATAATCTTCGGAATAGTAATATCTTTTTTGTAAAGTCTTATATGGCACAACCTCCAAATTAAAATTCTTCACTTAATAAATATACTAAGCGTCGGAAACTCGTGGATTTTGACGATTTTCCAAATTTACTTCAGTTTGTAAGTTTTGTTCACTAATCGCGTTATAACTAGGAGGATCTTCTTCTCTTTGTCTCGTAACATTTTCGTCAACCAAGCTTCCGATGGCATGAACGGGGACGACGTAAACATCAAATTCGCTTTTTTCTGATGATCCGGCCGCGTTTAGACTCTCGTAAGAAGGTGGAGCGAAAAGTTCGTAAGAAGGAGGTGGCGATTCTGTACTAAGCGATGGTGAAGGTGACGATAATCCTCTTCGTGATTGTTGTTCTCTGACGTGTTTTCTGCAACACCATTCCGAACAAGACACCACCAGGAAAAATGCTACTAAACCTCCGAATGATGCGATGTACCATACTAATGACCACGAATCAAAACTATCATCTGTAAATAAATGGAAAATGTATTAGTATTAGCTGTAAAAATAAAACTTTTAAATTTAAACTTATAAATACTATACTAGAACTATTTTGCTAAATCATTTTTGCATGCCAAGATATTCGTTTTTGAACTTGTTCGAAACTTTTATGAATTTTTAAAATTAATGGTTATCATGGATCAACTTCAAAAATCTGTAAAAAATCGATTTCCTAACCAATTTTGTTGCAATTTTGAGAAACTATTAAGTAAAGTATCGTCTTTCCATTAAAACAAACCGCTTTGAAAAATCTCTGTTTTTGAGATATACATGTTTCAAGTTGATCGAAAATTCTAAAAAAAATATTACATTTCCAGTTTAATAGTGTTGTATTTAAAAATCTGTGAAAAATCGATTTCTTTTACAATCATTCTGGTTTTTTAGGATTACATCTTTGATGATAAAGATGCATGAATGTAGTAAATGATAATGATCGAGGTGTCTTCTGAAAGTGTCATCATGATCCCTAAAGTCTAAGAGGTAGCTACACGATTGGATTTCACAATACTGCTACATTTCTGGGTTTCAGTGAAAAATTCTGCAAATTTATATCATCCGTGGGGATGTAGCTCAGTGGTAGAGCGTTCGCTTTGCATGTGAAAGGCCCCGGGTTCGATACCCGGCATCTCCAGAGGCTCTTTTTTATTGTATCTCTTCGTATCCTCATATCTTAATTAAAAATTCGCTGATAAAAACTTTAAATGTAACAAATACATTTTTTTTCGCTTACTAATCGAAAAAATGTATTTTCGTTTAAAAATATAAAAAGATATCTTAATGACCAAGTTTTTTTAATTTAATTTGCGGTCGAAACGTGAAAACCTCCTTTTATTGTTCTTTCGAAATCCAAAAGAAAAAAACATACCATAATATCTGCGAAGGTCTCGAATTGTTTCAAGGTTCTTTAAAATTGTTAACGGTCACGCATCTGCTAATCAATTATTTCTCTTTGTTTAATTCTTTTATTTTATTAACCAAATAAGTTAAAGTAAATCAAATTTAAAGAAAATTCTTATATTTTAAACAGTGGATTGAATTTGGTTTTGATATCATCGATAAAATCGAAACTATAAGGTTGAGCGTTTAATTTTTTTTAATTAACAACGGCCGTTGATTAAATTCACAAAACCGGTTGTCGTTTAAAAACAGAAATTATTAATTCAGGAAAGGTCCAATCGACGGCGTAAATTCCAAATGCCATATAACAGCAAAGCAAAAATCCTGCGATGCGTTTTAAGGAGAAAAAAACACGACGAAATAATTAATTAAAATGAAAAAAAAACATCGTAATAATCTCTGACGACAATAACGTTCTATACATATGGATATATTACATTATAATTGATTATATCGAATGGTGCGTATGACGTATTCAATAAACCTTTATTGGTTTATTAAAGAGCATTATCCCGTCACAGAAATTATTACATAAACAGTAAAAATTAATTGTAGTCGTTATTGTTACTGATAACAACCAACGTAGTATTTTTTGTTTGTTTAATTTCCAAAATAAAAGAAAGCAGCCTTACCTAATTCTTCGGAGGATGTATCATCTTCATCCGACCTATCAGGTCTTGACATATTTTCATCTGAATTCCAGTCCAAATTGTAGTTAAAACTATTCATAAAAGTATCTCCAAGCACTATGATGTCTTTGTTGACGTGATCATCTGTAACAAGTTAAGTTACATTTGAAAATGTTTTAAACAAGTAATTTAAGATAACGTGTGAGGTGCTAAACCTCCACTTCTTATTCCAATAAGATCATTTTATTGAAATAACAGGAGAAGCAAATACCATTACATGTTAAAAAATAATGTTTTTGCATAAAATGTTCATTAGTATTGTATTTATATTTTTACAACTGTTTAGTAAATAAACTTGGATTTGTTTGTGAGTTGAGTTGAGGGGGGCCCATAATTGTTTTGTTGTTTATTTGGGGGAGATAAGCTAACCCACTTATAAATGCTCCAAATTAAAAACATGGTCATGCGTTTTGCTATAGGATGTCAATTTTCAAGGAGGATAAGGATAAGATTAGTGGCAAAAACCTGTTTGTGGGGTCGATTATTGTTGGATTGTATGGGATTAGGTTGGGGCCACACGGCTTAGATTGTTGCTTTTATTTGATGTCGGTGAGGTTTTTCTTGGACAACCTGCTTCGTTCAGTAATACTGCTGTATATGATTGTTGGCCGAGCCTGGTTGTAAAGTTATGTTGTTCTATTATTTTTCCAACAGTTGTAAAGATTACGAAAAGGGGGAAGATTGATTTGTAGCTTGTGGACTTGGTGCTGTGGACGCTTACGAAATGATTCACCAGTAGGTCAGCTTTCGCTTCGAAGCCGGTATTTTGGGTCCTTATTTGATTTTAGAGTAGGCCCCTATTTTTTGACAAAATAATATAATACTGCACAAGTTACATCTTTGATAACCATGTCTGGTGGGCTACCTCTATGGGGTTTGGTTGATGACAAAATTCTCCATTAATTGGCTAAAATACCAAAAACACATTTAACTCACTTCCCCATTTGACTTAGATGATAGTTCAATATTCCTTTTGTCACCTAAATGGGCGTATCCAAAACATCGTATTGTTTCTTGGCTTTAGCATTTTCAAACTGATATCATTTAGTTTGTGCGAAAGTCTCATTGTTATCAAGGAATCACATTCTTTCGTATATGCAAAAATAAACCAGTGTTCTACAAATCTACAAATCAACAATGGTAAGTAAATCAAATGAAAAATAATTCTTGTTATGAAAATACAACGAGCCACTATGTTTTGGTTTCGCCACTTTTAATCTAATCTAAGATACCTAGACTACAATGCATGTATGAAAGAACAAGGCGGTTTTAGGATGTCTACAAAATTATTACCAAATACTTCTAAAAAGCATGGACTTAGACTAGCGCAGACAGTTGTTATTCGATTGTAGCTTTATCCTGGATTTGCTGTCATCACGTTTGAAGATCTAATCACTATGTCCAATATGACGATAATACAGTTTTATTTCTTCAGAGGTTTACTGAATCTGATTCTGAGAAACGAATAGCCCCAATATTCAGACTTATTATGCTGACAACTTATGGACTACGCTGAATCATTGCAAATTCGTAATTATTGAGAACTAAAACAAATTATTTGTATGTACTTTGAGCTGATTTTGATCCTCACTGAGTCATGATGAAGCCTTACTGCCTTTTGATCCTATTAGAAGAGGATGTTATGATCAATAAAAAAGAGAATTTGGAGATGCCGGGGATCGAACCCGGGGCCTTTCACATGCAAAGCGAACGCTCTACCACTGAGCTACATCCCCAAGATTGTTTGCAAAACTTTTAATTTTCTGGTCTTGTTATATAAAAATGAAATTACCAATACAAAATAATACTTAAAAAGGAATGATAAACGAAAATTAAGTAAATGTGTATTAAGTATATATGAACTTACTTTTAACCTTGAGTGACTTTCTTTTCACCTTCTTTTTTGAGTGAATTTAATTATTAAATGTTACCATAACAAAAGTGTTTTGAAAAGATAACAAAGCCAATTGCTTTCAATATTTTATAGATGATCGTGATATTGATTGTTTTGTAAGCCGTAATGAATTATCGAAAAAAAAATAATTGCAATGAATAGGATATACGTGCACGTTATGATTCAATGGAAATCCCATTTTACTATCTACAAGGGGACATACTTTTTTCTTTACTTACTCAAATTAATAAGCAAAGATATCATTTCCTGTAATCATTAAGAAAATGTTTGATGATTTATTTGTGATTGTTAATATTTTCTTAGTGACTATTTTACATAGGGATTACAATTCATTGGTAATTTAATTACCAATTCAAGTAGATGTTTTTCTATTTACCCAGAAATGCAATTCTTCACCAGCAAAAACATTTTCTAAGAAAACAAAAAACTATTTTGCATTTACACTTTATTTTTTAATATAATAATTTTATGTTGTGATGAAAACGTAGTTTGAACGACACAAACATTTTTAATTTCTGAATAAGGTCGGCGTATAGAACACGTTTTAAAGTACACCGGGAATAAATTAAAAAATAAGTCGGTAACACAATGGAAACGAGTATTTGTTTTTAAAAACTTTTCGTTGTTTAAATGTAAACCTCACAGGACTTGTTTAAACTTCGATTATGTCGCGATTATCATCGTTTGTGTATAAAAATTTAAACAATTCTAATAATCATGTTCTTTCTTCTTCATTTTTGTAATAATCTTAAACCGGAAGTTAGTAGCCGAAAGTAATCGTGTTTCAAAATATTTCAAAATAAATAAATTTCTTACCATCAACTTGAACAACGCTCATACTGAAGACTTGAAAAGCATACAATAAAAGAACGGCAAACACTTTAAAAAACATGTTGAATTATTTATTGAAAGGATAAAGGAAGGAAACTTTAAACTTCACTTTAACCGTAACTTTTTATACAGGTAGGTTTTGTGCTTTAGCTGTCAGTAAATTTAGAAAAGTTAACACGAAGTGAATTGGTAGGTTTTGAACGTAAATGTCGTCTCCGTTCTGTTACCTGGTTGATTATAAATAACCGTTATCGGTAGAGTACGAAAACTCCTGGTTCAGAGAGTTACCCCTTCTACCAAATTTAGCGATCAGATAAAATAAAACAACCGGAGGTTACAAGTTGCAAACTTGTGACGATATTCTAGAGAAGGTATGGTTTTATCAACCATTCTCGCAGCTGTTTTTTAACGCTAAACATAAAATTTTAATAAGTGCGTCAACGTGGGATAAACATTATTTATACAAAAGATTATTAATCTTTGAAGGTCTTTAAATAAATCTTTACGACTTACATAGAACAATTATTAATAATTACAAAAATCGATTTATTTAATGTTGCGTAATCTTTTCTATATTGAGAATAAAAAGTAATGAACTTTTTACTCTAAAGCAAAAGGTGTTACTTAACACTAATAAAGAAATTAACATAAATCATTGGAATAAAATTAACCCATTTGCTAATATTAGAACGAAACTTCATAAATAATTATGAAATAATCTCTATGGTAATTAAAAGTCATCGTAAAAAGTAATTGTTAAAGATAACTTTGGGATGAATTAATAGATTTTAATTATGAATGTATTAACCCTTAGATAATAATTAAATCGATGTGGTTTACGGAGACTTAAATAAGGTAAAATTAATAAAAAATAAATTTTTTGCACTCGGAAATAAAAAATGATCCAATTTTAAATGTTGCACACAACACCAACAACATTCAAAAATAACTTCGATTATCAAAAAGATAAAGAATCTCATCAAATCGGATTGAAAATAACACACGGTACCAATTTACAATCATTTATATTTATTATTCAATCAATTTATTTTATAAAATTCTTTGAAAATAGAACCCACTTATTTAAAATAGTTTGTAGGATGAGAAAAGGCGTAAGTATATACCGTAGGTTACGTTTTAATCCGGGGGACGATAAGAAAAAAGAATAGAAGATAAATTTCCTTTTTTATTAAGGTTTAACGCACTTTAAGAAGTCATTGTTTCATATCATAATGCAGCACAAAGTTATAACAACATTATGTAGATGCGTCAATAATTTTATCGACTTTAAAAAGATTAAGTTGAAAGTATTAAGTTATATTTATGGATTTGTTATCTTTTAAATCTATTGATTCTTGGAATTAGAATTTTTGGGTAAACGTAAATAAATTTTTTATCAGAAAATTTAGTTGTCTACAACTTTTATTTTATGATTAATAGAATTATTACGGTTGCACAAAGAGATGTCTTAAGATTTCATATCTTCCAGTGCTATAATGTGAATGATACCACTAACAGTATTGGTTTTCTGACTAATAAAAAAATGTGAATGTTTGTAATAATCTTTTCTTATTTGTAAGAATGATAAAAGAATATATAAATGCATAAGGCATTGCTTTTCTTGCTCCTGGCAAAGTAGTGTATTCAGGAATGCATAAACTGCATTAATTTATCATTTGGTGTAATCGATATGAACTAAATGCATGCCCATCGCTTTGTTTGCCGTCCTTCCACTTCAATTCTTATAAATTTGGTATGTGCTTCTGCCATTGATTACAGCACAATAAAATAATACTTCCTACAATTAAAAACATCCTACAAGTTTGGCAGGATTTGTCACGAGTGTGTTTACGAGAACGTAAACATTCTAAAAAATCACAAAATTAGTGGGATGAAAGATTAAAGAGCTGTCAAGAGCTTGCAGGTGGAAATACAATGCCTAGTATATCATGCTTACGTCGCACGACGGCCTTACTGGTACACCTCTTGCTTCTCGTACACACAGCGCGTTCATCTATACTGTCTTCTCCACAACAATTAAATTCAATGATACACACCTTTCATCCAAATGAAAACTTGTTCTCTGCTAATCACTCAACAGCGATACATTTTCTTCACATCTTTTCTTGTTTTACGAGGTTGGGGAAAATCTGCTAACACACATCCGGCCTGACGGTTTTGAGCGATCGGATAGTGTGGGGTTGGTATCATGATTGGATCTCCGACCCACTAAAAACCCCTTTCCTCGTCTTCTCCGGAACCACCAGCACATCTTCTCTCATTCGTCCCCTTCTTTCTATTACATAATGGTCTCGGACAGAAAAAAGGACATACATTTTTTGATCTATTACATTTCGGTTATCTATTACCTGGAGGGGGGGATTGAGACCCTCCTCTCTTTCCTCTTGTGTACCCATGATTGTCTATTTCTATTTTCCTTACCGCTTTCCTCCAGCATACTAGCATCCAATAATCTTCTTCCTCCCATCATTCGGCCAAACCCAGCTAAATCCAACCCAACCCAACAAAATCCAACCAAACCCAATCCCCATTCAAACGTAATGGTAAAAAGAAATAAATAAAATTTGTAAGTTTATCTGTCTAAACAGATATTAATCTTTTATTTTACCTTATTGTAGAGAAAAAAAAATGCACTGAGGCAATAGTTTTGGAGTTACTAATTCTAATACTATATCAAATGTTAATATTGATATTTTTTCCGCAAATGAGCTGGTTGACTTAATTTTAACAAAGCCACTTTCCAGAAAGATATGTTTTCATACCAACACAATCGACATCTTGCAAACCTCAACTCCAGTATCGATGCTATGCTTGATGCATCACGATATAATACCAACCTTACAAGTTTCAGGATAATTATTACTTCGAAAAATTTGTTGTAGTGGTGTAAACAACTTCTTTTGAATGGCCATCGCAATCGGGGCTGACCTGAATCAACAAGTTGTCCTGTAACTGACGGACTTCTTCTTGTCTATCTTTATTAACATCAATTCACGATGGTCCCACGTTGACACAATTCATAGGTACCTCTGACTTTTTATAGAAATCCTCCACGTTGAAATTTTTTGTGTTTAAAGTCTCGATTTTGTTTGGTAAGGTTGTTCCATACTGGATTAAATGTTAACATTTGTTTTCAATATTCCAGGTTAACTTTTAAGTGATTCTACAGCTTAAGAACTGTCCAGGTGTTAGATTCAACATTTTTCTCATTATTCTGACGTGTTGATATGGTCTTCCTGATGGATATCTTATTAAGGCTCAAAGTCTGATTGACATTGTGATGAATCATTTAGAGTGAGAGGCATCTTTGCTGTCTTAACGCATTTAGGTTGTGATGTTTAAATCTCTTAATTCAATTTTTGACAAAGTATCCACATTTCTATTAAATTTATCCTTATTATAAACGATCTCTAAGTACTATTAACTAATGATAATGATAAAGTAATGATTTTTAGAGCCCTATGTTGAAAGGCAATAAGTTTTTAAAGGTTTTGATTATATTATTCGTTTTAGAATTCGTATAACAATATTATTTTTCTCCAGATTAATCTTACATCTCCATTCTCTCAAATAAACTCACTGATAACATAGCACAGGTATGTATATTATAAAAACTGACAAATCATCAATGTCTTTACAATATCGTGTTAATATTTCTGTTTACTTATTTAGTATGACATTTAATTTTCTAAGGAGTCTTATTATACAATGAATGATAATATGCTTTGTTTCAAGTAACATCGACCCTGAACTCTGATTACATGAATAACAATAATAAATACGTTCTTTACAAGACGTAACATAATCAATTTAGGAATATTTTAGATTTTAAAGTTTGGAGAATTTGTAATTAAAATAATTTGGCGTATTGGCACGATATATTTACAACAAAATATACAATTACAATATATTTACAAAAAATATTCGAAAATTACATGGACTATTCCTAATTATTCTTGTTGTAAAGGCATTTATGGAAATATAAATTTAATACTAATACTGTTACATAGCAAAATATATTTATGAATATTCTTGGAGCTTAACAATTAATGATAAAAAGATATTCCCCCAAAAAATACTAAAGCTACGTCTAAAATTCTTTTTACGGTACAATCACATTGCAATCAATTCTATTTAATTTAATACCTTTTACGTAATTTTGGAATGAAAAATTATTCAAATAATAATTTATATTCCTATTTTTAACATACTCTACAAAATTCTAAGTTTTTTCTTTGTAAAAACATCACAAAAATATTGTTATTAATATTTTAGTACTCAAATGTTAATAAAAGAAATAAAATACAAATAAATAAGTAAGAAGTCAAGTGATTTATCTATCAGGAAATAAACTCTCATAAGATGGAGGTAAATCCTTTACTACATTTCTATCATCAGTTTGTTCTTGGGATTGAGATGGTTGTTCATTCATTTCTATAACTCTTGGCTAAAACCATAATAAAGTTTTTTATTACAACATAATTTAAAAGAAGAAACTTACCGTTTGAGCCTCTGAAGACTGTTGAGGTTGTGACCAATCTTCAGACCAACAAAGTTTTTTATACTTTCTGCACAAATAAATACAAATAACGAAAACGACGAAAGAAATTACTAAGGAAGACATAGAGCTTATTATCACTTTACTACCAATTGATAATTTGTCGTTGTATGTACTCTATAAGTTATACAAAGAAAATTTTATTCTTGACATTGTTTACACTATTTAAATACCTGTATTCTACATCCACCCTCATCTACACATCCTGCATATGGACAATTTATAATTCTGTCATTGAAATACCAAGGTTTTATACACACATCCCCATCATCAAGACATGGTTCATATTGGCCAAACATTCTGTATTGGCATTCTAAATTAAAAAAAAAAAAGTATCAAATTAAGTAAATACAAAAAAATTGAAATCTCACTTTTATACAAAGTAAAAACAATATTAATCGTAGTTGGAGTTAATTCTCTAGAAATATCCAATTCAGAAATAAAAATATCAACAATCAAATATGCATTTATATCGTTCAAAAACGTATTTTCATCAACAGGCTCTACAGATGATTCCTCATTGACAAACATTGGATCCATTTTCCATTTAGCATTCAACATTCCACAATATTTTCGACTTACAACTCCATTCTCCGAAATGAACGTCACATAGTCTATACATTGTCCTGAGCTCTCATTTCGCCGTAAACCTAGTTCTTGAATTACCGCGATTATTCCATTTCCTTTAGTTGTCGTTTTTACTTTAATGGTACAATGAAAATTATGTTTTGGGCGTTTGTTTAATAGTTGTGCCGCTGTATATTTCGATTCATCCAATTTTATTTTTCCTTGTTTTAACTCAGCTGCTGAACACAAATTTGGGTCTTCCAAATAATCTAATAAAAATAAATAATGGAAATATTTACAAAAAAAGTGAGGTTAATTTTTTGGCAGCAAACGTCAAATAAATGTCAAAGCAAATATTTATCATTAATCAATAATAAAAAGATTAAATATAAATTCTTATCCAGAATACAAACAGCTTGTAATCTATTCAACAAATCTGTTCGCATCTTTAATTGATAACCAATTGTTAAACAAAGGTTATGAACCAGGATCAACAATAAAATAATAGAACTACTTACAATGTTTATAATTATCATCGTTTCCTTGGCAAACACAAATAACTATGGTTAAATAAACGAGCCATCCTATCTCTTTCATGTTTTCATTTGTATAATAAACAGAAAAATCTTTGCAATCACATTTCCAAATGAAAATGTTTAAGACCTGTTTTTTTATGAATCACTCGATACGCAATGGTTTGAAGAAAAACAAATGAAGGGGGGAGATTCTAAGAACTCAAATTTGCTTTATAAATTTTATAAATGTTCATTATATATAGAAACACATTAATGTTGAAGTTTCATCACAAAAGTGGTAAATAAAAATAATAAATAAAAATATTTACTTAAATTCTTTATCAAAACTAACTTCACACATCTGGTTTTGGTATATTTTTCTGTCAATGACACCCAACATATCTGATTAAATTTAAGCACATTCCTAAAATGATAAATTAAAATCAACAAACTATTTTGCTTTCAACAAAGAATATTAAAATAATTAAAATAAAATTATTTATTCAAAACTGGTACATTTACATTTATAAGGTTGGTACGAAATGTAACGATTGTTCCGTTCAAATAAATGTCAAGTTTTTATGTCAACCGACTTTTTTATTTAGTAAATCTTTTTCGCATGTAATAAAAATGAATGGAAACTTAAATAATATACAAAATGGAGATAAAATTTTAAAAGATATCACGCTAATTCCCAATAGTAACGATAATCAGGCGTAAGTATGGGGTTCAATTTCTTTGTAAGCAATTAATTCAATTTTTATATTATTATAATATTATTTTAGAATTGCTATGCCTTTAAGTGCATTTCAACAGGAACTTGAAGAAGCTGCTAATGAGCCTTTATTCAATAATGTACAAGGTGATGAAAAATTGGCTGATTGTTCGTACACATCAGAAACAGATGCAGCCGATGAATTAGATGTAGCTAATACTTCTTTTTGTGAAGACGATAATTTATCATCAAGTTCAAATACTCCCATAAAACCTCAATTTTTAACGCCTTTAATAAATAAGCCTAATAAATATGTTGGATTCACTCCAAAATTAACAGAAATCCACGAAAATGTAAAATCTACCAATTTTATGCAAACACCAAATAATATTTTACTTGGTTTAGATAAAAAACCGATTTTAAAGAATTTTATGACTTGTTCACGATTAAAAGATTTACGTAACGTACCTAGCGATGATCTAAAATTAAGTAGAAAATTGAATATGTCTGTTGATGGGATTATTGAAAGAGCTGATCAAATATCGTTTAAACATTTACATGATGAAAAAAGGATACCGTTGAATAAAGCGGAATTAGTTGAACCTTTTAAAACGCCAAAAAGCGAATACAGGACGGGTCAGAATTTGATTCAACACGCAGGGGTTGTATATTCCTCTCAAAAATCCGATAAAGAAAATGTTTTAAATCAATTAACAAGTGTACCGAAATTATCAATAAAAAATTCATTACAAAGTGAGAAGAAATTTCTTGCCTCGTTAAAGGATGAAAAAATAACAAAAAATATATCAGACACAAAACCTGTTCTAAAAGTAACTTCAAATGTGGTAAATCAGAATAGTCAAAGAGAAAATCACCAAAATGAAAATTCAAAAAAAGAAAATTTGAATAAAATTTGTACAGTTTCAACAAATAACAACCTACAGCAATTTGATGAAATCATTGTAAATAATATAAAATATCTGGTTTTAAATGAATTGGGTAAAGGTGGATCATCTGTGGTGTACCTTTGTTATAATATGGATAAGAAAGTTCATAGAGCAATTAAAAAAGTTAATTTAAGAGGAGATAAGTTATGTGTAGAGGGATATATTAATGAAGTCAGAATGATACATAAGTTACAAAATTGTGATAGAATAATCAAAATGTATTCATAGTAAGTATATTTATATTGTTAAATGGAATTAGTTCTTAAGTACTAAGGGTACAGAGATAGTTAAAATTTTTCTAATCCCTTTGTATAAACTCTTCATACCCACAAAAGCTCATCATTTTATATCTCGATTTTATTTAGGATATTTATTTATGTAGAACTTTTTTAAAATGTATCTGAACACACAGAATTTTTACTTTTCAATAACAAAAATTTAGGGTGTCAAATGTGTGGAATATAACCAATAACTTCGCCATTTGTGGTTTTAAAGAAAAATGTTTCAAATGCAAGTTTCTTTATTAACCATGGCGCATTTTTTGGCGATATTTGTATTGTTTTTGGTTTTGTTGGTATGGCAACCATTGTTATTTTAAATGGGATGCATATATTTTTTTTGTATACTTTAATAGAGGATAAATCTCTCTATGCGATGAATATATCAAATCATATGGTTGTATAAAAAAACATCGAGAAGAAATGTGTTTTTTGAATGTATTAAATCAGGTAATTACAAACAAAGTAGGCACCGAATTAACACCGTTGACAGCTTTAAATGTCAAAAAAATTACATGTTTTCGGATAGCGAACCGGAATTGGTATTATTTCGTCGTATTTCGAAAAATACTGAGAATTCTAACGAATAAATTGATTTAGATTGCGCTCGTGTATTCTGCGAGGTTGATCTTAACAATCCAACATCGGATATTTTCGTTTATTTTTTACTGACTACCTATCAAAGTGTCGCACAAGAAACCAACAAAGATGCAGAATAAATCAAAGCTAATTCAATAGCAAAAGACTACTCATGTTTGAAGGGTTGGACAGCAACATCCGCTGAAATTTTAGTTTTTGCCATTATAATAATTCAAGGCATAGTAAAAAAAAACCAATGTGGAGTGGTATTGGACAAAGTGACAGTGTAGGAACCCCAATTTTCGTCTTATTCAAGATTTACGCTCTTGAGAAACTTCATTCATTTTGAAGAAATGACATCCATAGAAGAATGTCCAGATCTAAAGTTGAAAAAAATTTAGCCAATTTACCATTACCTGAATATGCGTTTCGCCGAAATGCTTACACCAGAAAGAGATATTTCTATAAACGAAAGCTTACTGCTTTATAAGGGACGACTAAGCTGGATTCCAAACACGCTTGATTTGGAATAAAAAGTTTCTTACTTTGTGAATCGAGCTCTGGACATACATATATGGAAAATTATCATATACACAGGGAAAAACACTTTATTGCTAACCGAATATAACGATTTGCCTAAAAGTACACAAATTGCTATGACTCTTATAAAAGATTTGTTAGGAAAAGGAGATTGTCTAACTACTCATAATTTTTATACGTCTCCTCAACTAACAGATCTATTGATAACACATAAAACAGATACATACGGGACATTGAGGTTGGGGCGTAAGGATGTTCCTGCAAATTTGAAATCACTAAATTAGCCAAAGGAGGCATTATTGGTTACCAGCGAGGAAAGGTGTGTACCGGTCGCGCCAATCAACACTTCACAGATTACCCAATTTTAAGAAAGAGAGGAAAATGTTTTACATGAAGATCGATTTCATTGAATCAATCTATTTGGAACTGTCATGTGCTTTATAAAAAATATGGGGGCGGCAATTTACATGCACAGTTTCGGGTGGATCTGGCAGAGGCACTAATTGAACAAAATAAAATTAAAACTGCATCAACTAGTTCAGCTAGAGGACAGCCAGGAACAACACCAAATCTACTATGACTGTCGGACCGCCATTTCCCGGATTTTGTGCCCCCAACGAAAAATGAACAAAAATCTACTATCTATTTTCTAAAAAGGACGAACTAGGGAAGAAAGTCAGGAGAGAAAGAAACAAGATACTGCTGTAAGGAATGTGATGTTGGACTTTGTGGAGTCAAAATATATCATACCCAGAAATATTTTTAATAAATTCCGTTTACGCAAGCTTTTTTCTTTTTCTTTATGTTTATCTTGAAAAAATCATCACATTTGTTATTTTCAACAAAAATCTGACCAAAATAATCAATAAAGAAAATAGATAATTTTATGAGCATACTTTCGAAAATTTATCATTCAGTTAAGGGGTTAAGTTGCGTTCAGTGTATGTGGTTTTATATTTATACCAAGGACGGTAGAATCTAAGAGGACTGCTACATCCCGGGAACAAGTCGAAGGTCCGTTCGTGACGTCACGCATAAACACTAGCACTAGAACGAGAAACATACGAGTTTAGCCGTACGTATCTTAAGACGGCTAAAACCCGACTGTTTAGACTGATTTAGTATTAGTTCTACTTTTAGTTCAAGAAAAATATACAATAATCTAGCGCTCTGCTCTTCGCTCCCTAAGGAGATACGCCATTATTTTCGCCATTGAATTATATTTTGAAATCTTAAAGTTAACTAATACGAGTTGAATATAGTCTTATGTACAAAAATAAATTGCATTGCAAATTACTTCACCAACTTATCTATTATGTTAATCGAAGTATTTGATACTAAAATAATTTTAAAATTTTTAGGAAATTCCATAGTATATTAAATGTTGGTGAAATTATTTTCAGAGTGCAAAGATATTTTTCTCTATTTATATGTTAAAAGTAAAGACTAATATTTCGAAAAATCTATTTTTAAAAAACATTCAGAAAAAGATTAACATTTTTTTTTATTTTTAAGTGAAATTATAAAATCAGAAAAAGTCCTGTATATAGTTATGGAATCAGGCGACCAGGATTTATCAAGTATACTAAAAGATTTATGTTCAAATACAACACATTTACCTATTTACATATTGATATATTATTGGATGGAAATGTTATTTGCTGTTAAACAAATTCACGAAAATGGTATGTTTTAAAAAAATTCTTGTGGCTTATTTTATTTCATTACTTTTTCTTTCAGGAATTATACATTCCGATTTAAAACCTGCAAATTTCCTCGCCGTTCGAGGTAAATTAAAATTAATAGACTTTGGAATCGCATCGACTGTTGAGCATGATATGACATCAGTAGTAAAGAATGTACAAATCGGTTCGTTTAATTATATTAGTCCGGAAGCTTTACACAATAACAGTCGAGACACACAAAAAGCCGAATTTAAGGTATTAAAAAAATATGATAAAAATGATTTTTTAATTGTAGGAGTATTATTTTTTTGTAGATTAGTTATAAATCGGATGTTTGGTCATTGGGTTGCATTTTATATCAATTTGTCTATGGCAAAACTCCTTTTCAACACATTGGTAATATGTACGCGAAATTGGGTGCAATATTAGATCCTGACCAGAAAATTAATTATCCTGAAGCTAATTGGGTCCCATCAAAAATTATTTCAACCATAAAAGACTGTCTTAAATACGACATGAAATCAAGACCTTCGATTGATGAATTAATTAATCAATATGATATTCATGTTTAATAACTTTTTTATGATTTCTTTTAAGTATGTAATAGTACAAATATTTAACTTTTTTTGATGATTGTGTCAATACTTTAATAATATAATTGTATACATTTTATTGTTTGTTGAAATTTAAATGATTATATATAGAAACAAAATATTAAACATAGATGTCTTGTAACATGTGCATATATTATGTACTGTATGTATGTGTACCATCATATGAAAAATTATTGTATAATTTAATTTAATTGGTTAATTAAATCAATTCTAAACAGTTCTGAATAAGTTTAAAACAAGTTTAATACAATATAAATAAGTTTAGGTTATTAATTTTTTATTTTAATGATTTTTTAGTCGGTATTATATACTTAATGTATAAATAATGACCAAGTTTGTCATAATTTGTTAGGTAATGTGGAGTCGATAATGACAATGACTCAATACATTGTATTAAATTGATCCATTTTCCCTTGATGCTTTCATTATTAACGTTATAACGATGTTGTACAGATCATCACGGTGTCTTTGCTCAACGTCGACTCCTACATCAATACTTTGTAAGCTATTTGGCGTAAACCCAATAAGCACTAAACACGAAAATGGTTTGTGTGTGTATTTTTCTTCAAAGCCGGCTTTAATTTACAGTTATTTCATATTGATTTTGTTATCAATTAACTTGTTTGCAAGGGATGTAACGTCTTTAATGGAAATGGTGAAAGGAAACAAAAATTATTTACAATTTTTAAATGAATTTAATCTGGTGATATATAACGTTTATTCGATTATTTTAATTGGATTGGCTTTGTTTAATCACAAGAAAATTATTATTTTTTTAAATTTTTGTGCAAAAATGGGGTTGGAAATACCAATTTGCGATTCGGGAAAAAAGAAATTATATGTTTTGAATTTTGTGTACAGCTTTGTTAGTTTGTTGATGATGTTTTATCATTTAATGATATATGGTGGTTATTTTCTTGATAATTCGACAAATGCATTTAATTTTTTTTCAAATTTATTTGCTCTAATCCTTCCTGATATAATCTATATTAATTTTTCAATCGTTGGATTAAAATTGATTTTATTGTTTTCTTGCTATGATAAAACATTTATTAAATCGCTACAATTTCAATATGCTCACCCATCCTATGATATGATAGAAAGTGATATGTCCGATATTACTGGTACTTTAAAATACAGGTTATGCAGTGAAAATCATAACTTTGATCTCCTTAAAGATATGAACTATTTAAAACTGCTTGAGTATTTAAGAAAAACCTACGATGATTTAATTAAATTGGTTCAATTAGCAAACTCTGGAAGAGAATCACAATTTTTGATACATTTTTGTATTGAAATAATTAATTTGGTTCTTCATTATTATGGTATTTGTATATATTTTATAAAAGATTTTGGAGGTAATTTTCGGATTCTACATTATATGAACTGTGTATTTGTTGTTTGGCATACTTATGGTATACTTAATTTTCTAAGAAAATGTCAAGATTTACAAAATAAGGTAAGAATATATTTAATTTATTATCTCATCTTATCGCTAAGTTTTTCTAATAATGTGTTTAAGATTTTCGTCGTTATTTTGAGATAACCACATAAAATTCAAAAAGTGTCTTTTACTGTCCTATTGATAAATTTTTGTCATAACAGTTATTGGTGTGATAGTTCATATAGCTTTTTATTTTGAATGTTGTGTAGTGGATTATTCGGATGGCGCATCTTTGTTATTACTTTTAACCATCTTCTTCCCAATTTATTACTACTGCTTTGTAAATGTGTACTGCTGTTTTAGTGGAAATTTCTTTATTTGGACTTGTTTTTCCTTATACTTTTAGATACTCCTACCATTAAAACATTTATCCGAATTTCACAATAAAATTAATGCAAATTTTCAAACTACAGAAATTAATTTACAAATAAGAATTTTTCAAAGTAAAATTCAACAAGAATATTCTATGGGTCCTTATGGAATATTTCACTTAGATTTAAGAATAACTGGATCGGTGAGTTAATAAAGTACTTTTAATGTATTTTAATATGTTAATATCATTTTTAGCTATTGGCAAACATATTTATTTACGTTCTTGTGGCTTTGCAATTTAATTTTGCAAAATCTTAATGTATCTTAGACATTGTTGATAGATGGCGCTATATCAACGTGATTTTGACAGAAAACATAACCTCACTAATAAGTTAATGACAAATATTAAAATTTCTATTTATTATTACTGTATTAAAATATGGAATTATCAAGTGAAAATAAATGGAATCTTAGAAGTTTAGAAGCACCACCATTTACAAGTTATAAAACATTAAAAGTTATCAGTAAGTATTTTATTTTTAAATGAATCCATTTATAAATAATAAAATTCTTATTTTGTATAGATATAAATTCTTTGATTAAATGTTGTGAAGCTGCACAAGAATTTTTTGGGAATCAAATCCATTTAGAAGGCGACTCTTTATTGTTATCAAGAACAGTGTACAGAATGAAATACAAATTTCGTACTGATAAAGGGTTTAAATTTATGCAAAAACTAAATCGATCCTTAAAAAAGTATTTTGAATTAAATTTCTTTTGTGTAATCAAAGATTTTTATGATTTATTACCAGAAACTGTTCAAGTAGGAAGTTATTTACCCACAAATAATATGTTGGATTATCTTATTGTAAGGCTACAAGGATTAACAGCTTTAATGAATTATGTATCTGAGTCTGCTAAAACAGCAGCTGATCTTATGGAACAAAGAATGTCAATTGGACATTTTTGGAAAATGGCGTTTTATTCCTATGCTTTACTTTCAAGGATTTGGTTTCTTTCAAATGATATAGTCAGATTTTGTTGTAAATTGTATATGGAGTTATTACCATTAAGGAATGTTTTGGATGGTGAACATAATTGGGTTGGTATTGATTATCAATTTCCAAGTAATTTAGAAAGTTGGCTTAATATTAATAAATCAGAAAATAATTTGAATTCATATCAAGATCAAAATTTTCATTCTGAGTGTGGAAATAAAGAGGATGAATTAAGTGCTGAAGAAAGTGATACTTTAAAAAAAGATAAACCTAAATCAGCTTTTGAGTTGATGGTGGATGATGATGAAATAGGTGAAGTTATTCATAAAAAGAATGAAGAGAGAATAGTTAAGAAAAGGAAGAAGAAAGGATTAAAAAAGAAAACAAATAATTCTAAAGAACAAATAAAAGATGAAATTTCTTCATTAGAAATAATTGAAAACTTGACAGATTTTGTTATTTTAAATAAATTTATAGAAAAAGAAAGTAATTTAAGAACCCAAGATCGTAATAAATGCGTTTTTAAATGTTTAGATGGATTAGAGTGGAAAATGTTACTAGGTAAAATTAAAAAATTGCGTAAAAATAAAAAGAATGTAGATAAGAATTTGCAATTAGCAAAGTCAATTGAAATATTAAAAGCTTCATTATGTGAAAAATAAATAATTGTATAAAATAATACATATATAAAATATATTTCTTGCTAAACATTTGACTTCCTGTACAGTTTTCCTGTTTTGGTGATTATCTTGTTTATGCCTTATCCCAAATATCTTGTGGTTTTCCTCTCTCTCCACTCCCTTGCTTTCCTGCTTTCTGTGTAGATGGTCTCACTAACTGAGCTGCCTATTTTCTATATACTCATCCATACCCTGGATATACTTCGTTCCCCCTTTGTTCTTCTCAGGTATATAATTTCTACAGCCTGCAATATATCCCTTTCCTCGTTATTTCTTTTTTTTCGTGGTTTCCACCCGCTTTTTTCTATATCCAACAATTATAGGGGTGTGATTGAGATGTTTCCACTACTTTATCAGATATAGAACTTACAGAGGATTCTTTTTTTATCATTCTTTACAAAAAATCATTAATGAGATTACGATAATTTTGTTTTAAATTATTTTTATTTATAATAACAACACATGTAGTTTAACATATATATTTGGTGTGAACAAATAATACTTTCATATTGAGAATTTGACTTCCTAATAATATATGTACAAGATTCCACAACATTATTTCCGATTGCGTATCTAAAACGGAACGCGCGATCGTATTTTATTATAATAAATAAATAAAAAATAGGAAACAATTTTATTAATAATAATCATTATCAAAAATTAGATAGAAAAAACATGTCTATAAATATAACGCAGGCAAAAACGATAATTGAACGAAAAAACTCGTCGAGAAGAGTGCATCACAATAATAATATATTATTTTAACTTATTATAAACGCTTATGAACACCTTCCGAGTGTTTTGTGTGTATGTATGTTAACTTTTTCTGGTTTGTTTAATTTTTATACATTGCACATTGTTAATGGTTTTACAAATAACACCGTTCTTTGGTAACTATTCGTTATAAACACTAAGTATACATAATCACAGATTATCTAGAAACGAATTTGTTCAACAAAAAAACGCAAGATTTCGGGGGGAGGGGGATTTCTTAGGGAGACGGACAGAAGCGAGATATTAAAATATATATTACAACTCCTTAAACTGGAGGATCGTTAATATTAGTTTTTTGTACAGCTTCTTCTTCGTCTTTAATGTTTCTATAATGATCAAAATTGTTTTTTTTTTCACTTTTAATCTGATTACAAGGAGCTTATATGCTTTAATTAATATATTTTTGTTTCAAAATGAACCAAAAAATAAAAAAGAAAACTTGGATGTTTGACTACACGTTTATACAATTAACATTAATTCATGAGCTTTCATGTTTTCTTAATGGAGAAGTACGTTTTCTTTTTTAAACTTCGGTATTTTATATACAATGTACACGATCTAAACCTGTTAAGGGATGATTTTCTTTTACTTTGAATGAATAACGTTGTAGAATTAATCCCTTGGAGTACGTCTTCAACATTGACTTCGAATTAATAAATGATCGATTATTATATTATATACACAAGATCACAATTTAAATTTACGTACTGGTTTGAAAAATTTACATGTTTTATTTTCACCTCCCCCTTTTTATCATTTTTTTTTAATTGTTTCCACTTTGGCTAACTTATATTGGAGTTGGGAGTACCGTAAAATCTTGTAGAGCGCATTTAACCGTCTCGTATAAGGGCCTGTTCTCTTCATTTCCGTAACCTTCCGGCGTGCACAGCGTCTGTAACTTGGTTAGATACGAATCGAAATTCTCCTGGCCAATCTTGTCTTGCGGATTAGCGCCCGGCAGTCGAACGTGTTCAAGCAACGTTATAACGTTGTTCCTCAGGCTCTCGTAGTACTCGTTCAGGTTGTTATTTCGGGCGGCAATCACTTGGGTTTCCTGGTGAGGAAAATTTTAGTGTAGTCCCATTGCTTTTGTTACGATAAAGCTGGGCAAATAACATTTCTTATTAGGATGCTATTACCAATCAAAATAATTATTTTATTATTTCTTAAAATTTTCATTCATGGTTTATTATTTTAACATTCAAAAATATCAAATATGCCCTATTTTAATTGAAAAGATACATATTTGCAACCCAGACATGTATAAATAATGGGGTTAAGAGATGATTAACTAAGATAAGCAATGTGTTCTTAATATAGCGATTTAAAATTGAAATTTTTGAAAAACCTAAATCATCTAGGCCGTCTTAAAGGTTTCCAAAAGGGCCATGAAATTTTCTGAACACTACTTTTATGATATTTAGTAATTTTTAGATGCTTCCCGGGATTGCCAACATTTAAAAACAAAATTCTGGAGTTTATCAGTGGTGTCCATGATCATCTAGGATTTCAAGAGTATCAATCAGCATAGAGGATAAAGGATATTTTTAAGAATATCGAGAAGGAAAGGATTTTTCTAGATATCCTGGATTTTCCAAAGGTTTTTGAGATTATGAGATGTCCTGACATAACCAAAGATATCTGTGGGATGTGTTGGGTTGGGTTCATCAATTTCTAGATGATTTTCAAGAACTTAAGAGGTTTTTAAATATGTCAAAGGATTTTCAAATATTGTACAACAAGACGATCGAAAATACTCGATAATTCGAGATGCATTATTTGAAACACCACGATACCGAAGGTCAAGGTGTTTCATGCATTATGCATTTCTTAGTATTTCCAAATGTGTCTAAGAGAATTCCTAAATATACATACAGATTTTCAGAAAATGATTAAAGTTTTCAAAAAGTCAGATTGATGTTAAAGATTGTCCATAGGAGATTATCCAGATCCACTTAATTATTGCATGTTTCTCGTTTGCTTCCATAACCTTCGCAACTCACCCACAACCTTAATTATTAAGAAAATAAAATTTGCACAAGTCTTTTGAACCCCAGTGTGAGATGCGAAGGTTAAGTATCTAGCCGGTAGTGATAATAGATTTTAACAGATGACGCTAGTTGAAGGCGAGAAGTTCGCTATGTTAGCTCTTTAACAATTTTATCGAGGCAAGTTAAGTTATTTTCTGTTTAATTGTATTGTTGCAACTATATTTTTCAAATATCCGCCATCTTCAGATTTTTTGTACTTGTCATCACATGTAAAGTGATGTAAAGAGTATGGCGAAGTTAGGCCCACTTTTACCATCCTCCTGATAAACTATCTAGGAGATGGTTGCCATGTTTGTTTGTAGCAGTTTTAAACGCTCTCATTGGCTAAGAGCTGGACTTATTTATTAGATAAGTTTATCCACAGGTGGTAAAAGTGGGCCTTAGTGGTAAACTGTCTTAAGGAAGTTGTAATGATAACTAATCTACGAAAATCTCCTTGATGACTTTATACCTAGCACTATGGTTTGGTATATATTCCCTGTTTTACCCTGTTTGGTATTATGCGTTGGAATATCTCAACGCATAATACTCAATCTTAATATTTTCTTCTTTGGGAGTCTCAGATGTTGACTCCCGATCTCATATAACTGTCCCTAAGTAATTACAATTACCACTCTTCTTTGTTTGTCTTTATCAGGATGCTCCATTTGCCAGTGTTGACGTGGTGAATTTGCTGCTTGTACCAATGTAATCTCGTCTATGTTCAAATATGCACTGTCTTTGTTCAACTTTTTTAGGAAGCGTGGCAAGGTAGTCTGATTATAGTTATTTCCAAAAACCTCTATCCACAACTAATTTTTAGGGTCATTTCGATCGGTGAAAAGCAGCGATAAAATTTCTAAAATTCTCTAAAATTTAGGAGACCTTCTATTTACCATAGTAGTCTAAAATAAATTCTTTCAATTCGTTTAAATGGTTTTTCTGCCAAATTCCAATTCAAACAATCACAGAACAACTTCTATAGTACCAATGATGTGTGTGGTGATTGTAATCTCATTGTAGGTTGAAGTAGCCCTAACATTACATGCACCTAAAATTTTCGATTTGAGCAGTTCTACAACGTATATCGTTTACCCAAGATGATTCTTAATGTAGAAGAGCAAATTTCTGACTAAATGTAGTTATGAATGGCAAAAAACTTTAGATGTAAGGCAGAGCTTTATTGAAGATCCCACATGCATCGTCACGCAGAACTGCGTGGTTACATAAGTAAGTCATTCTTCAACTTTGCGTGTATTACATAAGTATAGATTTAAACCATACAAAATTCAGCTAATGCAAGAATTAACTGAAGATGACTTCGATCGTAGATTTAACTTCCGTTTACAAGATATGTTTTATCGACGAAGCAACTGTTACGTTGTTTGGGAGTGTAAATCAAAATAATCTAAGGTGTGAATCCTTACTGGATGCGTGAAACCCATACTCAAGGATCACAAAAGTTAAATGTATGATTGGGTATAGCAGTATGTACTTAGTTAATTGCACTGACAAACCTGTTTACAGAGAATGTGAATCAGATATGGTTTCAATAAGACAAGGGGCCATCTCATATTGGCGTAAATATTGAATGCATTAATATAACTTTAATCAAAGCACATAATCGAACTGGTGCCACATTAAGATAAGTTAATCAAATATTATATTAACCTATTATTACCGAGAATCGCACTTTTTTAAATTTAATATTCCGTTATGTATCAATGGACTTTTTAAAATATTGTCAATCCCCATTAGCATCATATAAAAAACCGAGAAAGTTGAGTGTTGTCCACTTTCATATTGATGTTAATTCTAAAGAGAAAATTTAATGGTAAAAATACTCACTGTCAAAAATAGAATAATTTAAAAACAATTAAATAAATTCCTCCTTTAAGTTTAAAGTCTCAATTTAAACATTAAGATGTATTTTTTGGTTTTGATTGAAAGATGTTAATAATAAACCATTCGTGACTTTTTTAAACTAAATTAAATTCAAATCTACAACATCAAAATAATTTGATTGGAAATAGCATACCTTTCGATTATTCTTTATTACTTACCTTTTCCCCTTGACTCAAATGGCTCTCCATGGCATTTATATCAGACTTAAGCTTGAGCATCTGTGATTCCACTCGAGCGTTTTCCCGCTGTAGCTCGGTGATTTCAGCTTCCAAGGTCATGAGATCCTCTCCGCTTCCATTGTTCTCCATTCCTAGAAGAAACGAACAGGAAGACGTCGTTAGGGTGTTATTTCACGTTAAAAATAGGTGAGTTTATAAAAGAAATTTATGCTTTCCAATCGCTTTTTGATGATTTATTTAAATCTTTGTAAGTGCGAGTGGTTTGGAAGGAACGACGAAACCATCAATACACCACTAAATATCGAATGGCTAAAATGTGCCACTAGATATTGACAATGACACGTTTAGAATATTTTTAATTGCCAGGATATTATTTCTTTTATAAGATATTGTTTTTAGTGCAATTTCTTCGTCGTTTCTTCCATTTTAAGTTGTTGGAGTTTTTTTTTTGAAAAAATATTGTGATTTTAAAATAAAAGAGTAAAAGTGGGTATAGTTACCTCAAAAAAATCGTTATACACGATTTTGTCAATTTTTGTGATATCTGTTAAATAAACAATATTGGTATCAGATATCTCACAAATTTATACGACAAATAAGTTTAACTTTTCGAAAATAAATTATCTGACTTGGGCATACTTTTATTAAAAGTCACAAAACATTGCTTCTTACCTCATCATTATCATAACTTTTTTTCTTTAATTAATATTTGGTGACCTTTAATAGAAACAGAAAAACTTAACTTCTTTTAAAAATTTAATACCCACTTTTTACAATAATATACTAAATATATCATCTAAATAATATATTCTTACCTGTGTATCCTTTTGAGTAAAACGGCATCTCATCGGAATATTTCGTCTTCTTTACAGTTTGTCCAGCAACAGGACATCCGCTTAATGACCGATGGGTTAGAAAGGACCCATTTATATGCCCCGTTCCATCACAACCAGGCGTTGGACAGTTAACTCCTTCAAATTTCATCGCTGTGGCAGCAGCTACGGCAGCTTTATGTTGTTCTACGGTTCCTCCGCTTTCCAAAACTCTCATTTTGTTACGATTGGCGATGGGACAGCCGGAAGCGCTGCAAGAAAAAATTATAAAAATTCTATAATGGATCGATGCTAATTGAAACCGTTTAAGAAATTAAGACAGCAACCCGGCCTTTTGCAACATAATAAAAAAACATGCTAAAAATAACCGGCGGAAACAAGAAAATTAAGATGAATACAAAAAATTATTTGGGGATGTTTTTAGATGAAAAGGATTGGTGAGAAAAGTAAAAGAAAAATAAAACATCTATAAACATTTTATTGGCTGATGTTACCTTCTGTGCGACAAGAATTTTCCTGTCGCATGTCCACTTCCGTCACAACCCGGTATTGGGCATCTGTTTGCATGAAAAAGTAGAGTACTAATAGTCATTCGAAGAATCAAATCAATAGAAACTTTTTTATCCATTACAAAAATGACAAACTTCGTGAAGTAAAAAATTAAATTGTTCTTGCAAAATGTATTTTCGTACCTTAACGGTTCCGAGTCCTGTCCATCCCTTGGTTTGCTCTTGGGTTTGTTCGCTCTGGGACAACCCGACAGACTCCTGTGGGACGAATAGTTTCCGGTCACGTGTCCCGATCCGTCGCATCCCGGCGTTGGACACTTCAACTCTTGGGAGTGAGCTTGAATTTGCGAACGGTCCGCTCGCGGACATCCCGATAAACTGTAATTGGATAACCATGTAAGTTAATATTAGTTTAAACATTTTGTTTGCTTAAATAATACAACGCGTTTAAATTATAAAAAAAAGTTGACAAAAAAGAACATTTATTTAAGGATCTGACTCAGTCTGCAACCAATTTCTTTAACTGTTTAATTTCATGGACATGGTCTGGTGGCAAAACCCAGTCGTAATTATTTCTTTAGATTTTTAATTTTCCTAAAATCGTACAACTACATCACGATATAAATTTGATAAAGGGGTTTTAACTCAACAATATGGCCTTTGCCCAGTCTGATGGATTAAAATTTCAAGATACTTTAAACGTTTGAAAGACACTTTTGTCCATGCAGATTTCAAAGACATAGTCCATATCACCAAGTTTCGTTTTGGTGTTATATTATGAGAGTGCTTGCCTTCTATGAGTGGCGTAGTTGCCAGACACATGACCCATGCCGTCACAGCTTATGGTTGGGCACTGAATCAGCTCCTTACCGTCCCTGCCTCTAGCACAGGGCCGTACTCCACCGAAGTTAGAAGCCCGCCGCGAACTAGACGAAAAACCGACAGTCAGTTAAACGAGTTACATGATAAACAAAAAAGTTTAATCAAAAAAGAAAATATGAAATAAGTACGAAAGCTTTCACGGCCGGTTTTAATTAAACTAAAACTAGAACTAATAGTAGCACTATCACTAGAACTAGAAACTTTCGGGTCTTTAGAAACACTTCGAATTTGTTTCTGAAGAAGGTAACATGGCATCCGAAACGTCAAACACTTTTTCAAAAGACTCGAAAGTTTCTAGTTCTAAGTCTAGTGATAGTGCTACTATTAGTTCTAGTTTTAGTTTAAGAAAATATGAAGATTTAAATTTGAATTATTCCACAACAAAATCAAATTTAAGTATTATTATTGCTATGCAACCAAAAATACAACCAGAACTTGTGTTGACAATTACAACTTTTAATTTTTTTCCCTTTAAATTTAATAAATTTAAAAGCCTCGAAGCACTCAATCGTCTAAAGCATTGCATTTTAATAAAAAAATCAAAAAAGAATCAATAAAATTAGTTAATTAATTAATTAATTTCTTTTTTAAAAACTTATTTGAACTCACTCGTTTGTATCATCCACGTGTTTGATAAGAATATCGACAACGATCGAAGAAGTTTCGCTAGAGACCGCCATCGATCGAAAGTACTTATTATTTAAACTTGGTCAAACGCGATTTTTTCGAGAGAAGTCATTTTTTCACGAGCACATAGCACGCGTTATTATTCGTATTTTGATGACGCGCGATAGCGATTTTTTGTTGACACATTGTGACTTTTTGTTCGTACAACGAAATTAAGCTCGACCGTGGTAGTAGTACGTTTTGAGCGGTCGGTTACAATTTAACGACGGCGTTTTCCGTCTCACTAAAAATAGTTTAAATAGCGTTGAATTTATTAAAGGCGTACGCTTATTCTCATCGCGGCACATGCTACGAACCTAACCTACTCTCCTCTACTAATGTTTACTAAATTATTTTTAGAATAGTTTTTCTAAAAAGAAACACTCTCTTTAAAAGACATTTTTTTAAGATTAAAAGTAAACTAATACATAATTCTCACATATGTTTTTAATAGTATTAATATATTGATGAGTTAATTAATTACTTGTAGAAAATATATTTCATTTTCTATAAAGTTGAAAGTTTTTTAAATAAATAGAATTAATACCTTTCATTTTCGCCCATTTATTTCCTAACAGCTTAACCGTGTGTGAGGTGCGATAGTTAGTCACGTACTATTAAATTGATTGTGTTAGAATTTAGTTGCACTGGCTTGCTTGATTGTGGTTATATCTTATCGTGCCTTATCTACGGTAAATATATACACAAAGAATTCTTGTGGAATTATGTAGTATTGAGTCATCACTTTTAACGCATAACTATAGTTATTATATAATTATTATTTTATTTGTTAATGATTAATAATTCGTCGTCGTCGTTGTCTATTTAACGGTTTAGGCCTTGTTGACCTGTACCTTCCTTTTGGTTTATATCGCAGTGCCAACTCTGGTATTATGTTCTAAATAGTTTTCTAGAGCGTTTTAAGATCTTATTAAATTCCCAAGTGGGCTGTAGGGAAGGCAGAGTTACATGAGATGCTATTGCAAAATTGTCTAAATATGCGCGGTCTCGATAATATACTCTGTACTATAGCAATATTTTTAGATTTACGTAAGGCGTTTGACACAGTGGATCATAAGCAATTGTTGGCTAAGCTTGAGCATTATGGCATAAAAGGTCTTCCACTTCAGCTTTTTTAATCTTACTTGTAAGATAGAACTCACAGAGTAAAAATAAACTTAGATAGAAAACTATCCTGTGCTGTACCCCAAAGTAACAGTTCTGGACCCACCGTTGTTCTTAATTTATATTGATGACCTTTTGAAAGTTGGATTAAATTGTAAAATGATATAAACATTCCTCTTGTTTAAAAATCAAACATGGGCAAATCTTTTATCTTTAGCCAGAGACGATATGAGAGTCTTATTAAATTGGCTTGACTCCAATAAATTGTTCCTAAACCTTGAGAAAACTAGTCTCCATACACGTTGATTTTCAACCTACAGTCTCTGATCTTTTGGTACACAACGACTTATGCCAACAAACTGATTGTGATTGTTTTATGATTACTAGAGTTAGGTGGGATCGCGGTGGATCAGTATTTCAGGTGGGATGTGCATATTGGCAAAATGTGCAAAAAACTAAGATCAATAATGTTCTTGATTAAAAAGCTGTCACCTCATGTGCCGAGCGCATTCACGAGGAAATATTACTTTGCAATTGTTGGGGTATAAGATCATACTGAGCTTATAAGAAGCTAGAAAGATCATAAGAGCTACTGTTGATACCCGATGCTTTATTGACCAACATACTAGTATGAAGAATGTTCCGCTTGCGGACGAGATAATACTACATTGATTTAATATTATCCATAGTATGCCTTTAATAGTCACGACAGTATGAGGTTCTAAAGCAAAGATGGTTGGAGATGGATGCAGCTATAGCCTTTAAGATCTAACGAAAGGTTTGGGACTTATGTCTTATCCTCTTGTTTTTCATAGAAAATCGAATAGATTTTGTACTTATCAAATCGACTAGAAACATCTGCAAGGTACTTATTGAAAAAGAAAAATGATGAGTTTGGTGTTTTTCGAACACATCTTGAAAACGGAAAAGATTGTTGGTGTGAAAATGGTGTCAAAAAAGCTTCGTAATTCCTTTTTAACTATGCACTACAATTTATAGGAACCCATTTCCATGTCTAAATTGTATAAGCAGCGGTTATCTTTCCTGACTAATGCTGCTCGGTGTACGTTTATTTTTTGTTAGAAGGAATGGAGTCTGCTATAACCGCGTTTTTTGTGTTTTTAATCGGACAATTTATGCTAATACGGTTCGTGAGATATCTTTTTTCTTTTGATACTTGGTTATTTGTAAAACTATTAATTGTGGCGATGAATAAGATATTTAAAAGTGTGGCGTTTTAATAGAAATCAGATAAAACATGACAAAGTTTTGATTTTTTATTTATCGATTTTTGCGCGAATTTAAATCGCGTAAAATTGGTAACATAAATAGCTAAGTAATCGTTAAGTATTGCGTGTTTATACTTTTAATGATTCAACAGCAAAAAATAAAGTAGTACAAAAATAATTTGTGGATCTCTCATCGAAAATAAAAATTTATTTATCCATGTTTATTTACAAAGCTATTGACTAACCTTCCATCTTTGCTGGGTTGCTTGTCGTGTTGGGTCATGGTGTGTTGCGGTGGTGGCATCGAATAGCATGGACCTGGAGAGTAACCCCCAGGAGGCGCTGGATACCCGGTGGTTACAGTACCGGGATACCCTCCGGCGCAGGAATAGCCGCTAGCAGGATACGATGTGTAAGGATTCGCTGGGTAGTCAGCCGTAACGGTCGTCATACCATACCCCGGATGTGGACTCATGGGACCGTATCCTGCAGGGGGCAGCGTGGTTTTCATAAATATTGACTTTTAATTATATCAGTATGTTGGGTGGTTGATATTTCGATTCTGGTGTCATTTAAGAGAATGACTTGGAAACTCACCTGAAGGGTCACGATAGGCGTCCATATAATGTGAGCCACCGCTTTCCGGTGTTGACTCCCTACTGTAACCAGCGGCTGCAGCTGCTGCTGCTGCGGCGGCGGCCGCGGCTGCTGAGGCGGCTCCGGGCGCCGCCAGAACAGGACCGGCGGCGGCCGAAAACGCCGTCACCGGGCGCACGCCACTGAAATTGACCGGCTCGTTAGCGGCGGAAAAGTCAACGGGTTCGGTTTGCTCCCTGCTCCTGCTCGTCGGGTGGGCGGCGGCGGCGAATCCACGCACCGGCATCAGCGGCACTGGCTCTCCACTTTGGTATTGGACGCTCGTGTCGCTGCTGCTGCTACGCCACACGGCAAGAAGAGGCGGATAATATTTTTTATGATGGATTAGCAATGATTTTTACTCATGGGCACTTGTGGATAAATAAGATTAGCAAGAGCAAGAGCAAACACGTTTGACCGCAATTTTTTAAAATGTCCAATGAGTTAAATCATTCCCTATTTTGGAGGAACACCATTAACTAATTGCTTTTATAGTACCATTTTTTATTTTGTGATTTATACATCCTGATATTGTTATTTTTTGAAGCCAGGCTTTTCAGGTAGGATTCAATCAATGCAGATTCGGTGATATCGAAATTGGCTTATGTGTACTATTGATCTCGTCAAACTATTTTGAAATTTTAATAGCCTCGGTCGACCCCCCCGAAATTATTTACGGGCGGTGTTGTCTCAGGGGTGGGGGCCGGTTCCCTGAATTAAGCATAAGCATGCAGCAATGATCTCCTCCTACCGGGGGCGGCTCTGAATAATGCATCGTCAGGACCAACCAACCTGTGGGATAGGCGACTAACGCTGAGGTCCAAGGTCTGCCCCTGCGGACTCGGGACCTGCGGACTGGCGGACAGGTGGGGACTGGCCGCGGCCTGCGGGCTACCCCCGACCCTTTGGCCTCCGTAATGGGGCGAACTGTAGGCCACCTGAAATATAATAACCGTGTAACTGTTCATTATGATACCGTTAATTATTAACCGGTCTTGGTCGGCTGGTGGTTTTCATTAATATATAACAAGAACTCAATCTAATCGTTTTTACTAACCTGTGGACTTGTTGTTGTAACACTAGATGTAGATAAGTCAATAACACTACCACCAGGTGATGTCTGAGGACCCACACCCTTCATATGACCTTGTGCGGTTGTTGCACATTTCACTGATAGGTTGATGGCTGAAAACCCCACCGGCAAAGTACCACCCGGCGTTTCATATTGATACATAGGCCTACAAAAGTATTAGTTAAACTTATTGAATCATAATAGTTATTTTTACCTTGGATATAATGGACCAGTTGGTTCTTGATCGGGTTCAGTTTTCATAACCCCAACTGCAGATGCATTAGCCATGGCCATTTGATGTTGTTGTGCAGCTTCTTGTTGATACCTCTGTTGTTCCTCCAAAGAATATTCGTACATACCTTGAGGAGGTACCCTGGGAGGCATGAGACCCTGTTGTAATGATCCACATTGACTTGATGAATCATATCGTTCGAAGGCAGTGGCGGTACCAGGATCATACGGTCTATGACTCGCAGCGCTTACTAAGGAAGATTCGTAAGGTCTGCTCATTTCATTTGAATATGTAACTACTGGTCTTGCGATTCCTCCACTCATTGGATCACTCATATCCGCGTACGTTCTAATGTCAGCTCTTTGATACATTTCTTCAGACATCGGCGATTGATGGTAAGGTGATCTATGGGATAATTGATTTCTACCATCGTCAATTCCATAAGATTGCTGCGGATGCTGGGCTAAAACTGAATGATGAATTTGGTTTTGTGGTATTCTTGTGTTAATATTTTCGGCGCTAGACATTGAAGATGAATTTGAGTCTTGATTCATGTAAGAATCGTACGTAGGTCTCATACTGGACGAAGGAGAACGACAAGTATTTGCCTCCGTTTTTGGTATAAGTAATTCGCTTCGACCACTTATGCTACAACAACTGGTCGAAGATATTTCAGCTTTTGGAATTTTCATTGGTTCTTTCAGTTGTTGCTTGTAATACGTGTCGTAGTCTGGCTTTGAATCGCTTTCAGATGAACCGTAACCTACTAAATAAGTGGGTTTAACGTCTTCGTGGGAGGGCATTGGAGTTTGTTTTCCATCGTAACTAGATGAGTATTCTGATTGACACGATGAAACTATAACGAATAAATGTTATGTTAAACAAGAAATATATTTAAAATTAATTGTAGATGTTCTTATAGTAATGGCTAATTTGCGGGGTAGATATTGTTTGAGAAAACTCACCAAATACGTGTGGTGATTTAACTCTATGTTGTAAGCTAGCTTGATATTTTTGTTCACGAGCAGCCTGTTTATTAGCTGCAGCAACTGGACAACCAGAAAGGCTTCTATGGGAGTTTCTATTTGAGCTCACGTGACCTCTGCCATTGCAGCCGGGCGTCGGACATTTCAGGATGGTCTCATGCATGGCCAGGACTGAGAACGAACGGTTATTGAGTATAGGTGAATGCAAATTGCAAACTGGCGAAATATTTTGTTTTGTTTTTGTCATTCGAAACGCAGTGTGTGAGAACAACCAACACAACAAAACCAAGAAAAACCAAGTCAGCGGGTAGAGAGTTCACAACAAGAAAATAACACACACTGGGCGGACATCGAACGTTACGATTTTAAGTTCCTTATACTCAATAATCGTGATCTCGAGGAGGCAAACCAAAGGGAAATTTGGAAATGTGAAAACTACTGATGCGCATAGCATAATGGGATGTGAGGAAATCAACAAAAGAAAGGCTCTCTACCCCGCAAAAGAAGCGCAAAAAAATGTAGGGTTGTAAAAAATAAAAGAAGCAATCATAAGGGTGGTGGGCATTCTAGCATTTTTGTTAAAGACTTACTTTCGGGAGTGACTTTGTCTTTTCGCGGGCATCCGGAAAGACTAAATATAAATGGTATTTATAAATTGCTTTATTTCTACTTATTTATAAAAATTGTTTCTAAATTTAATAATCTTACCTTCTATGATGCGAGTACAACCCCGTAACGTGACCTTGGCCGGTACATCCTGGTGTGGGACATTTACTTCCTTCTGAAAATGAAAAGAAATTCGAACAGATTCTATCAAGGTGAAATATTGGTCGTCTTTTTAATCAAATTTTAATCACCGGGGGCGAAATCTATTTTTAACATCGTATTGCCACCACAAGGATTAATCATCTAGAATTATTGAGGATACTGCGGTTTCCTGCCAAAAGGGCTCGGGAAGGAATTTAATTTTGCTTTCATATATAAACCCCTACGTTGTTCGCCGTAACTTTTTTCTCTCATTTTCATTTCCAACTCCGGGAAACTTTCCACGTCTGCGCATTGGAGGGAACGGCCCTTTTCTCGTTTTTTGCCCACGAGTCCGACCCGTTTTGAACAAGAGAAGAGGAGAATTTAATGCATGTGCCGTGGACCGCAACGGAAAGGACCTGCGTAAATTAGCCCCGAGAAGTATTCGTCCTGCTAGAGGCATGTGAGAGTTTTTAGAGATAAAATCCCTCTCTGTCGCTCTCGTTATCTCGGTCTCTCGCTTTATATGTATATATGTGTGCTGGGAACGTTGCTGGGAAAAAGTGCTGGACGCAGGACCGTAGCAGGACGAATGGTGGGAGACCCCGCCCTGCAGGTCGATCAGCCTATAGGACGGTGCGGGTGGAGACTTGCAGGAAAAATCTCTCCTGGTGGAAAAAAGAAACCGCAGCTGAATGGAGAGTGCTGCGCATCGGGTCACCGCACCTGCGGACTAGAGTTTTCCCGGTCTCTCCACCCCGGGAGAAGAGAACTTTTTCACACGGACAGGACGTCACGGTGGAGGCAGGGGTGCTGCCTCCAACTCTGGTGGACGCCCTACCCCCACTGTATGGAGGCAGACCGATCGTTACCTATTTACGTGACGCTTTTCTTCTTCTTCTTTTAATCTCCACTCTGGAGAGACAGGTCGATATGTGGAAAGCAATATTTTTTTAATTTTAACAAATTGATGTTTTCGATCAAATATTTAACATTTTTTTTATTTAACCATGAAGTATGATATCACAAATTTAAAGACATTTATTTATTTCATTACTATTCTATTTTTATTATTTTAATAATTACTATTAAATTAAAGTAGACTTACCTCTGTTTAAACTTGATGGTGACATTGACATTGTAGGTGTGGTTAATTTAGTTTCAGTGGTTGAAGCACTACTAACTGCAGAAACGGTAATTCCTTCTCTTGCAGCTTCTTGTAAAGCACTGGCAGCTCTAGAACCACCAGCAGGTTGTAGGATGGTATACTGTTTATTGACTGCTTCAGGAGACGCGACGGATGCCTTTACTGCAACGTTCACTGCTTCCGGTTCGGGAGTTTTTAGATGCATTAAGTTGACCGTTGACTTTTTTTCTTCTGGATTAACTATGCTGGGTGGATATCCGACAAAAGTTGCTTCTGCTGGATAAGGACCTAATGCCGTGAGAGTTTTCGTGGTTGTTTGAGGTGGTCTGAAGGCCGATGTGGTTGAAAATGGTGATGGATGCGATGTGTTTGGTCTTGGAAATGGGTGGTATATTTGTTCGCTGTAGGATTTGTCTTCATCTTTCTTTTTGTGTTCTCTATCGTCACCGCTTTCTGTTCTATCAGAGTTTGCTTCAGACATATCAATTTCCAATTCATTTGAAGAGTCGTCGACCAGTTCATTAAAGTCTGGTGGTTCGTAATGTGACTGTTCCGTTTTGATATTAATCTTAGTTTTCTTGTATTGACAATCTTCGGATTTACTATCAGATAATTCCTGTTTTATTTTTATGGGTTTATCGGAGTCTTCGTGTTGATCTCTAAGGGTAATAACGTCTTTTAACGAACAACTATTGTCATTACTATTGGAACACGCCGATGATGGAGATAACTTCGACTTCTTTTCGGCAAACAGATTTTCGAAAGCTGGAGATTCGTCTTTGTACGATGTACCCCGATGTCCCGCCCAACTTCCTGATAAGCTCTTTAATGCGGCTTCCGTTTCTCGAATTAAATTTTCATCAGCACCAGGTTCTTCTTGCGAGATCTTAGCACATTTTCTTGCCGGGCTAGCTTGCTGTGGAAGAACGCGTTTCTTTTGCGGCAAGACTAATAACTTGGGCGATTCTAAATCCGTTTTAGAGTCCTCTTTTCTCCGACGTTTCTCGTCGCACATATCTTGATTTGGACTACTCTTTTGCACAGTTTTCATCGATACGACTTCCGGTTCTTCGAGCTTTCGTTTCTTCAGTTGCGTGGGAAAACAGAAAGCTCGGTTAGATCTGAAAAAAATGATAAAGCGCATTTTAGCTAATTATTTCTAAAACGCCCACAAGCCACTGAGAAGGTCACACTTAACTATAGGTTTAAGGAAAACAAAGGGAGCAGTCACGCAATGGAAATTATAAAATCTCGGCAATTGTGATCTTTATCGTCTTGTCAACGCAAGAAGCCGATTTTTTCCGTTTATCAACTGAGGTCAATCGGTATCGCTTTAGCTTATCGTTAGGTGGGTGAAATTGGAATTGGAATAAAAAGCAACCAGGGCTTTTATGGTTTATACGGAATGTTAGCTCATTAGCAAGTAAGTGGAGAGTTAATGTGTTTTTAAGTAAACAATTACAATATCTAGATGCCATTAGCCGCCCAAGTAAATTATACGGTGAACACAAATTGCTATACAATTTTTGGGGGAGTTCTGTTTAAGGTTACTTTCGAAGAATAATGCAACCTCAAACATATAAATTGCAGATACCCAGTTATTATTATTTATGGTCAAAGAGTTACTTCTATAGATATAAGACTTTAGTACATCTTTTTGTTAATACAAATGACATTAATGTCGATCAGTTTGGATTGAAGTTAACACCCAGAGTTAGCTTGTAGAGTTGCCTTGTCTTCACTGAATTAGTGATTATTACCACACGCCATCTCCGCCGAACTATTGCCGTTCAAGGCGATGTGCCAGAGAAATCCCAAAGCCGTCGGGGCATCCTGCTGGATACAGATAGCTAAAATAGGCATCCTATCCAGACGGGATAGGCCTCCGTTAATCCTCTTCGTTCATTTCAAAATGAACCTTGCGGCTTCAGACCCATCGAGAATGGCCTTTCCCCTATCCTTGCCGAAGATCATCGGTGAGGGTAGGATTAATTCATTTAAGTTTGGGGTAGAAAGTTTTTCTTTTGGCAATGGGGGAAGTACGACTCACGGAATGAAGGGGCGCGGAAAAATTAAGATTTCATCGGGGTTGCTGCCCACGTTGTGTGTGTAATCGATAGGCTGTTAGTGTTTGTGCAACATTCTTTTACGGAGGGTACGTTATTTGTTTTGAAGGATCTTTTTCGTTTTTGTATTCAAAATTTTTAAAACCTCGATTTCAAATTGGTGATTTATTTTTATACTAGATCCTTAAAGTTATTTCATAGGGGAAGTTACATAAAATACTAACGCTGAGTTTAAAAAAGATTATTTTCAAATTAACTGAAAAAATTTTATTGTAAACATTTTCTTTTGAATTGACAAAGTATTTGATAACTCAATACGGATTTGTTAACTAGTGCTGTGTATCAAAAACTTTTCAAAACAATTACACAACTTGAAATTATTCACGAAAGTCCGGAGAAGACAACTTCGAAGAAGTTGGTCAAGCTTCGAAAAGAAAATTTTCAACTGCAGTTAGGCAAAGTTTTAATCGCCCCAACTTTTGCCCTTTATATTTTTTTAATCTCTTCTCAAAGAACTTTTTATACACCATAAACACCTCAAAATGTCAAACTATCAAGTTAAAAAAAAATCTACCTGGTAGTCTGAAGAGTGGCTTCTATCATTTTAAAACTCTAACAGTTCCTTTCAGACAGTTCGTTGCACACTCCACACACATTTTAGACAAAAAAATATGCACTTTCAATACAACTCGTTTAAAAATGAGATTTAATAATAACCTCAAAAATTACTTTTTTTATTTTGGACTTAGCACGAAACGCGCAAAACGTGTCGTTTTCGACGATGTCCGGATCGACGTTCAACGTGATGCTTGAAGGCGGTTACAAGACTAAACTTGCCACGCGCGCTATTGCAACTGCAGCAGGGTTCTCCGTAGAGGTGGTAGCAGAGGTGGCCTTCTGGGGGGGTAGATGCAGGCTTGCGCACGATCGTCCTGCTTCAGAATTGCAGGAACCGCTATCGGTAGCCACCCCTCGAGGTTTAGGGACTCCGTTCGTCTCTCTTTTACTCTGAAATTACACGTAACTCTTCGGACCATACTTCTCCCTACGTTTGGAATTTATTATGGTGTTGTAATTCATCAAAAGTAACTCAGGGTGATTTTAGATTATAAATACAAATATTAACATTTTGTTGCCTAGATAATTTTGAGATTTCCAAAAATGCATATATATTTGTACAACAAACAATAAAGAAGTTTGTAAGGTTGTTACTTTTACAATATTAAATTAATAATTTTAATCGAGGAAGAATCCGGTATTGTAACAGTAACTATGGTTCATTTCAAGTCGATTTTGTATCGAAGTGTCAAAAGTTTCAATCAATTTCTGTTTATACTTGGATTGTGGTTTCTTTCATTCACGTTTAACGAATACGAAATTTATTAGAATCATTCTTTGTTATTAATGATGATGTGTTGGGAAATAAACCAGTTAAAAAAATGCTTTCTCAATGTTAACAAAGTATTGATTTTCTGAGATTCATCGACCGGTTAAGACGAAGTTTTGATACAACTTCAAGTACTAGGTCGTATTGATCCATACCAAAAGTTCTAGTCCGGGTAGAAATTTGAGCGAGAAACTTCGGTAGTTTATCTCGCCCACATACTCAAACACGTAATCAATGGAAATCGCAGAGGAATAACAATCACAGACGCAAAAATTAACAGCGAAAGTTGCGTCCGAATTCTCAAGGTTGCCACTATTTAACCACAACCCTTCGTAACGGTTGAAACGGTCGACGAAAATGTAAACAGTATCGATTGCTCAAATTTCATGCCGCCCCATAAAAAGTTCGCCTTAATTTCGAACTGCGGCGCCAACTTCTGTGTGCGCGCGAAACTTCGCCGACACAAATTGCACTTACGTTCTTTGTACTTTCTCTTTCTGACTTGTGTGAACTAGTTAGGGAACTTGATGGGGTAGGTCGATTTTTACGTCCGTCGGCGGCAGTCCATCCCTTATACTTTCGAATTAACGGGGAACTTTGGAAAAAGTTTCGCGAAGCGACATAACGACGAAAATCTTCACCGCTTTATTAAATTTTTGATTTAAATCGACCGGAAAACGAAAGTTCTTTTTTGATTTTCCAATTTGACCGGATGTCGCGTCGTTAATTACCTAAATGAAAAACACACTGGGGCGATATTTTCGGTTCCCCCGATTTTTTCACCAGCAAAACCATCGAGTAATTGAAATTAAAAACTGCCCCTGGTCCAACGGCAACCCAGTGACGTCACACCCCTATTGCGGGGGAGAGAGGGTGGATTAAATTTTAAGCCGAGCCCGCGGAACTACCGCACGTCTAGCGTGTAATCTAGTGCTTCAGAAACTTTTGTATTTAGCAAAAATGAGCTTCTGGAAGGTAAAGTTTACGGTGAATTTTATTCCTATCCAAATCCAGCAGGAATTTAATACATATATATAACAAATTCTCGTCATTAATTAAAGTTAACTGTTTGTCCAACGACATTTTCGAATTCGTTTTGGAAACCACCATATGTTAAGCAACCCATCGATTTATTTATAGTATTAATTAGTGCTGGAACAGATATCATTATATTACTTAGTACTCCACCATTCACAAGAATTAGTATCTTTTTAGGTGTTGGACACTGCAGATAATAATCAAGTTCAACCCCAATAGGACTTTTTTCATTTAATACAACTTTATTTATTTCAGGTTTATCATTAGCAACCTCATGGTAACAATCCCGATTCCGTTTCTTCTGCTCGCTTGTAATTCATCATCACATTCATTACTAACAGAACTGTCGCTGTTATCACTTTCAGCTGCTTCGTTTGTTAAATCTGCATCAAAAAAGTTCACTTTGTATCTTGGATCCAAATAAATTGACATATCTCATCAGTTTTCTTATTAATTTCATTTTTATTCAAATATCGCAATGATGTAGGGTATCACTTCAGAAATGCATCAGAAATTATAACCATAATGGCCGGATAGATATGCTGGATAATCCGGCTATCCGGCTTTTCGCAAAATCACTATCCGTTCCATCACTAGTATTAATATATGGGCGAAAATTTTATTTTGTAGCAAAAATAGGAATGAAAAGATATTCGTAATGTTTACCAACAAAGTCCACAAACGTCAACAACACTCGCAAGTTCGCTATAACAAATTCTGCAACTAAGTGTATAGAAAATTTTATGCAAACGACTAAAAATGGGGCCTGCAATTTGTAGAGTATTAAAGTGTCAAGCTATACGTTGAGATTTCTGCTAAGAGATGCTGTAATGCAAGAAAGATTTTTTTGCAAATGGAATTTTGTGTTTAGCCTGCTTTTTACAAAAGTGACAAATTGAATACAGTGTTGCAGGAGCATATGCGAGATTCTCCAAAAGTCTTTTATGCTGTATCTTTTGCAAAGGTATCACCTGCAGTGGGCACAAGTGATACATCATTAAATATTGATTAATTGGTTAATGCCAAACTGTGTGAGAATAGACAGACCTTTATTTTTCAACAGTCACCAAGGCGCTCCAGTTCAATATTAGATTTGTTACGCCATGCTTGGAATGTTACAGTGAATTTATTTCTGTAACACACAGTAGTAAGTGTGCACCACTTTTTGTCACAGCAACAGACAAATCGCAATCACCGTAAAGTGAAACATATCGTGTATAGTGCATTTGCTTTCAATTCATAATGGATTTTATGGAATCTGCTTGTGTGATAGTCTCATTGAAAAGACAAAAAATATTGGGTGTATCTATTTGTATGTCAAAGACTGTTTAAAGGTTAATTTTATCAAATTCATCACGATTTGGTAAAATATCCGAAGAAGTTTTTGAAGTATTACCGGATGAGCAAAAATAGTTTCAATCTATTGAACTTACAATAAAATACCAAGACACCAGACTCTGGAAGTCTATAGTCTTTGAGAATGATTAATTTCAATTAGCGACAATCTCGATGTAGAAAATTAGGATCGCTTGCATCTTTTTTGTTGCTACACTTTCAAAACAAGGCGCTTTATTTTTGCGACAAAGAAATCATGCGCCAAATCTTACTCCAGTATTTGTGATTATGAAACGATTCACAAAAACATCCTGTAGAGATAGTGTCAGTCAAGTCTACCAAGAATGGTAGCTTGAGTTTTTCTGAAATTAAAAAGTTTATTATGGCCTAGATCTTAAAAAGATATCTTCTTTACCAATCTAATAATATCCACTGAGCCAGGCTTTTCTATATCCCTTGAAATATTATGACTACCCAAGATGTCATAAGAAAAGTTCGTTATTATCAATCAAACATGAGTTTCCTTCAAACTCGTTTGCTTCAGCAACATTGATGGAAAGTTTTTCGTTCCATCCATCGTACTCAAATAACTTCTAACATATTTTTTATTAAAAATGCAATTACGACAACACTAAATTAGAAAATATACACGTGTGAGTTTCTAACCCATAAAAATTCAATTTTTTTAAGATAAAAATTAGTTCGAAAAATTTTTCTCCAACTTTTAATATTAGACGAGTTCATCATATCCGAACCCCTGCAAACTCGTCCAATAAACAGTGGACGTTTTAATAGAGATATGGATGGAGTTGCATCGGCTGTCGATAGAACTTTATTCGTCCGGTTGTCTCCAGTGGCATGCATTCATCATTCTCGCGGATGGGGTATATTGATAGCGGATCAATCACCGAGACGTCCTTAGGGATGAAGATCTCGATACGGAGAGGCGAGCTTTTAATTGTCATCCGATCTAGATTTCCAATTACCGACGGAATCGGAAAAAAATCGCGAATAGTTCCCTGCACTCTGAAGTGTCGCATCGTTGTTCGCGAGTTTTAATTGAAGCTCACGTCGAAATTTCGATTAATCAAACCTATCCGATGATGGTTAAAAAGTTTTCTGCAAAAACGATAATGAACTGAATAAAATCATATTTTTGTTTATCAACATACTTTGAAACTACGTAAAAAGTCTTTTTGTATATGTCACGGTTTTAAACAGTCCAGACGGTGCGGACAACCCCTTGAGGGATACCCTTCAGGAAATGAACTTTCAGGACAGGGAACACTGTAACGTAAGCGTATTTCACGCACTGACAGCCACTGCGGGTTTGCGATTAAATTTTCATTTAAAAACGTGGTCAGTGGAAAAACCCTCCCACATGACGGTTTTCTAGATGAAGTCTGTCCAGTTTTTCTAACCCCTTTTTTACTCATTAAGATTTACTTAAAATAAACTCAACAAATTTAATAAATTCAGATTTTTTTCAAAATGTATTTGTTAAATTTAAAAAGGAGTAAAATAATTGTTGGAAGAAACCCTCGGAGAGAGTTAAAAACCCCGTAAAAATTAAATACAATTACGGGCGGAAAAGCCAAACAGAAAAATGACGTTTTAAATGGTTCTTAATTAGTAAACTAAACCCTGCCCTCTTTAAAAAAGATTAAACCGTGTGTTTGTGAAGCGGTGTAATGCCGAGTGACTGACGTGAACGGCGGAGGGAATTCCATGACGAACCCCTCCTCATCCGCCTTTTCCCTTTTCCCAAAGTAGGGGGAGGAAAAAAAAACGGAAAAACTCGGTTAAATTCTATCTGCGCTTTAATATTGGATGCGGTCATCATTTATTTAGAACCCCCGCGTCGAGATATCTCAATAACAGGGCATGTTTTAGAGACCCACATAATGTTATTGATATTTATTTGGACGGCTCGTTTTGGAGTTTTTTGTTCACATTCCTCCGGTTGTAGCTTTTCCGCTCGACGCTCGTTTAAATTCTCCTTTTGTCCTTTAATTTTTTAACGTGTGTAGCAACCGAAACTCTCTCGTGCTGTTTTAGCGCTTTACAAAAAGGAATTATTACCCTTTCATATTTATATTTTATAGCTTTTCAAATCATTTACATAGGGGATTTTTTACATTTTCCTTTTTTTTTTTCTGATGTATGTGTAAAAAGTGCAAGAACATTGAACATAAGGTGTGACCTGCTCCTTGGACTTGATTTACGAGTAACTCCCGATATACCCGCTTGATATATGGAGTTCAAATCGTAGTGGATCCAGCGGAAAGTGCTGGTGGAATCCGAGTGGGGCATATCTCGGACCGATCTGGATGGGGCGCCCAGGAACCGTAAATATACTCAGATTTATGCGGGATCACCTTTTTCCGTCTCCTTTAGCTTCACCCCCTACCGGAGGAGATCCGATCGCGAGAGACTTTTCTAATTACGCGAATGTCACTCAAAAAATCGCCCCCGTGATTTGTGGGGTCGTCGGTTAATTCTCTTTACGACTATATTTTGAATTCGAAATCGAACGAAATTTAATTAATTTTGTTAGACGTTACACATACGTTTTTATCACACAAATATACTTTATTAATGAAAAACAATATTTATTTACTGATTTCAATACTCCATAATAATTATAGCAGCGGAAGTGCGACAATTACGAGATATAAGCTAACTTCTGCAGACACTGGAAAAATTAATTGATTGAAATTAACATATACCACCTTAATGATGTTTACCTGACGATAAGAATGGGATCAGAGCAAAGAAGCAAAGAAGCAAAGAAAAATAAAAGCATTTGTTGCGATGTGTTATAGGAGAAGGTGGTAGGTAGTTAAGCAAAACGTCATCATCAAATGCAAATTTAGTTACAATGACACTTTAGTATACAGTGTGTTAATTAATTATCGTACCCGACGTCATCATTGCAAGTATGCAACCAATATCGCAAATCACGTTTTGCACTACCACTACTGTGATATTGGTTGCATACTTGCAATGATGACGTCGAGTACGATAATTAATTACCACACTGTACATCATGATTTTGCTTTTTTTTATTTGCTGTTGCCCTGCCTGATTGAAACCAGACTTTCTGTCTATACTGTTAAGTTTAATACAATTATCTTAACACTATCTCATAGGCGAAAATCGCTCAATAACGGACTGTACTGGGGACATGTTGAAATTGAAAACACACTGCTTTATAGTTTATTTACTTTCCTTTCATGAGTTCTATTTTCAGTTCTTTAATTAAGAATTCTTCGAACAATGCGTTTTAAAAATCGTAACCAAATATTCAAGCGTTTTGCCAATCCGAGGTCGTTCAGATTGTTTACTTTTGCAACATTTTGTACTTTCCATATCAATGACATAGAAATACAAACAACGGACAATAAGCTTCCTCTAAGTTTTGTCAGAAGCCTTAAAAAGAGATTTACACAGAACAACAAATCAGTAAGATTTACAGCGAGTAAGATTAAGAACAAATTATTAAGAGTTCCCTAGTGGTGAGAGATTGTGGAAACTTTGATTTAATTAAATTATACTGGATGAGATGAAACTTTTAACATTTATGTTTGTAAGATCTAAAGAAACAGAAGATTCCACAAATGGTTGTCATATTCGTAGCAACACATACATTTATCAACATGATTGACGTGTATATTAACTTACACGACAACATTTTCGTTTGAAAGTAGTTTTGATGAAATTTTGAATGCACTAAAAGAGACGTCTATTTGTAAGAGAGTTTTAAAAGGGGGAATGGGGGCGGCGACCCGTGGCGTAAATCGGTCGCGATCCTTCCAGGCGAATCAAATTTCCACTGATTTAAATCTATTACCCCTGGAGGTACGCGAGCAACCAGCACCAGCAGTATAGATCACTCGATGCCGAAACTTTTCCGAAAACATTGCATATCTCTATGCGCCCCGTCCCGGCCCTACCAATGCTGCTATTCGGCGCCCCCTGCGGCCGCCACCACTAAATCATGCACGGCTAGACCCCCCGAGATACGGATCGATCCCCATACGACCTGACAACAAAAGTTTTATTACCCCATATCGAGGAAGATCCCGATGACGAAGACCGGGTCATATTATCTCTGTATGCGATAAAAACAGATATTTTAATAAAAAAATTTACTTACTTTTGCTCGACGTTGGTAGTTTTTCTAACCCCGCCGGGTCGACAATCGTCCACCTGAAAATCAAAGAGAACCACATCAAGGCTTGTCCTTTCTGCATTGTCGCAAGTGCTAGCATAAAGAGGCACAACAGTCTGGATAGTTGAAATACTCGAGTTACAGCTTTATAACCCTTTTGATCGTCGCACTATGTCCTGTATACTGCACAACGTATAAAATATTCGTAAGTTAACTACAATAAAACAGTTGAAATAACAACGGTTACGGATGTAATGATTATTTTACTGTCACGGACGTTGTTGAAAAAATAGAGAGAGAAAGAGTGTAGAAAAAAAAGAGTGGTATTCGTACACATTAACGCGGACGAAAAAAGGGGAGCGAACGGCAATCAGAAAAACATTTGTCGCCGGAACATAAAGATGCTTTAGTGCTGTAATTCGGGATGATTTACCGGGAGAGTTACGCGCGGTGCTGCTAACGGCAGTCAACTTAGCAAATTGGTCGACAGTGGTGGAACAAACAGAATGTGTTAAGGGTGGGATTGAAATATTTTCATTCAGATTTTAATTATATAAATTGATTACAGCCTAATTAGATAATCTATTCGAAAGCTCCAAGAAAAACTAAAATAAAATATTTGGTAGACTAAATTAAATAGGTTTTTGAAAGAATATTCTCGTACAGATTTTTTGGTCGTATTTAATTTTTGTGATTCCATTTAGAGTACTGTAGAGACTCGCTGGAAAAGCCAGCTTGTGGCCGAGGCGAATCCGTGCGGAATTAGCGCCGGGTTCTCCGGTTCGGTCGTTAATTCAATTTTAAACATCCCTCTTCATAAAATATTCCGAATCATTTGAAATAATCAGGGTTGGCCGCAGGAAAAGAACACCACCTATAAAATCATCCGAATTATTTTCCGGCGGGGCATCGTTAAATATTGAAAGAGCCGCAACCATGTCGTAAGGGTGGTCGCCGACATCGGTTCCCCTAGGTCCCAAAAATTTTTTCACCCTTTCCTAAAGAATTTCCCCTTTAAAAATTTCGGTTCATCCACCCTCCAAATTTCAGAGGGTTGGATGTCTTCCGTTAACCGTGCTGTCCTTTTTCGATCTCTCCGGTAGTTTGCACTGTGAATGGGTACTAAAATTTATACGGGCTGTAAAATCGGCTCTGTATGACTCTATATTGATAGATCGTTATGTTTTGAGGTTGAAGTAATGGTTTGATCACCTCATGAAATTTACCATCAACACAAGTTTTTACTAATTACAACCGGCTCAGTTATATTAAAAATTGCATCTAAAATGATCTATCTTCTTTATTATTTATGTCTAGTGCCAGTTTTAATTTTAGTTGTTATTCAGTATAAAAGTAGAACTAACTCTAGAGCTAGAACAAGTAACATTTGCAGCCGCACGTCTCTTAAGATGACTAAACTCGAATGTTTCTAGGTCTAGTATTTGTTCTAGTGATAGTGCTAGTTTTAGACCACTCAATATATTAATACATGCCGAGGCATCTGGACTTCCGAGGCAATGGTTCTTCCTTACAAACCAATAAGAAAAGGATTTTTTGCAGTAGTGATATATTATTACAAGCCGAGGCAGCTGTGCTGCCGAGGCAAGAGCTGTTTTATTACAAAATAATAAAAAGAGATTTTTCTTCAGTATTAACATATCAGTATAAGCTGAAGCAGCTGCGCTGTTGAGGCAGTGGCTATTTTATTACAAAACAATAAGAAAAAGGTATGTCCTAATACAGATGTGTGTCCTCTGTATTATACAGGGTGAGTTATTAAAAAAAATATTTTATACAAAAGTTGTTTGATTCATCATTTATTATTATTATTATGTAAAATTATTTTCATTTATACAGGACCCTGTATATTTGATCATGTTATGAATACAACTAAATTTGTTTATACAACCGTATATGTTACTATTTGATAGCGTTCATAGTTCCTGAGATATTCAATTATTTTTCCAAAATGTACCTATTACAGGATCTTTTTAAAAACGATATGAAAACGACATTTTTTCCGATTTTGCCTTGAAACTACATCAGACAATCGTCAACGCCAGTAGGTAGATGATAGTATCTAGAGATATTAGATACACTATACAGCGTGTTTATAAAGCTTAGTTACTTTTAATGTTTTTCAAATAGCTTTTTCTTAAGTTTTTGAAATGGAACATTTGTATATTGTGTACTGGTTGAATTGCCCATCAAGTTCCCTTTAATTAATGATAAGTGTCATATGTCTAACTTTAATAGTTTTTTTTGATATTTAGAATTTAAAGAAATATGTGTAATAAAATGTCATTATTGTACTTAAAAAAGTGACAGAATGTAATATATTCTCCTATTTTGTAAGCATTAATGCGCTGTATAAAAGATCTTGAGGTATCTCTTAACATGTGCCTCGTATTTTCTCTAAAGTCGTAAATTATATGGCAGAACAATTGCATATTTTATTACTTAAATCTTTTTAAATCTCATAAAGTACCAAGTCGCATTAAAATTTGGTATATGGCAGCAAAATTATTTTACAGCGATAGATTTTTATTGAACTAAAAGTAGAATTAAAAGTAATTTTTTTTGTATCAACCTAAAAATGCTATACAATTGCGTTAGCTCGTGTTTATACAAAACAATTTATGACTATCATTCATTATGCACATTATCTCTCCACACTTGTCAAAAACATTTGACATACGACGCCGTCGATAAATGACGGATGGACAGACATGGTGGAACGATTTAAAGTGGCTCATGATGAGAGATACAAAGCAACGCAAACGACATGAGCGTTCGATTTCCAGTTTGCAGTTGCCGCTGTGGTTGCGGTGCGTATCGTGTGACACATCTCACCACTTAATCTGAACGCTTGGCCCCAGTGAAAGGGGGCGCTTGGAAACACATTGATCCGATAAACTAGCGCGTATAGAGAGGTTGTGAGGAATGTGGTGGAAAATGAGAGACCATTCGTCACCGGCCCAATGGGATGTGTACAGGTGCGCGCCATTTATGGGCTGCTGCTCTCCAGTTTTACCACCCTAGCGTACAAGGAGAATTCCCTTTTACACGGTTTACCCTTAGGCAAGCAAGATCTCCCTGCATGTATTATGTTATATTCTATAAAAGTCTTCACAGTTGTTATTATTTATTTCATAAACGATTTTTTTGAAATTTTCTTTAATGTAGTTGATGAACAAAGAGGTTCTCGTAATAGTTTATCGTCTTGGGGGATCGCCGTTGACGTGTCGAGTTGTCCAAGTTGAGCGACGGCATTATTGACTTCTTGCCCGAGGGCGTGCACGCGCTTCTCCATGGGTCATTATAAGGAAATATAATGGGGATACGGGAGAACGACAACGACATCAGATTCGCGTTAGCTGCTTTAAATATGATAAAGGCTGGCGGTGACGCGTCAACCATCGAAGAAGCGGGTTTCCGCCCCGAAACAATGGAGCCGTTAATTAAGATTTCTTTCGACGACGTCCGGACGAGGGGTAAAGAAAACGGGATTAAAGAAGTAGTTTTGTAGGAAACCCACGTAGACTTACGACTTTGTGGTCGTTAGATGCCAACCTAAACTTGAGTTTTTTCTTCTATTTTAAATTTCTAACACGAATTAATCTAAAATCGAATTAAATCAGATTTTAAATTAATTATTAAAATCTCTTTTCAAATAATTCAAAAAGAAATTTGATTTCTTTGTAAAGGCCACAATTTAACATTCACCTCTCAACCACGTCTCGACTACTAAAAGGGCGCGTTCTTTTTCCCAGTTGCTCTCAGCCTTAAATGCATTACACTAGACGGTTAATTGAAAATCCACTTTGTGTTGTTGAAGTTGAAGGCTGCCGGTTTGCCGTCTTGAGCGTGGATTTGTAATCAACGATACAATTTCCACATTTTTAAATCTAATTTTAATGTAATGAGCGAAACGAGAGCGCAGGGGGAAGTCGACGTCGCTCTCTTTTTTTTTGGACCGAAAAAGCCGGCACGTAGAGTATAGGGAAAGAATGCTAATTAATTATTCCGAGACGCTGAGCCGCCGAGAGTGATTAGCATTCTGAGGTCTTCTGAGGTTTCGAATCACCATCTAATGTATACAAATAGGGGTGGGGGAGTGCCACAGTTGGATGAAAAAAAAGGCACGTCTCCTGGTTTTTCCCCCCTTCTTCAAGAGATTTCCCGTCCTTCAGCGATTTCCAGTAGAGAGATATCCAAACGCCGGGGATGGAACCAATTAATACACCCCCGGGGAAACAGAGGAAAATGATTTATTATTATTTGGCGGAAGAAGGGAAAAAATGTGGCGACGATCATTTGATATATGGCGGTATTATTTTTCGATTTTTTTTGCTAGTTAATTGTTAACGGTTTAACTTAAAGACTTCCCTTTTTATGGATGTTTTATAAAGTTGTTTAAACATTTCGATATAGCGTTTCTTATAATCCATACTTTACAGCCTACGTTATCATGGTAATACCAAAAGTTTTCAACTCCAGTTATGGGTTTAATGATGTGCCGTTATCGCCTGTAAACATTCATAACGTGTGTCAAAGAATAAACTTTCCCTTAACTTTTGAGCGATATGAAATTCTCGTTGAACTCGATATTATTATCATATCTATCTCCTTTCATATTCATGGAAAATATTTAATATGAATAAGATCATAATATTGACTTTGTTAATATATGTTTTGGAATAAATATTTCTGTGATTTTACAATAATTCGAATCAGAATTCCCCAAAGGTTTAGAAAAATAGTTGTAGATCTAGAAATGGAACATTCCCCTGACAATTTATCGTCGTGAAAATATTGGAGAATCGGAGTGACCAACTACTCCCGTGGGTATACTCCATCTTCAAAAAAAAGACGAATGCTTTTTAAATGCATTTGGCTACAGATCCATCAATAACCAGGTGTATTTATTTGAGGTTGCAAGGTTTTTTTTTGTTATCTAACCTTCGCATGAATAAATCAATCAAGATGTTTTCATTTGAAAGCAATTAACATGTACCCGACCCAATCTGACATAAAA